CATCTTCCTTAGGAACTGAAAACACTGAACCCAAACAACCTGGAAAAACCACTTCCAGGTCTCTTCCTTGGAGAGGGTTTTTTCATGAGCACAAGGAAATGCAGCTGGGATGCACACTGGTGATTTGAACAGTGAAAAAGGGGAAACGGCCTACATGTCCATCAGCAGGAGAATCACTAAATATGCTGGTCATATGATGGAATAGTGCACAGCCATTAAGATGAGCAACCTTCTAGACTGTTGTTATTAGAACTACCAACATGGAGAAATCACAAAGCCAATGTTCTGTTTTTTAAAAAAAGGCAAGTTGCAGAAAATATGTAAGATATGAAATAGCCATAGACACAACCTTTATGCATGAAGCGATAGTATTGTCACTTATTGACACATATACACTGAGTGGCCAGATTATTATGATCTCTGAACTCATAATAATCTGACCACTCAGTGTATGTGTGTATGTATATATGGATGTATAGATGTATAGATGTATAGATGTATAGATATATATATTGGAGGCCTGGTGCATGAATTCGTGCATGGATGGGGTCCATCCAGCCTGGGGGGGTGGGGGAGGGGACATGGGCGGTTGGACAGCCTGCCTGCTGGTTGAACTCCTGGTCGAGGGGACAACTTGCATATTAGCCTTTTATTTTGTAGGATATACACTGAGTGGCCAGATTATTATGCGTTCAGAGATCATAATGATCTGGCCACTCAGTGTGTGTGCCTTCACTAGTTTCCTAGGGCTGCTGTAACAAGGTACCACAGCCTGGGTGGCTGAAATAACCAAAACGTATCGTCTCACAGTTCCAGAGGCTGGAAGTCCGAACACGAGGTGTTGAGAGGGTAATGGCCCCTCTGACACTTGTAGAGGAAGGAGAATCCTTACTTGACTCTTCCAACCTCTGGAAGCCCCGGACTCTCCTTGTCGGTGGCAGGATAACACCAGTCTTCACACGGTGTCCTCCCAATATCTGCTAACACATTCCCTGTCTGTGTCCACATCTCCCTTTTCCATGAGGACATCAGTCATATTGGATTAGGCCTCACCCTCATGACCTCATTTCTAACCAGTTAACTGCCACTCGTCCAGAACAGAAACCATCCCCATTTCTTCCGTATGCTCTGGAATACTTACGAATTTAAGGTACGATAATTTTCTTTACAAACACAGAGATGTTGCTAACAAGTCTGATTTTAAAACTGGGCGACCAGAGTTGATATGCAAGGTTTGTGCCTCTAGATGCGTGTGGGGAGGTCTGCTGCTTGCGTCTATAGGTGCTTAGGGCATACAATGAGTTAAACTAAATATTTATTTATTTCAGAGAGGAAGGGAGAGGGAGAGAGAGACAGACACATCAATAGTGATAGAGAATCATTGATTGGCTGCCTCCTGCCCCATACTGGGGATAGAGCCCACAACCCAGGCTTGCGCCCCAACCAGGAATCCAGCTATGACATCCCGGTTCATAGGTAATTGCTCAGCCACTGACCCACACTGGCCAGGCCTGATGACCTCATTTTAACTTTATTACCTGCGTAAAGACTCTGTTACCAAATGAGGTCATCTTCTAAGATTTCCACATATCTTTTTCCGAGGACACAATTCAACCCCTAACAGGGGTCAAAGTATAAACAGTATGACCTGAAAGTCCCACCATGATAGCAGTGGTTTCGGGACAGAGAAGAAGGGGGAGGGGTGTAGATAGCTCCGGTTTTACCAGGAATGTTTCATTTCCTGGGTAAAATAAACACAAATCTTGAATTAATGTGTAAAAGATTAGTATTTGCTAATATCTGCTCTTTTATTCTCTATACTTGACTACAGTTTAATTTTTTTAAAGTGATTAAGAGAAAACAGGAAGGCAGGTGAGCCAGCATTTCTCACTTGCGTGTGCACCTGACCGAGCTGTAGAGTATGACATAAACTTTTACAGACGTCAAAGTCCTCTGTTTCTCAGGATATGTGGCTCTGCCTGCAATCAGCAACTTGGACAACTCAGACTTCAAGACCAATGTGGGAGATTCTGACCTTTTGTAAATCATCTGCCCTCCAGCTTCTCTCAAAAGCTATCTGGAGCCAAAACCGGTTTGGCTCAGTGGACAGAACATCGGCCTTCGGACTGAGAGGTCCCGGGTTCGATTACGGTCAAAGGCATGTACATGGGTTGCGGGCACATCCCTGGTAGGGGGTGTGCAGGAGGCAGCTAGTCGATGTTCCTCTCTCATCGATGTTTCTGACTCTCTATCCTTCTCCATTCCTCTCTGTAAAAAGTCAATAAAATTTTAAAAATTAAAAAAAAAAAAAAGCTATCTGGAGAGCAGCCCCCAGCGTGGCTGACACTGCGGTTCCCCACAGCATCTTTAGACCAGGTCTGTTTGCATCCATTTTGAACAAAGTGAGTAAAAAAAAAAGGATAGAGGAGTATGTTTTTATGAAGTTAAATCTATTCAATTAAATGGCCTCCCTTTTAAGATCGAAACCTTGTCCTTTAAAAAAAAAATTGTCCATAAAATGTTTTATGAACTAATAGAGACAGTGGGCTGTAACTGTTATTGTTTTTAGTGTTCTTATTTAGCAAAATAAAATGTTTCTTATGCTCAATTTTTTTTTTTTTAATTTGGTTAGTCTTTTAAATCAAATGAATGGTGGCTCATCGGAGCTAGTTAAGAATTTCTATAGAATCACTGGGTTCATTCCGACTCTTAAATATGTATGTATTTTTGTATCATTTATAGGATTGTGGCTAGATAAGCAATGTTGACTTTATTTAGGTTTAAAGGTTTACCTTGCTATCTGTTCAACAAAGTTCACCCCCTTAGGAGGGAAAACAAAGATACACCTGATATTAGAATGTGTGGTTTGCTTTGCCTCTTGTGTTATCTTGCATTTGGTGATCAGGTTTGTTGTTTTATAAGCCCTGGTTTCTCTTTCCTTATCTTTCGGGTAATAAATGGCTTCAATTGACCAAATTAACCTTTGCCCAGTGACAGCTGCATGGCCATAATATTCTGGCCTGGGCAGGAGATGAGATTAGAGAGAAGAACCATGACCAGCATCCTTTGCTGGCCCCCATAGACCTAATGCATTCATAGATACATAGTGACATGTCCTTCCACTGTGCAGAAGTGCTGACAGACTTGTCCCACTGCTATGGCTGGACTTTTGGATTGATTCCAGTTTTGTGTTATCGTGCACAAAGCTTGGCCTGATAACCCCTAATGACTCCGAGTCCCTGAGTTTTGGGAGGTCACTTTGGCAGCTGCAGAAAAGAGCTTATGGGCGGCTCGCCTGGGATGCTGGCATAAAATTGGCAAAGCTAAGAGGCAGCAGAGCTCTAGATAAATAGCCTGAATGTGACCTCATCACGGTTATAAGATGTTCAGTCAGTCCTCATTTAATGTCATCCATAGGTTTTGTGAAATGAGGTGTAACAAAACCAATTTTATGATAGGCTAATTGATATAAGCAAGAGTTAAGTTCCTACAGCATCTCATTAACGTTATAATGAAAGGACATTGAACAAAATTGTGACGATCTGCTGTAATTTCACCTTGAATATTTTTCCTGGACAAGCTGAATGACAAATGCGAGGTTATTGTGATCACCCATTCAAACCAGGAGCCTTGCAGGATCAAACAGAGAACCCACAGCTAACAGACTTAGCAAACATTTAATTGCTGGGAGTATGACTGAAAGCCACAGAAGCAGTGAAATGGAAAGCCCTCAATGGAATGTCAAAGGAGAACTCAGTAGCTGAGTCCTAACGGCTACGGCTACTAGAAGGTACTAGAGCAGTAAAATCCGGAGGGAGAAAGTACCGTATCCTCTCTGCTTTGTCCAGCGCACAAAGAAAAATTATTCCCTTAAAGGGCAGGATATTTGTACCTTTAACAGTGAATAGGAAGGTGCTTAAAAGACCACGCCCACTGTATTTGACCATTTGTGCATGACTATATCTTTATAGTTATTTCCTCCTTCCTCTTCTTTCCCAATCATTTTCTATGGGCTTAGCTCTTTGTTTGTTTAGGAATTTGTCCCAGGGCGGGTGATAGTGGTCAGAGCACCATTTATGGTTGGACTGTGAAAAAGACATGTGGTACATGAAGCTCCTGTCTAATGACATTAGTATTATAGAACTGAGAACTATAAATTTAGAACTAATTTGGCTGATCACATATGTCTATCTATCTATTTATCCATCCAACCACCTACTTTCTACTTATCTATCAGCTATCTTTGTGTGTGTGTGTGTGTGTGTGTGCGTGTATACTATATGAATATATATATATGAATCTACATATATATAAAAGCTTAAGCAACCATTCAACCATTCATCTGGTAGCTATGTCACACATTGACCACCAGGAAGCAGATGCTTGATGCACAGATATGAAAACATGAAACAGTGTGATGAATCTCAGAGGGAAGGTTGGGAAGAGATTAACCAAAGATCTTATAGAGGCCTCACGCACAGATTCACGCACCAGTGGGGTCCCTTGGCCTGGCCTGCGGGGATCAGGCCGAATCCATGCACTGGGCCTCCAACTTCCCCAAAGGGTCCCAGGTTTCGAGAGGACGCCAGGCCAAGCTGAGGGGCCCCACCGGTGCATGAATCTGTGCAACAGACTTCTAGTAAATATATATGGCTCGATTTGTCAAAGGTTCTAAACAGAAGATGATCTTGTATCAGTCAGGATAGGCTAAGCTCTGACACATCAAGAAATGAGTTCAAAATCACAACCCATTGACCACACTAATGGCCACAGCTGGGTGCACAGGGAGCTGGGAAGTGTAGACTTTATTCTGGGCAACTATGTACCCAACTAGGAAAGAAAGAAGGGCAAATACTGGGAGTTAACCAGCAATCTCTGTAGGGAAGAAAGGAAAATACCTGACCTTTTCTTCCTTTTTGTTTTTCAGATTTAAAAAAGATACCCGAGTAGAGCAAATGCAGGAACCTTTGAACATTCCATGGTAAAGGATCTGGCCCACCATGTCTGCCTATTACAGGAATAATGGGTATGAGGAAGAGCCAGATTACCCTGATTATTCAGGCTCTCAGAATCACATGCAGGGGTATTTGAAAACTCAGGAGTATCCAGGTTCTCTGAACAACTCAGCTTTCTCCAAAACCAGGAGGAACCCATACTCTGCAGACTCCAGAACAAGTCCAGACTATCCCAGGTCCCTAGCAGAACCAGATTATCCTGGATCTTTGAGTAATCCAGACTATCCTGGCATCAGAGACGATCCGTACTCTGCAAGCTCCAGAAGACATCCAAGCTATCCCAGGACTCTAGCAGAACCAGATTACCCCGGGTCTCAGAATAATCCGGACTACCCTGGCACCAGGAGCAATCCATACGCTGAAGACTCCAGAAGAAGTCCAGACTACCCCACATCTCTGGCAAAGCCAGATGCATCTTGGAGCAATCCATACCGTCCATACTCATCCAAAGAGCCAGGCTACTCTGAATCCCAGCAAAATCCTGACTTTGCAGGTTCCGGAAACAGTGGAAACTATGTGGGCTCCAGAACAAATCCTGATTATCCTGGATTCTTGGGAGAACCAGACTATCCTGGGGCTCAGGGAAATGCTCCCCATCCTGGCCCCGGAGCCAGTTCCAACTATCCAGGCTCTAGAAGGAATGGAGGATATGCTGGTTCCAGAATCAAACCATCCATAGACACTCTGGGAGAGCCTGATTACCCGGGTGCTGAGAATCCATCTTACGCTCCACACTTTTTAGAGAAACCAGACTATCCCGGTGCTGAGGACGACCAGAACTCTCCAAATTTTTGGGGGGAGCCTGACTACCCAAATGCTGAAGATGGTCGTGATTATGGCTCTTCCAAGACTCCGGAAATGCCGAGGGAGTAAGTGCAGGCATCTCCCTCCACTGGGGTGGGGGCTGAAACTCAGTTGGCATTGTTTGGGTTAGGGACAACATATTGTGGTTTTCATGGCCTGAAGTTATGGTGAAACTGCAATACCTTTAGACCTCACCTGGGCCATGGACTCAGCCTGAGGCTTCAAGCCTTTACCTGAACGTAATCTTTCATCAGCTCTTGTTTGGATAACACTTTCCACAGGTTCCACCTGGTATCTAATTCCTGCAAAACTCTTAGAATCCCCACTGTTTTGACCAGCTACTTTGCAGGTCAAAGACTGGATAGTTATGACCACAAACGTTTTAACCAGAAGTGTATCAACAAGAATACACTGCAATAAAGAAAACCTTTTGGAGATCTAACTCCATGAATTCAACTTAATTCTTCAATTGGTTATCTTTATGGCTGAGACATTAAAAAAAAAAAAAAAAAAAAAAAAAAACCTTTTAATCTTCCATCAATTTTTGGTCATTGACCAATTTTACTAGTTGCAGCTCTAGTTTGGGTGACTTAGTTCTACCAAATCTAATTCTTCCTGTGTTAAAATTTTCAATGACCATGTTGCCAACAAGATGTGACTCTTTAGTAAGTTTGTGGGTTTTTTCATTGATAATAAGCTCTAGCCAGTGTGGCTCAGATAATTGGAGTGTCATCCTGTACACCAAAAGGTTGTGGTTCGATTCTGGTCAGGGCACATACTTAGGTGCAGGTTGAATCCCCAGATGGGGCAGGCAACTGATCGATCGATGCTTCTCTCTTATCTTTCTCTCTCTTCCTCTATCTCTCTCTCTCTCCTTTCCTCCCTTTCACACACACACACAATAAACATACCCTCGTGTGAGGTTTAAAAAAATTGGTGACAAATTTTACCATGTGAAATTCTAATCAATATGAGTCTCATCTTTCATTACTGTTTCTACTAATAATATGTATGAAATCAACAAAAACTAATGGCCTGTTTTTATATCAAGGAACAAGGATATGGGATTTGGGTATGTACCAGGGTCAAAATGTCTTTGTCCTAAATAGTAGGGTTAACAAGACCAGGTCAAAATGTCCTCCTTGGTCTTGTCCTCCCTGCCTGATTCATCATTCCAAAATACACTTCTGACCCTGTCACTCCTTTGCTCCTCATCTTCCATGAGTCCCTATAGCCTTTGGAGAAAAGGCTGAACCTGTGAGAACATTTTAAAATGCAGATGCAAAGGGCTAATTGTAATATGCCAGCCAAAGACTTGACCTTCTTTCTCCTCTCTTATCCCTTCTTTACCTTAAGCTCAGATCTAAGGTCAGTGTTCTTGACCTTGGCTGATTCTTAGAATTACCTGACCACCTGGGAAACTTAAAAAATAATACAGATACCTGGGCCAAACTTTCAGAGCTTCTGATTTAATTGTCTGTGTAGGGTCTGGGAATTGGTATATATATAAAATTGAGAACCATTGTTAGTTGATTTAAGTTAATTTATTTTCATATCATTCCCTTCATATAGTCAGCACTTTTTGGTCTCATACCTTTATTTATGCTTTTCTTCATCCTTGGAATGCCCTCCTCCTAACTCTTTATGTATGAGTTTATCCTTCCAATCTCAGCACACCCCCAACCCAAACTCCCAGCCAGAATTCTTCTCTCCTTCCTCCAAACTACTTGGGCCTGTTTTCTGATACTCAACAATCACTACTTGTATTATTATTGCTTATGGCTGCTTCTAAGAAGCTCTACCAGATTTTATTGGAAGTTCCCTGAGGGTAGATACTCCAAGTCTTTATCTTTGTGTCCTCACCTCCCAGCCCATGCCTAACACATGGTTGGTATTTCTTTGGCATTTGTAAAATGGATGAATGGGTGACTGTCCTTACCATGCTACCGAATGGGTGTTGATCCATCATTTTGGGATTGCAGATTGCTCAGCAGAACATCGTCAGTCCATCATGGGCGGGTCAGCCCCGTGGGCTTGCTCACAAGGCAGAATGAAGACTATTCTGAAAACATTGAAATGCAATCCATCGAGATGGAAAATCCCTATGGCCACTCTGATAACGGCTACGGTAAGCATTTGTTAAAATGAGGATCATACCCTGGGAAGAAAGTAAAACTCAGTGGACTTAGGGCAACAGTCAATAAAGACTTTCCATAATAGAAGAATTGGTGTATCTCACTCCACTCAAGCACCCATATTACAAGGAATGAGAGCTCAATGTCTAGAGAAGAAGCAGGATCATTAAGTAGCAGAGCAGGCCAGATAGGGGTTGTGTGTACGTGATGTATGTCCGGGTTCCATGCATTACGGTCATGTGGGGAAATGTGGGGTCAGTGTGGCCAGATCCTCCGCTTTTTCTAAAAAAGTGAGAAATCTTTGTTTTTATGTGAACCCACTCCCACCCCGATTTTTATATGCTCCAGAATAATAATAAAAATGTAATAAAAATAAAAAATAAAAACCTCTGAGTTGGGCAAACAAAAATCACTGGTGAGCTAAATTCAGTCTGTGTGCTGCTGGTGGCCAGCTTTAGTTTAGCGCATCCTATAGGCGTTCAGACAGGCAGCACCTGTGTATTTGAAATCTACTGTGAGGCAAAGGGAATAAGAGGCAGTTGGGTAGGTGACCCCGACACATGAAGACTTAAGGAAATAAGCAAGCAGCCTATTGATATGAGACAAATCACATCACCTTCAGAACCTGCAGTGTAAAGGTTTGGCTCTGAGAGGCAAAGTAAATGCTACCAGTTCTTGTCAGAGGAAAAGGGACTTGTTACTGGTAGAGGAAGCCAGTCTACTACATGTAAGTCAATGTTATAGGAATTTAGAGCCCACGGGACAAGAAAAAGTAGGGCTGTTCAGCCAAGAACAGAATGAGGGACCCAAGTGCTGGTTGGAGTAGATGGAGGGTTGGTCAGCCCCGAAGAGACAGGGGGGAAGAGTTGGAGGCAGGCAGAGAGGAGGGGGTGGGGTGCCTTGCCGTGCACTAATGAAAAGCACCCACGGTTACACATTTGCATAGAAAACATTCATTTAATCTATTCCACCATTATGTCATGCATTATCAATGGGGCAAAATCAATCCCAAGATATGAAAATTTATTTTAAAAGGCCATAAAAAAAAACCTTCCTCAATTTATATATAAAGCAGAGATACACATACTGCACATGAATATCCAGTCTAATGTATAGTCTATCTGTGATATTAACATTTCATGGGTAAGGGCAATGAGGAAGGAATGTCTAAGACACCTATGGGCCAATAATGAAAAAAAAGATTCTGTTCTGACTTAGAGGCTAAGATACGAAGCTCAGAGAGGTTAAGTAACATGCCCAAAGGCGTGGCACACAGCGAGTAAGTAGCAACCCTGGGAACTGATTGTTGGTGAGAAATTCCAGAGCCTCCTGCCGTGTAATGGTGTGCCTGTCACCATCAGAACGTGCTCCATTTCCTCTTTGAGGTGCTGAGCCTTTAATGTTTACCATGGGCTGAATCAAAATATAGTGAAATGGGACACTGCTGTGTAGACGCTGAGACTGGACTCTCCCCCTGAGAAAATGGTGTCATATTTTAAATTCATAAAATGCTAGGAAGGGACCTCTATAATCATCTAGATAAATTTTTTTTGCTTCAACTTTCTAACAATTAAGACTATTTTTTAGGTTCACAGTAAAACTGAGGGGAAGGTAACAGAAATGTCCCATATATATATCCCCCACCCCCACATAAATAGCTTCTGTTATGATCAAGTTCCCTCCAGCGTGGTACATTGGTTACAAATCAATGGACCTACAGTGACACATCATTCTTATCCAAAGCCCAGAGTTTACATCCGTGCTTACCCTCAGTGTCATACACTCTACGGATTTGGACATGTGTATAATGGACATGTATCCATCAGTATGGCGTCATGCAGAATAGTCTCACTATCCTAAAGCCTCTTGGTGCTCCACCTAGCATCCCTCCCTCCTAGACAAGTGTTTTTCCATCAATTAAAAAGTTGTGAAATTCATTTTTTCATGAAAACTAATGGGAAGACTAAGCATATATCAGAATGCTGTTTATGTAGTCAAGCAAAGTGGTGTTTTGTGAAGCTTGTTTTTTAGTTATACATGTGAAAGTACGTCCTGGGTCTCAAATGTAACCATTATTTTAAACTATGGCTTATAGTCAAATGAAAACCATCCATCAAGGCTGTTTGCATTGAATAGCATTGGTTTTGTGTTTGTGCCCTGTTTTTCACCCAAGTGCTAATCATTAGTCTGTTAGAACCTGGAGGTCAGGGTCTCAGCCTTACTGACGATTGTTTGCTCTGTACTATCTAGTGCGGTGATATTAATGGTGATGTCTCCTGCCTCTTCATTCCAGTGAACCCTGCTTATGTGGATGAAAGTATCCCTGGCCCAACTTATGGAAACTCACCATCTGGAGGCGACTGGTTTAAGACACCCCAAGGTAAGACGGTGACCAAAAATTCATCCCTAGAGACATTGCCATTCAAGCAATGCAGACGTTGCCATTTCTTCTTAGGCTCTGGTGTGGTGCTAAGCAGTACAGTACTTCCTAAATGTTTCATAACGGGGCTTTCTTTTAGACATGCAGAATTTTTTCTCTTCTGTATATCAAAGTGGCTTCATTAGGACTCTTCCGATTGCAAGTGACAGAAACCCCAGTCACCTTAGTCCAAAGTGAATCTATTGCCTTGTGCATGGGAAAGGACATGGGGGAACAAACAATTGAAGGTATACTTCCTTTCCAGCACCTGTACAGTGCCTGACACATCACTGGTGCTCAGAAATATTTGTTAAATGAGTTACAGCAACCAGAGTCTCTGTAAGTGAAGCCAGGGTTTTATTGCCACCTGAACTCTCTTTTCCTCCATCGATTTCTTTTTTAAGAAATATATTTTATTGATTTTTTACAGAGAGGAAGGAAGAGGGATAATTAGAAATATTGATGAGAGGGAAACTTCAATCAGCTGCCTACTGCACACCCCCTACTGGGAATGTGCCTGCAACCAAGGTACATGCCCTTGACTGGATCAAACCTGGGACCCTTCAGTCCACAGGCCGATGCTCTATCCACTGAGCCAAACTGGTTAGGGCTCCTCCATCGATTTCTCACCTTGCTGGACTTCTCTACAGGCCGGGGAGCTTGACCAATAGCAGGGCTAGACACACACCCTCTGCTCAACAACCTCATTAAAAAATCTTTCTTTTTCTCTGGCTCTGTTAAGTCAATGCTGAGAAATTACTCTGTCCAGCACTTTTGGGGGCCATATGTCATTTTTACCATGGGGAAGATTGGGTCACATGTTCATCCTGTGGCTAACAGATCTTTTGGTGAGGTGGCAGCACATTGATCAACTTTTTTCTGAATCATCACTAATTATTAATGATGGTGGAGTGTATAAGCAGTTGGACTGGCGAAAGACAGAAGGCTTTAAAATCAGTCAGGATGCTCTGTAATGCCTGTTGTGTGTCGCAATAAAGGTCTGAGCAGAGGCAGAGACTAAGAAAGAAAAAGAATACCTAACTGGTGTTGCTCAGTGGTTATGTGTCAACCTATGAACCAAAAGGTCACAATTTGATTCATAGTCGGGACACATGCCTGGGTTATGGAATCAATAGGGGTATGTGCAGGAGGCAGCCGGTCAATGATTCTCTCATCATTAATGTTTCTATCTCCCTCTTCCTTCCTCTCTGAAATCAATTTTTAAAAAAATTAAAAAAATAAATAAATAAAAAGGAAGAAACAGAGGAGAGAGGCCATGGAATGCTAGAACCTAGAGGCAAATCTGTGAACAATAAACAAATCCATGGCATCCTCTAACAACAAAAATTGAGGCGCTCCCTGACTTAAAACTATAGTATAATATTTCTTGCCTTCAAGCCCCCAATCTTATCTGATAACTAGAGGCCCAATGCATGAAATTCGTGCAAGGCAGTCCCAGTGGCTGCCTCAGCCCTTGCAGCCCTGGCTTCCTCTGAAAGGTCGTCTGAAAGGTCATCCCGATGGTCATTCCACTGTCCCACTGCTCCGCTGTCTGGTCTAATTAGCATATTACACTTTTATTGTTGTGGAAATTTAGACTCATTCTTAAGAGCCTTCTCAAGGAGGTGTGTATCTTCCATAGGGTTAACTATTGCTACTGAGGAGAGAAAACCATGGGGACATAAACAATCTCCGTTTGGTTCCCCCTGGAGCAGAGAATGACTTTAACTTTTGGGGGAAAGAGAAGTCTTTAAGCTTCATCAGACTGCTCTAGCTAGCTAGCATGGAGCTTGGGGCTTCTGGTCAAAGAGGAGCCCCCAGGAAGCAGAGAGAAGTAAAGAAATGAAGGACCCAAAAACGATGACCTTGGCTCTCTTCACTGTTTTGCTTTGACTTGGTTCTGATTCTCAAACCACGTACCGTTCGTTGGAGGACAGCCTCCTGGTCAAGGGTCACTTTGATGGATCATGCTATGCACCTAAGGGAACACCTGGCACAGGGAGGGTGCACATAAATATTCATTCTTTTACGAATGAAGGTATGATACATTAATATCTTGTAGCACGAAGGGGCCACGATGAAGTGATTAAGAGGCCCTGCTTTGGGCCAGACAGAGCTGGGTTTGGTCTACTACTTTCTGCTTTAGTGACGCCCGTTTTCATGCTATAAGATAGGAGTTATTAGGATAACTACTTCATAGCGTAATGATGAAAATTAAATAATGTGAGAGAATCCAAGATGGCTGCTCGGGTAGGCACCTAGCCGCAGCCACACTCAACAATTTCAATAAAATACAACTAAAATATAAAATGGACATCACCCAGAACTACAGGAAAGTCGACTGACTGGAAATTCTACAACAAGAAGCAAGAGAAAACCAGAAGGAAGCGCGGAGGAGCTGGAAAAGCCTAAGGTACAGAGACACGCGGCGCGCGGAGAGGACGGAGCCGGAGAGGAGGGAGGCGGAGTGCCTGGCGGGCGTTCCCTAGCGGGAAGGAGATAAAACTCCGACTGTGCTGGGCCCCCGACTGCTCTGAACCCCAGGCCTAGGCCAGACCCCGGGGACCCAGGCTCACACAGAGGGAGCCGGGCTGAAAGGCGGAACCCCGGGGAAGAGGCGAAAGGAGGTCCCGGCGGCGCCGCACAGAGAAGGGACGGCCGGCTGTGCCGCGGGATTGCCTGGCGGGAAGGAGACAGGGGCTCCAGTCTGCTCTGAACGCCACCTCCAACTCCACTTCCAACTGAACTGAACCCCAGTTTCGGGCCCATTGGGGGAGAGACTAGACTGTTTGGTAGCAGGCGATCGAGGGCGCCTTTCTCTCAGAGGCGCTTGCAAGGAGTACTGAAGGACCCTGAGTCTCAGGAGTCGCATTGGGCGGGGCTGACGGAAGCCAAAGCTGTAGGCTCCACCCTGAAACCCCGCCCCATCAGGAAAGCTGCCTGCGAAAATGCCTAAACCAAATAGATCACAAACGAAAGAAATGGAGGACAAACAGCGACTGGATATAGAGTTCAAAACCACACTTATAAGGTTTTTCAAGAGTTTCCTAGAAAAGGCCGATAAAATAAATGAGACTTATGAGGATATGAAAAGGGATCAACAAGAAATAAAGAATACATTGTCTGAAATAAAAACTATTATACAGAGTCCTAAAAACAGAATAGAAGATCGCAAGAATCAAGTCAAAGATTTGGAACATAAAGAGCCAGAAGATACTCCTCCGCAGAAGCTAGAAGGCAAGAGAATCCAGAAAATTGAGAATCAAGTCAAAGATTTGGAACATAAAGAGCCAGAAGATACTCCTCTGCAGTCGCTAGAAGGCAAGAGAATCCAGAAAATTGAAGATGATGTAAGAAACCTCTGGGACAACTTCAAACGATCCAACATCAGAATTATGGGGGTCCCAGAAGATGAGAGAGAGCAAGATATCGAAAACATATTGAAAGAAATAGTGACAGAAAACTTCCCCCACCTGGGGAAAGAATTGGACTTACAAGTCCAGGAAGCGCACAGAACTCCAAATAAAAGGAATCCAAAGAGGACCACACCAAGACAAATCATAATTAAGATTCCAAGAGCAAAAGACAAAGAGAAAATATTAAAAGCAGCAAGAGCTAAGCAGGTAGTTACTTATAAAGGAGCACCTATACGATTGTCAGCTGACTTCTCAACAGAAACCATGCAGGCCAGACGGGAATGGCAAGAAATATTCAAGGTGATGAATAGTAAGAACCTACAGCCAAAGATAATCTATCCAGCAAAGCTATCACTCAGAATCGAAGGTCAGATAAAGAGTGACTTCACTAATAAAAAAAAGCTAAAGGAGTTCATCACCACCAAACCAGAATTATATGAATTGCTGAAGGGGGTTCTTTCAGAAGAGAAAGTAAATAAAGATAAAAATTATGAACAACAAATACGAAACTATCAACAAGTGAATCTAAAAACCAAGGAAATTAAAAAAAAATCTGAAGAACAATATTAACTGTTGAATATAATAGAATCAGAGGTATGGAAGGAGAGTGAACTGATGATTCTTGGGGAAAAGGGGAGAGGGGGATGTGAGAAGAGACTGAACATAAACTGTGCACCTATGGATGAGGACAATGGGGGTTGGGGAAAGGGCAGAGGGTGAGGTGGGAAGGGGGGGGGGGAGGGACATTTGTATGAACAATAAAAATTTAAGAAAAAAAAAAAAGAAAAAAAAAGAAAATTAAATAATGTACTCTATTTAAGATACTGGTCTTACCATAATGACAGGTATTACTGCTCATTATCATTGGTGGGGAGGAGAAGAGTTCTAGTGCAATCCTGCCATTTAATGAGTGTGACAGGGAGAAGGGTCAGTTCATTTCTCTGCATCTCAATTTCTCCAATGATTAAATAAACAGCTTGGCAGAGGGGATTTCCCAATCGGGTCATTGGGATCGGAATTGTGTTTAGGCACCTGGCACTGAAATTGGCCTAGCAACAAAGGGGTTTATTTTTCTCATGTAACAGGAAATGTGGAGGGAGGGAGTCCACGTTCGCAAGGCAGCTCTGCCCGTGTGTCCTCGAGGACTGAGGCTCCTTCCATAGTGTTTCCTCCACCAACCTCAGCAGGTGAAGGTTTGCCCTCTTGTTTTCCAAATGGCGGCCTCTGGTCAGGAAGAAACCAGGCCACTTGTCACCTTTTAAAGGGCATTCTGGCATAGAAGAGAATTCGGAATCTCAGAGGGAAGGCAGGGGAGGATGAGCGGGTAGGAAGTGATCAACCAAAGAACTTGTATGCATACATGAATAACCCATGGGCACAGACATAGGATGATGAAGGCCTGGAGGTTGGGGGAAGGATAAAAGGGGCTTATGGGGAAAAAGGAGGACATATGTAACACTTTCAACAATAAAGATTTAATAATAAAAAATAAAGGGCATCCTGCCCTAGCTGGTTTGGCTCAGTGGCTAGAGCGTTGGCCTGCGGACTGAAGGATCCTGGGTTTGATTCCAGTCAAGGACGCGTACCTTGGTTGCAGGTCTCCCGGGCCCTGGTTAGTACAGGAGGCAGACAATTGATGTGTCTCTCTCACATCGATATTTCTCTCTGTCTTTCCCTCTCCCTTCCACTCTCTCTAAAAACCAATAGAAAAATATCCTCAGGTGAGGATTAACAAAAAGATAAATAAAATAAAATAAAATAAAATAAAATAAAATAAAATAAAATAAAAGTCATCCTGAAAGCTACATGTCCCATTGGCCACAATGGAGTCTTGGGTCCACCCTTAGCCACAAGGGAAGCTGGGAGGATTTTAACTGAGCACACTCTTGCACAGGAAAGGAGGCTGCTGCAGGTGGGAGGAAAGTGGAGAATGGATATTGGGAGGCAGACAAGTATCAGCATTGGACCCGCAAGGTGATCAGGAGACAATAACTGTTTCACGATAAACCCACCTAGGTTAATGTAGGCATACAAAATTACCGAAGATAAAATATAAGTTTTAGGCCAGAGGCACCAAATGGAAAGGAAAACCTGGCCCTTTGAAGACCCTCTGGCTTCTGGTTCCAGAACCCCATTGTCTGATGCAGGGTTCTGTGTCCGGTTTCTTTCCTAGCTACCAAGACAGAACCCTTCAGGAAGCACAACTCCTCCCGGGAGACGCCTCCAGTGTAGATGCGGGGCGTTGGGTTGGGATTGCTGTGAGGCTGGCTTTGGCAATCTCATCCTGGCATTTTTAGAACATGTGGATGGAGCAGCCGTCTGTGGCGTTAGCCCGTTTTGGGTGGTTCTCACCAAGGCTGTGTGACCGCTGCGTGAGGTCTGTGGAGGCCACCCCAGTGCAGAATTAGGCTTGGAGGAGGCGAGCAATGCTGTCTGATGACCAAGTGAATGAAACCGTCATTAATGTGGAGACTGTTCTGTCTGGGGTCCAAAACCATCTATCCTCAAACATGAACGTGCCAGGAAAGTCGGCGGTGAACTTGCGTTTTGGCACGGCCTCGTCCATATCGGGCATCAAGGTGACAGACCGGAATGACAGAAGGGCCAAGCAGTCTGTACGGTTTTCATCTTTGAATAAAATGTGTTCTCGGAGCCATTATAGCTCAGACAGTGGGGACATGGACATGCTTTGTACTTCACTTCAAGGTAGTAAGTCGCTGGGGCCAATGAGCAAAGACAGCTTGCCAGTGATTCCCCAGGGATTTTTAGTGATGAGACAAGCAGCAGGTTGAAGATTTGGTAGCTGACCCAAGGATGCTAGGGACTGATGAAGGGGTCACTTTGAGAGCATCGGACACCTAAAAAGGAGTTGGCTTTGATCAAGCTGATTTCGTGTGCCTCGCTCTCTGCTGAGCACTTCCTTTTTTGTTATCCATCAAACGTATTTGTATTTTCTCCCCATGCTCCATATCTCTAAGGCAGGCATGCTTGTCATTTCCATCTGCTTGATGAGGAAACTGAGGCTTAGGGAAATTGTGTGATCTGGCGGATCTGGGACCCAAATGCTGTTCTGTCTGATTCCCTAACCTGATACCTTAACCGCCATCCTGTTCTGCTTTGGTCCAATTCCTTCCCACCCTGGATTCGGCAACATAGGATGCCTGTGGTTGTCAAGTCCACCACGAAACCAGTTCTTAGCTGAGACCTCCCTGCCTCTCTGCTCCAGAGGTCAGCGCTTTGGTCATTTAGATGCTGTTTCTGTTTTAATCCATAAGACTTGAGGCAGTGCCAAAGCCGGTTTGGCTCAGTGGATAGAGCGTCGGCCTGCAGACTGAAGAGTCCCAGGTTCGATTCTGGCCAAGGGCATGTACCTTGGTTGCGGGCACATCCCCAGTAGGGGGTGTGCAGGAGGCAGCTGATCGATGTCTCTCTCTCTCATCGATCTTTGTAACTCTCTATCCCTCTCTCCTTCCTCTCTGTAAAAAAACAATAAACTATATTAAAAAAAAAAAAAAAAAAAGACTGGAGGCATAAAGTCCAACCTCTTTCAATGATTTCTAAGAGAAAAAATACCCATTTACACCATTGTGTGGGTTTAGCCCCTTAAATGAAGACTGCCTTGTCATATGCTGTGCCCAAATCGCTCACCTGCAAGGGGACAGGACCTTCAGGATGGGCTTGGACTCATCGGGACCTGTCCCCAGTGCCTGGAGATGGGACCCAGGGCCGTGGGAGGGAGCAGGTATATTTCTAAACAAAATTAGTATTCTATTAAAAAAAAAAAAAAAAAGAAGAGATGACTTTGGGGGAGGCCACCAATAGTATCTGCCACACTGACCCAAAATGTGATTACAGGTTATTGGGAGAAGAGGTGGGGAAGTCATTCCAGGTAGAAGAGGATCTGACAACAGTCAGGCACTGCAAGAAGACAGAGTGCAGGGGGCCTGGAGTTTAGGGGGCAAGAGAAGTGATGTAAACTATTAAAGTGAGGGACATTAATGTGCAAGATGATGTTATCACAGAAAAGGAAAGCATTGAATTGGAATTGCGTGCACACTGTCATTTTCTTTGGCTTTGAGGTTTAACACAGATTCATGCTGTCAGCTTATTTTTAACCTGTGCCATTTGGGATCATTGAGTCCATACATTCTTCATTCCATGTGCTCTTAAAAAAACACTAGAGGCCTGCTGCACAAAATTCTTGCACTGGTGGGGCGGGGTGTCCCTCAGCCTGCCCTGTGTCCTCTTACAGTCTATGAGCCCTCAGGGAATGTTCAACTGACAGTTTAGGCAGTCAGACATCCTTAGTACTGCCCGGGAAGCGGGAGAGGCTCCCACTGCTGCTGCTAGGCTTGCCAGCCATGAGCAGGGCTTCTGGCTGAGCAGCACTCCCCTGTGGGAGTGCACTGACCACCAGGGGCAGCTCCTGCATTAAGTGTCTGCCCCCTGGTGGTCAGTGGGCATAATAGTGGCCAGTCATTTCAACTTTCAGTCGATTTGCATATTAGCTTCTTATTCTATAGGATGCTCTAACCTCAGCACATATTTTAAAATGTCATTACTCTGTTAAAGGAAAAAAATTAATTCTATTTTCTTCCACAGGACAAAAGTTAATCGCATCTCTGATACCCATGACATCCAGAGACAGAATTAAAGCCATCCGGAATCAGCCGAGGACCATGGAAGAGAAAAGGAAGCTTCGGTATGGAGTAAACGCTTTTCTTCTTTCCCAGATTTTTATGCCAATCTCGAGCTTCTACTTTTGTCTCATCTCAGAAAGATAAGAAATAAACAAATGCAACAGAAGAGACCATCTTCCTACAGAAAATTCCACATAACCTCCTGTTTCCTGGAGTGTAGGCTGCTTGCGCTAGTGGCCAGCTTCCAAAGAGCAGAGTGTGGAAACAGGGATAGTAACTTTCTAGAGATGACGTCCATTTGACACTACCTCAGCCAGGTGACCAAGGTTGAGATCTTCAGAGATGAGTCATGTGATCAGAAGGACATATCCCTCTGTGGCACTGTCTCTTAAACCCTGTAACCCTAATCTAACCAGAGAAAAAAAGTCAGGAAGACCACAATGTGGGGGACGGTCTACAAAATACCCAACCAGTATTACTCAAAGTTATAAGGTCATCATAAATGAGGAAAGTCTGAAAAACTATTAACAGACTCAAGGATTCTAAGGCGGCATGACAACTAACTGCCATATGGATGGGATTCCTTGAATAGAAAAGTCCAGCCACCTCGGTCTCCTTGGGGATTTGAGTATCCCTAGGCACAGGGACAGTCCTTTACTGGTGAACCCCTTCCCTCTTACAAGACTTTATTCAAAAGTCACACTATTTCAAATTGTAACACAGTCCCCACCCTAGCATTACCCAGATCCTTACCCTGCTATTTCCCTTTTTCTTCCCCATACAAATCACCTTGTAACATGCCATACAGTTTATCCACTTTATCATTATACTTATCACTTATTCCCTTTCTCTTCCAACTAGGATGTCAGCCCCATGAGTCAAGGAAATCCCTCTCTCTCTCTCTCTCTCTCTCTCTCTCTCTCACTTGTTTTGGGATTTAATGTCATAGTAATAGATTTTATTTTTTTCATTGGTCTCTTTATCTCCACCTGGGACTGTGCCTGACTTGTAATAGGTGCTCGGTAAATATTTGGGGAATGAATGTATTACAGGGCTTGTATCTCTCACTTGCTTCTGCTGCTCCCCCAGGAGAATGGTTGACAAAGAGAAAAGTAAGCAGTCCCGTCGTATCTTTGAGCTCAACTGCTGCAACCAGTGTTTGAATTCCATCTCCCTGGTAAGTCTGCCTGGAATGCAGTCAGAGAAATGAGCACGAGAGGGTGAAAACGGGAGGTAGGAGAGTGAGGATAAAAGGGGAACTACGGAGAAGAAGAACCAATTTCAGGGCTGTTTCACTGAAGGCCATAAAAATTGGGTCAGTTAGGCGTGGGAAAACCAGGTGAGTGTGCGAAGGTCTGGGTTATTTGGGCAATGTAGCCACTGCGAGTGTCACCTTCAACAGCAAATCTGTGGATTGAATGAGATGACATTTGCAAATGCCTAGTGAGGTGCCCGGCACAATGCTCTAGAAACGGTGGCCATTTCTGCTATTGTGGAACCTACTCCATAGATATTTGCAGAGGGAATGTCAAGCCTCCTCTTAACCCCAGGCCTACCGGAGATCCAAGAACATCCTGTCGGAGCTGCTCAGTTCCGTCAGCCTGTGGCAGAAGACGCTCAAGATCATCGGAGGCAAGTTTGGAACCAGCGTCCTGTCCTACTTCAACTTTCTGAGGTGGCTTCTGAAGTTCAACGTCTTCTCATTCATCGTGACCTTCAGCTTCGTCACGATCCCTCAGTTCACCGTGGGCGGAAACAACACCTTCCCGTTCACAGGACTGGAATTTTTCACGGGAGCGGTAAGTTCTCCCTTTCCCCCTCTGAGGGTTCACCCCTCGGGAAACCCAGACGCACCTGCTGGTCACTGTGCCAGACCTTCACTTTTTCCCGGGAGTCACTGATGGGGAGAGCAGGTGTTTAAATAATGTTTTTCTCCCCCCCCCCCAAAAAAAAATGTAGAACATAGGAGACTTTCTGTCTCCAGAAGCAACAGCTTACGTTACTTACATATGCCTCCTTTTCTCTTTTTTTCACAAAAGGTGAATTAGTCATATGTTCTGCTTATGATCTGCTTTCTTCAATATGTAGTGGGTTTCTCGTGTTGGTGTTCATAGATATACCTTTTTTTTCTTTCTTTCTTTCTATAAACTGTAATGCTCCTTTTGGAAAATTCCTACTACAGATGAGAACAGACTAAGAGAAGTCCATTTTACCCTTCTTCCCTTGTTTAACTCCCCAGTTCAGAGGGGATCATTGACCACTGTTTTTCTCACTACACCAACATGGAGATATAATGCATAGGTAGGTAGATAGGAAGGTAGCTAGATATTCTTTTTAAAAATGGAAATAGGACAGGATGCCACAAGTCTTGTTTTGCAACATGTTTTGCTTTATGGCAAAACATCTATGTAGGCCCATGTTACTAGTATTCTATGTAATAGCAACCACGATTCATTTACCCAGCTCTTTATCAAGGCACATAGCCCCTACCTTGTGAGTTCACCTCCCAGGAGAGATTTCTGCCACGGAGATTCTATAGACCAGGGATGGACAAACTACAGCCTGAGAGCCAAGTCTGGCCGGCCATCTGTGTTTGTACAGCCTGCAAACTGAGATCGGCTTCTCCATTTTTAAATGCTTGAACAAAAATCAAAAGAAGAATAGCGTTTTTGAGAAGCATGAAATCCATATTTCCGTGTCCGTAAGTAAAGTTCTTTCAGAACATGGCCACCCACCTTTGTTTATGCGTCTGTGCTGTTTTCTGCTGTGGGCAGAATTGAGATAGTGCTGTGCGGTCGTAGGGGGTCTGACAGTTACTGTCTAGCTCTTTACAGAAGAAGTTTGCTGACTCTTGCCATGGAATGTTCAAAGTATGTCATTTGTCTTTTTATTTTAAAGATAGATTTAATTTAAAAGAATTTTTCTCAACCAACTTTCAGACACATTATTGGATTTTGTGTGATGTTGAATAAACATGAAAGCTACTATAAAATAAATAAATAAATAAATAAATAAATAAAAGAATTTTTCTCAGGATAGATGCATTTAAATGGAATTATTGTGTACTTTTTTCTCATTACTATGTGTATTTTGTGTTCTTGTATATATGAAACCTTTTCTTATGAAAAATTTCAAACATACAAGAAATAAAGAGTAGACTAATAAGCATCCACCTACACACTATGTCGATTTAAATTTGTTAACGTTTTGCCATATTTGTCTGATTATTTTAAGTAGGTTACAGACATCTGGACATTTCACTCTGAACTTCAAGGTGCATCCTGCCTTTAGTCGTGCTCCGCTTGGTCACTGGGTCCTGGTGGGAATGGCTGGGTCCCTGTATTGTAAACCTATGCCGGTTGGGGAGTCCTTTCCAACTAAAAGCTTAGTGATAAAATGTCTAGGTTCTCAGCAGCCTTGGCTGTCCCTTTTCCTTGCAAACAAAACATCTAAATGGACTGGTCCACACTTCTAGAAGACAAAAGAGATCAATAATCACTCATCATTTTCTCAAGAGACCCACCTGACGTGGGGCTTATTGTCCCTTTCAGGATTATTTTACTGACACGGTGATGTACTATGGCTTTTATACCAATTCTACAATCCAGCTTCGGAGCGGTGGGGCATCCTACAACATGCAGCTGGCCTACATCTTCACCGTCGCAGCCTGTCTCATCATCTGCTTCTTCAGTTTGCTGTTCAGGTATGAAGTATCCGCATTTCCTGATTCTGTCCTCTTTTTAGATTTAGGCAAAATTCAAGAGACTCGCCTTACTTAGTTTGGCTCAGTGGATAGAGCATCGGCCTGCAGACTGAAGGGTCCCAAGTTCAGTTCCAGTCAAGGGCACATGCCCGGGTTTCAGGCTTGATTCCCAGTATGAGGCAGCCAATCAATGACTCTCTCTCATCCTTGATGTTTCTATTTCTCTCTTCCTTTTCCTTCCTCTCTGAAATCAACAAAAATGTATTTTTTAAAAAATTCAAGAGACTCAAAAGTTACCCAGGAAAAAGTCTTTCTGTAATCTGTCCATTCCTTGTTCTGCAACATAAAATAGAAGTTCAGACAGAGCAGAGAAGTTTAGAGGTTTCCATGTGCTTTCAAAGAAATTGGTCAGTCTGAACATAGTAGGGATGCAATGGCTCCGGTAGTTATGTGAACAGAAGGATATGGGTGGACAATTGTCAAATGATAATTATCTAAGAGGAAGTACGGATGTTCAACCCCCGTATTAGTTTGCAGGTTTGGGTGGCTTAAGCAACAGGAATCTATTTTCTCATGTTCTGGGGGCTGGAAGGCCAGGATCAAGGAGCTGGCAGTGTTGGTATTTTCTGAGGCCTCTGTCCTTGGCTTGTAGATGACTGTTTTCTCTCTGTGTCCTCACAGGGTCTTCCCTCTGTCCATGTCCGAGCCCTCATTTTCTCTTCTTATAAGGATTAGGGCCCAGCCTTCATGGCCTCATCTTAACTTAATTATATTTGTAGAGGTTCCATCTTCAAATATAGTCAATATCTGAGGTACTGGGGGTTAGAAACACAACATATGAAATTTGGGGGTATACCATTCAGCCCATACCAACTTCATTGCCAGCAAATTTATTCAAAATAAAATGAGAATTTTTTTATCCTATCAAACTATAAAAATACTCAGTGGGGGGCGCATTTTGGAAAGGGAGTGTCCACTTCACTGAGCATTTATTTATCCTAAGCCTGGTTTCCCCGGGTCCTCTCAGCATCCCCACGACAATAAGAGCTGCCTATATTGAGTGCTGGTTGCTCTCAGCACTTCACCGACTCTTGTGGTTGGCTGAACAGTGCCCCTCATCTCCCAAAGATGTCCACCTTTGAATTCTCAGGACCTGTGAGCCTGTTACCTTCCCTGACAAAAGGGACGTGGCAGACGTGATTAAGTTAAGGATCTTAAAATGGGAAGATCGCCCTGGATTATGCAGGTGGGGACAATGTAATCACAGGGTCCTTAGAAGGGGGAGGCAGGAGGGTCAAGGTGAGAGAGAGTGTCAGATGCTACTCTGTAGGCCAAGGAATGCAGGCAGTCTCTAGAAGCTGGAAAAGGATTCTCCACTCGCGCCTCTAAAGAGAATACAGCCCTGGATTTTAGATCTATTTTCTGGTCTCCAGTAAGAGAATAAATTTGTGTTGCTTGAAGCCACTAAGTTTGGGACAATTCATTACAGCAACAATAGGACACTAACACACCTCTCATAATAATTCTGTGAGGTACTATTATTATCCCCATTATACAGATATGGAAACTGAGGCTTAGAGCAGTTAACATGACTAAGATCCCCCAGCTGGCAGTGTAGGGTTGTAAGTCAGGCCTGTCAGATCCTGAAGCAAGAGCATCTAACCATTGTTTGTGTTTACGCTGTTCCAGAAGAACTTGGAACTAACTCTTCCATATTATTGTTCCCTGTTAAAGATAGGAACTTTCTTTTGTTTAATACGCACACACAGACACACACACACACACACACGCACACGCACACGCACACACACACACACCAGTGTTTGTCCTAATAACCCATGGTTTGCTGGTTTCTGCTTTCCCTAGCATGGCCAAGTATTTCCGGAACAACTTCATTAATCCCCACATTTACTCCAGAGGGATCGCTAAACTTATTTTTTGCTGGGACTTCACCATCACCCACGAAAAAGCTGTGAAGCTGAAACAGAAGAATCTGAGCACTGAGATAAAGGTAAGGCGAGCTTGCTTTTGACAGCACCTTCCCGGACAGTCTCCTTCTCTCCTTCAGTATGTCTATAACTTTTCTTAAAGTAATAAGGAATTATTTTTTTATTGCCAATGATAATATATATATATATTTATATTTATATATATAAATTTATTATATATGTGTGTATATATGTATATATATACACATATATATATAAAGAAAACACCCCCAAAAACACAGAAAAAATATTCATAGTGCCCGGTGCTTATGATGGAATAGGGAGATGGACATTTTCACACGACACTTGGCTTTGGAATTGGTACAAGCTTACTAGAGGGCAGTTTAGCAACTTACGAAATGTTAAATGTAAATACTTCTTGACCTCATAGCACCAGGTTTAAAATTTTATCCAGTGGTTTTCAGCCCAGGAAAGTTTTGCCCTTCAGGAAATATATGCCAATGTCTGGAGACTTTTTTGGTTGTTATGCAATTTGGGAGGGGTGGGGGTGCCATTGGCATGTGCAGGTGCAGCTACACATCCCGCAGTGCACAGGACAGCTGCCACACACAGAACTCTCTGGCCCCAAATGCTGAAAAACCCTGGTCTTTAAAAAAAAAAAAAAGGTATTAAAAATATAGAGCAAGCAGAATGCATAAACAAAGGGGCTTTGTCAAGAGGGTTGCAACCTAACCGGTTTGGCTCAGTGGATAGACTGTGGGCCTGTGGACTGAAAGGTCCTGGGTTCGATTCCAGTCAAGGGCATGTACCTTGATTGTGGGCACATCCCAAGTAGGGAGTGTGCACAAGGCAGCTGATGGATGTTTCTAACTCTCTATTCCTCTCCCTTCCTCTCTGTAAAAAATAAATGAAACATATATTTCTTTAAAAAGAGGGTTGCAGATGTTGACTTCTTATTCTTCAAGAATTTCATGACCTCGGTGTACTTTCCTCAGTGTACGGTCCCAATCTGCTGGTCCTATCTGTTCCTCTACAATTAAAAGCGGCATTTAATGCAGTTATGGAAGTTCTTGCCTATTTGAGATTTTTCCCAGGGGGTCTCCCATAATTCCTGTTCATTATGAACTTTCCCTGTTTCTCTCCTGTATATCTGGGGTGGATTTGGGTCTCTGGGAATGAAGAGTATTAACCCTGCAGGCCATTGTGACTTCCTTGTGTTTATAGGAGAATCTGTCAGAAATCCTTCAGGAGAACGACAAGCTAACGCTGAGTCAGCATCTGACCCGCTTGTTTGTCCATCTGGTAGCCTGGGTTGTCTCCACCGGAATGGCCATTGCCTGCTGTGCGGCTGTTTATTACCTGGCTGAGAACAACTTAGAGGTAACCAGAGAGCCAGGTGCAGCAAGGTGCAGAGCACAGAGAACCAGGTGAAGGGTGGGATGCTGGAGGGGAGAGGGAAGTGGACCCTGCTACTCAAACTGGGTCCATGGTCATCAGTTGGAAACCTGTTTAAAAATGCAGAAGCTCAGGTCCCTCCTGTAGCCCATGGACTCAGAGTCACATCTTAGCAACGTCCCCAGGTGATGTGTGTGCACGACTTAGCCCAAGACACTCTGGGCTAGTGGAGAGATGGGAACTTTGTCTGGTTTCTTCCTTTATTATTATTTTTTTAATATTCTTTTTTAAAAATATATTTTGTATTGAGTTTTTACAGAGAGGAAGAGAGAGGGATAGAAAGCTAGAAACATCAATCAGCTGCCTCTTGCACACCCCCTATTGGGGATGTGCCCACAACCAAGGTACATGCCCTTGACCAGAATCAAATCTGGGACCTTTCAGTCCACAGGCCAATGGTCTATCCACTGAGCCAAACTGGTTTCGGCTCTTCCTTTATTATTATACTAGAGGCCCGGTGCATGAATTCATGAACCAGTGGGGTCCCTCGGCCTGGCCTGCAGGATCGGGTCGAAACCAGCTCTCCAACACTCCCAAAGGGGTTCCAGATTGCAAGAAGGTACAGGCTAGGCCAAGGAAACCCTGAGTCTCAGTTTGCCCGTCTGTTAAGTCAGACTTTACCTGATGGCTGCAATCATGTGGGTAGTGAATGCTTGCCCCAGGTAACTGCTCAATACCAGGAACTTAATAGCTAACCCCAGAGGAACTACTTCCAGGGTTTTCCGATGGTGACGGATCTTCTGAGCGAGGCGAAGAGGGGTCCAGTGCACATCTGATTCTCTCCCTCCACCCCCTGTAGTTCATGAAGAGCCAGAAGAACCCCGGGGCGATGCTGTTACTGCCTTTCGTCGTGTCCTGCATCAACCTGGCGGTGCCTCGCTTCTACTCCATGTTCGGGCTGGTGGAGCACTACGAGATCCCGCGGCAGGAAGTGTATGTCCTCCTGATCCGGTACGTGTGTCTGTCACTCCCAACAGCAGCCCCCGTTTTCACAGAAGGAAGTAGAGTGGCAGCTAGAAAGGGTTATGCTCAAGTTTTCCAGGGGAAATTTCAAGAATATAGTGAGGTTTTTTTGTATGCTATAGGTAAATAACCATAAAACCCAAAGAGCCCAGAGACAATACAGGCTTTCAGTTATATCTGCCTTTTGCTCAAAATAATGACTTACCTTTCCCAGTTACTACCAGCCTAAGGGTTAACTCGTTCTCAGGTGTAGGATGGACAGACAGGCAGGTTGCACAGGGCACACAGGTTCCTGGCTGAGGCGTTGTCTGGGGACTGAAGTCCTCGGGTGCGTCCACGAGTCAGATTGTGAGCCCTGGTACCCACTGCACCAGCCGAGAAGGAGAGGCACATTTCTGGTAATTCAACCGCCCAAAGGAAGGTGGAGGGAGTGCTTCTGGCAATTCATTGGCTGGGCCTGGCGATGCCTTACTCTGATTCCCACAGAAGCACTGTATGTGCTAGAGGTGATCGCAGGGTTTTGGTAAATAAGGCATAAAACTACCGTATTTTCCGGCATATAAGACGACCCCCTAATTTTACAGTTAAAACATAGGTTTAGGCCTATATTCGCTGTATAAGACTACCCTTCACTTCAAAGAAAACTTACTTTGCCGTCAAGATCTGCAGGTAATTTTAGTGCAATTTTGGTTTTTTGCCCCCCGATTTTCGATCGACTTTTTTTCCGTTTCAAAAGTCGTCTTATGCCGGGACTGGTTTGGCTCAATGGATAGAGCGTCAGCTTGGGGACTGAAGGGTCCCGGGTTCAATTCTGGTCAAGGGCATGTACCTTGGTTTCGGGCATATCCCCAGTAGGGGGTGTGCAAGAGGCAGCTGATCGATGACTCTCTCTCATCGATGTTTCTAACTCTCTATCTCTCTCCCTTCCTCTCTGTACAAAATCAATTAAAAAAATTTTTTTTAAGTCGTCTTATATGCCGGAAAATACCCAAATTGTGTTCTTATTGCTGCTTCTTAGCTGGTTTCTTGACCAGTTCTTTGCTGTGATGGTGTTTATGGCGATAAGGCTGTACAATGCAAGGCAAAATAAAGATATGTTAGACTGTAAGTTCCAACCTTCTAGATATTTCCAAAAGCCCCTCCTTACCAAACAAAAGACACTTTTTTTTTTTTTTATCACTCTCCTCACTTAAAAAATTCCAAGGAAGGGTTTTTAGGAGCTCTGTGCCAGATACGGGACCAAAGACCAAATATGTATTTCTTATAACTCACAATACCACAGTATACTAAGGCACTAATCTAGAAGATATTGAGGGTCATAGTAGGGCTTGACCTTGTGGTCTGAACCTGTGGTCCCAGGTGGCTAAGTGGGAGGTGCAGCAAGTGCAGCCAAAACAAAGCTTGATAGAGTTCAGGTGCTTGTAATTGAGTAGATTCGAAACCCGCGAGAACATTGTAAACATCTTGACCATGCCTTTGCTTTGCCTGGTTCGATCTAACTATAAAATACTCAGCTTACAGACTGTGGCACTGTCTCTCCATTCGACAAGTCAGCTCGGATGGAGAGACATTGCCATAGCCTGTAAATCTGGGGCTAGCATCCCACCTCACCCCAGATTTATTCTCTTGTCTTACTTCTTTAATCCTTTACCGCCCCCCCTGTCTTCCCCCACATCAGGTTCACCCTGCCCATGCTGACCACGGCACGTCTAGTGTAAGGTGACCAGATCGTCCTGCTTTTGGTGGGACAGTCCTGATTTCTAACAATTTTTCCCAAGTCCCGTAGCGTTTTTAAAAAAGTCCCGATTTTTGGAAAGAATCTTTCCAATCTTTCCAAAAATCAGGACTTTTTTAAAATGCCGCGGGACACGAGAAAATTTGTTGAAAAGCGGGATGTCTGGTCACCTTAATCTAGTGACACATGAATCCTAGCACACCAATCCTGAAGCCGTATTAAAACCAGCAGATGTTGACTTAAATAACTGAGTTTAAGAACTGAGGTTGTGAAATCAGATAGTCCTCAGTTTGAATCTTTTTCATGCCCCTCATAAGCTGTGTGACCTTGGGCAAGTTATTTTAACGCTCTGAGCTTCAGTTCCCTCATTGGAAAGATAGGTATAAAATGCTATCTACTCGATGATAGAGTTGTACAGATTAAGAGGGATGCTTTAAAAAAGTGCTTAACACAGTGTACTGTCTGATAGCACTCAATGAATAGATTACTATTATAATGAAAAGTTAAATCAGATTTTGAGATGCACCAAAACAGTGTGTATCAATCAGAATAAATTAGGTTATGCTGAGGTAACAAACATCCCCTGTGACCCAAATCTCAGTGGCTTAAAAAAAACAAAGGCATATTTTTTGTTCATGCTACATGCCCATTGTGGATTGGCAGGGTTTTGTGCTCATGTCAGTCATTCAGGGATCCAGGCTGAAAGAGCAACAATCATCTCAAATATTGCTGATGACCATTCCAGAGGGAAGACAGTAAGTTCCTGGGGTGGGTAGTGGGGAGGGTCTCACTGGCTTTTAAATGCTCCAGCCTAGAAGTGACATAAAGTAACACACATCACGTTTGCTCACAACTCATTTGCCAGAACTACTTACGTAGCCCCACTCAACCACAGTGGGGCAAGAATTTCTATCCTACTTTGTACCCAAAAGGAAATACTGGAGAATAGCACTAATGACTGCCATAGACAGTAATGGTAGCTGTTTTCTCTTCTGTTATTTAGAAACATCTTTTTGAAAATATCTATCATTGGAATTCTTTGTTACTATTGGCTCAACATTGTGGCCCCGGCTGATGAAAAGGTGAGCTTTCCATGCTGTCCTGCCTTAATTTTGGTTTCTTAGTTTTTGACCACCAGAGAGAAAGCAAATTCCTCACGAGTTTCTGCTCATGATATTAGAGCAAATATCTTATTCTTCTACCTGTCCATTCATTTGTCCATTTATCATTTCATTCATCCATCCACCTACCCATCCTTGAGCTGTGTCTCCAAAACTTCCCTCTCCTCATTCAGCCAAATCTGAAAGCTCTTACTCAGTCCATCAGCTCATTGTACTAACTTCCTGCCGAGTTAACTGACTGCCAGTTTCATTAATTCAACCTTCCAGTTTGTACTAACTGGCTAATATATCTCTAGGCTATTTTCTTAATCCAGCAGTTATTAATTGATTTTTCATAAGGTTAATGAACAAAAGGAGTGGAGGCATTATTAGCCAGAGGTTCCTCCTGCTCTCCTGAAGAAGCTGATTGTCCCTGGCGGAGAAATGGGATCCAGAAGGCATAGGGGACAGGAATGACAAGTATTTAAAGGAGAGAGAGTGAGAAGGAAAAGTTTGGTTGCATGTGGAGGGCAAGCCTTAATGAAGAAAGAAGCATCACAAAAAAAGGAGTAAATATCCTGAAAACAAACTCGGTCTAATGATGCATTTCTACCAAGAGGGGGTCTGCTTTTCTGGGCACTCAGAACTCCAGCAGACTGAGTCACCAGCCAGGCCCTCGTGAGTACAGGGTGCCAGGAACAGAAAGAAATTGAGAGGAGGCAACAGCCCCTTCCCACAGCCTGACTTTTGTTTGCCTTCCAGTGTTGGGAAACGATGATTGGCCAAGAAATCTACCGGCTCCTTCTGATGGATTTTGTGTTCTCTCTGGTTGATTCCTTCCTGGGGGAGTTCCTGAGGAGGTAAATATTTGTCTGCCTTGGGGGATTAGTACCTAGGGTTGTAACTGGAGCCATTGCCTCCACTGAGCAAGAAGTGTGGGCCCTTCACATTCTCTAAGAATGCATTGTTCTAAATCTGCCTATTGTCCTTGGGATATTGTTTTCTTCTGAATTAACTGAACTTTCACCTTGGCCTGAGAGTCCTGTTGTCAAAGTTCTTTTGGTCCATTGGCCCTTTCCAACTTTCTCTTAAAAAAAAAAAAAAAAAAAAAGTTCTAGAATAAAACATAAAAACGGAGAGTCATTTGAGATCTTATTCATCATTTTAATATTCTAGTGTATATTCTTCCAGGTTTTTCTAGGCACATGTTGCTTTATATGTACTAGAAGCCCAGTGCACGAAATTCGTGCACGAGTAGGGACCCTAACAGTTACTGGCTGGGGCCTTCCTTTGTTCTGTGCCGCCCCCTGATAATCATAGCAAGCAATCGAACTCCCGGTCGGTCGAACTCCCAAGGGGACACTTTGCATATTAGGCTTTTATATAGATAGATGTACAAAATGGGGTCACACTGAAAAATCAGTGTGGAGGTTGCTTTTGTTAATCTAATCACAATGTTCTGGCACCTTTCCATGCCAGGACATATAGATTAATCTCATGATTCACTTAATTGGATTTAGTTAAGGTACTAATTTTTATTTTAGAACCAAGATATACAGAATCAAGGCAGTGTCATCATTATTAGCCCACATAAAAATCCCTATTGTTTATTTATTTATATATTTATTTTTAAATAATATCATGAATATCTCATTTCTTAGAGATATTTCCATATTTCTACAAGCTGCTGCAGTAATAAGGTGGCATGATACAATGCCAATTCTCTCCTCAGTGAGTGGGTAGGCTGAATGACAAAATTTCACACTCAGTCTTCTCAAACTAACTTCTATTACAGCTTCTGTCTGAGGTCTGGACATAAAGGTGAGAAGTGTTAGGAGGTTATTTTGACAGCAATTCTTACTGGCAACTCTTCTGTGTTAAGAAATAAAAATGGTCTCAAGTTTCCTCAGCATAAATGCAGACCTTAGTTCCTTCCTTGTGGATTTGGGAGCAGGGAAAGACCATTAATTCGACAACAGTAATCAAAATGGAAATATTTTCTATTTGTTTGGGATGGGAGAGACTGAGTTTATTTGGTCATAAAAAAAAAAAAAAAAGGAGGGGAGACAGTTGTATAAACAAGGTAACAGGTGGGATAATTTAAATAATAAGGTAACAAATGTTCTCTATAATTTTTTTAACTACTTTAGTTGTACCTCCCATCCCCACACCCATTTGAATGTCTTGTGTCAATTCCATCTTCCCTCAGTTCCTTCGATTATCTCTTTAAAAACATGCTTGTACTTGGAACTTTTCAAAAATGTGTAAGGGAACTTATGAATTTATTCCAAACTTGTGAGGGTCTCCTTTGTTGGTTGTGGGGAATCTTTTGAAGGAGGGAGTTGCTGGTTTTGGGTGCTAAACTCTGTATGTTTTCACAGAATCATTGGGACTCAGCTTATCACAAGCCTTGGCTTACAGGAGTTTGACATTGCCAGGAACGTCCTAGAACTGATCTATGCACAAACGCTGGTGTGGTAAGTTTTGAGAATCTTCAGTGTGCCCAGTGGTTCCCGCCTGACTGTGGACTCAGAGCTTGGTGGCGAGTCCCAGAATCTGTCGTTTCTAAAACTGCATGGGGGATACCAAGTCTAGCCAGTCTGAGAACCATGTCCTTTTTTCCTTTATGAGGACTTCTGGCAAGAATTAAAATAGAACAGGAATCCCGACCTGGAGGCCCCAGGCCAGATCTGGCCTGCAGGTGTGTTTTGCGTATCTCACACAGTGCTTTTTCTAAAAATTGGAAATAGCCACCAAATATTTAAAAATCAGGAGGTTTCACATAAAATTTAAAATCTCTGGCTTCTTCCCAACTCCCATTATGATAACAAATGGCTGGGTCTTGAGCCAGGCTGAGCCCCTCCAATTGCCACAGTCCCCACCTCACTATGATCTTCCCAAACCAGATTTGCCATGTCTTGTTGCTCCCTTCCAGGATTCGTTTTCTTAGGGTCAAAAATTTTAGCCTTGATTGATGATTCAATAGAAGTGGGGAAATAATGACAGGAGGGCTGTTTATTTCTTATTCCTGATCTGCTACACTGACTGATGGAGTGACACCGGAGGGACCTCCGGAGACTTGGGGGTCTGTGGCCTGTCTCAGCAGCTCTGTACGTGCATGTGGGTATGTGGGTGCACATGTGTCTTTTGAGACTAGCCAGCTAGTTGCATCAAATATTTAACAAGCTCACCTAGAAACTCAAACGACTATTTTTTAAAAATATATTTTATTGATTTTTTACAGAGAGGAAGGTAGAGGGATAGAGAGTTAGAAACATCGATGACAAAGAAACCTCGATCAGCTGCTTCTTGCACACCCCCTACTGGGGATGTGCCCGAAACCAAGGTACATGCCCTTGACCGGAATCGAACCCGGGACCTTTCAGTCCTTAGGCCGACGCTCTATCCACTGAGCCAAACCGGTTTTGGCTAGCGACTATTTTTATTTATTTTAACGTGATGTTACTAAGGCCAGAATTCTGTATGGTGTGTCAAATTTTGCTAATTTGAAAGCAGGGGATTTGGAATTAGAAGCAGGTTCTCCCTGTATTCGTTTATTAGGCTGCCATAACAAAAAAACAAAAAAAAAAAAAAAAAAACTTGGAATCTGGGGCTGGGTCTGCTCCTCCCTGAGGTCACTGAGCTTCTCTGAGCTTGTCTCCTCATCTGTAAAATGCAGATAATAGCTCGAGCCAGTTTGGCTCGTGGATAGAGCGCCAGCCCTATCTGAAGGTGCGATTCTGGTCAAGGGCACGCACCTCAGTGACAGGCTCAATTCCCCCCTGGTTAAGGCACGTGCAGAGGGCAACCACTCTATGTGTCTCCCTCACATCGATGTTTCTCCCTCCATGTCTCCACCTCCCTTCCACTCTCTCTAAAAAAAAAAAAAAAAAAAAAAAAAAAAAAAAAAAAAAAGGCAATGGAAAAATATTCTCGGGTCAGGGTTAACTAAAGTAACAACAAATAAAAATAAAATTTCACCCTTTGCACTCCGAACCATTCTGGACATTGGCTACCAGCTACTCAACGCTACTTTGTGGCGGAAACGTGCGTTGAAATAACTCAATTCCCCGTAATCACTAATAAACTGCAATGTCCCCCCTGAGAGGGACATCCGAGTGATATGCTAGAATTCCGATGTCCCCTGAGAGGGGACAGCGGAGTGCAAAGGGTTTCACTTAATCATAGCTGCCTTTGAATTGTGATCAGGATTGAGTCAGATGATATATGGAAACTACTTTGCCATCTTCAATATGTCATCCAGTTGTAAAGTGATTTATTTTTCCAACTCTTTAAAGCTGCCCTGTGTGATTTAGCTATCTTCAAATAACTCACGAATTGTCAATGCATTTCTTTTTAGAGGTAGTGAGGACTTTTCCTTTATGAGTTTAGGTGATATATTTGCACATTGCAGATTACTCCCTGGCAACTGGGCAGCTTATAAAAGCCTTTCACCCACATTATGTCAACAACAGGGGTGCCTTTGGGCAAGTCAATTAAACTCTCTCTAAACAGTTTTCTAATCTGTCAGTGGGGGCTATACTGTTCAGAAAATTGCCTGAGATTGGAGTTTGGTTCAGCAACCTTGGCACTGTATCTGAGTTCTGGCTAAGAAGGAATTCAGAGCCAAGACTCACATACAAGCAGAAGTTTATTTGGAAAGTCAGAGAGAGAGATGTGAGCTGTAGAATAAGTGAGCTCACTGGCCCTCTGTGGGCTCAGGAAACAATTGACAGAGGCAAAAGAAGGGCCCTTGCAACTTCAGAGGAAGAAAGCAAGGACGTAAATGTGGGAAGGTTCTCACAGGTGCGAGAGAGAGCCTTGTTCCAGAGAGGGCTGGGTCCTCTGTCCTAGGGGCTTTTAAAGGAAGGTCCCAGGAGAGGATCTCAACAGAATATTCATCAGTTTCCCAGGGTTGTGGTCTCCACTGATTGGTCAGCGCCAGTGCCGGAGGTCATTACTCATTGCAGCTGGCCCTAAGTGAGCCTTGCCGCTTTCCTGGGCCTGGGGCTGAAACACAACTGAGGCCTAGAGGTTATCTGCTGGGCTTAGTGCTTAAGGGAATGCTGGTGCAAGGGCTTGTGTTCTCCAGCACCTTGTTCCTCCTCGAAGGGGGTCTACCACAGGACTAGCAATAGGAAAGGCCAGGGGTCTAAACCTCAGGACTGGTAATAGGAAAGGGGAGGAAAAGTCACCCTGAAGGCAAGATTCCACCCTACAATTGTCCATTCGTAGGCCCCTTAACGCTTTGCACTCTGCTCCTGTCTGTCTAACTGCCTACTGTAATAATTTTCCAAGTTCCTCGAAATGTCTGTCAAATGACACTGATTTTTTATTTTCTAATTGTAAAATAAAGACTCCTTTAAAAATGTATTTAAGCCTGTGCCTATTACACAGGTGTAGGTGAGAATTAAATGAGAGGCGTACTAAGTGCGTAGTGAGCACCTGACTCAGAAATGTTTTCTAAGTGGAGGAAAGTTACAATCAGAGATGGCCATTATTATTTCTGAGCCCATAAGGTTTTTGCTAATCACTCATAAATAAGCACAATTGAAAATACACGCCTCTTTCCTTTTCTCAGTGGCAATTATAGATTTAGCCCCCATGGTTTTAGAATACCGCCTTTGATGATGAGCTTTTAAAGAAGATAATATAAGGACAGAAATTGAGTGACGTTAGGGATGCACGAACTTGAGTCTTTTGTACACCAGCCTGACTGTTATTGGCATATTCACATATCACCTGCATTGTTTTTTTGTTTTGTTTTTTTTTTTTAAATATATATATTTTATTGAATTTTTTTACAGAGAGGAAGGGAGAGAGATAGAGAGCTAGAAACATCGATGAGAGAGAAACATCGACCAGCTGCCTCCTGCACACCCCCAACAGGGGATGTGCCCGCAACCAATGGTACATGCCCTTAACCGGAATCGAACCCGGGACCTTTCAGTCCGCAGACCGACGCTCTACCGCTGAGCCAAACCGGCTTCGGCTACCTGCATTGTTTTTACTTAATATTATTATTATTTTTTTTTTAAATATATTTTATTGATTTTGTACAGAGAGGAAGGGAGAGAGATAGAGAGTTAGAAACATCAATGAGAGAGAGTCATTGATCAGCTGCCTCTTGCACACCCCCTACTGGGGATATGCCCACAACCAAGGTACATGCCCTTGACCGGAATCGAACCAGGGACCTTTCAGTCCCCAAGCCGACGCTCTATCCATTGAGCCAAACCGGTCTCGGCTTAATATTATTTTTAAGTATTTGCCGTTTTAAGCTTACGTACATTAAAAAATATTTTTATTGATTTCAGAGAGGAAGAGAGAGGGAGAGAGAGCTTAAAGCATCATGGATGAGAGAGAATCACTGATCGGCTGCTTCCTGCACACCCTCTTCTGGGGATTGAGCCTGCAACATAGACATGTGCCCTCCCCGGGAAGCAACCCACGACCTCCTCGTTCATAGGTTGACCCCCAACCACTGAGCAACACTGGCCAGGCAGGCTTAAATACATTTTTTAAAGGAGTCTTTATTTTACAATTAGAAAATAAAAAAATCAGTGTCATTTGACAGACATTTCGAGGAACTTGGAAAATAAAATCAACCTCATCACAAGCGGTCACTAAATTCTAGCTAAATGCTGCTGTCTGCTGAGAGCCAGTCAAAAGCCTCCTCCTCCTTTTTTTTTTTTTCTTTTTTTTTTCAACAAAATGGGAGGTTGGCACATGTTATGAGTTAAGAAAAATTCTGGCACCAAACGGAGATCTTCTTTTGGGCTCCGGAGCAGGGAGGGTTGTTGAAGAGGGAATGCCTTCTCATTTGTAACTCAATGGAGTTTCATGTCAGTCCTTGCAGGACCTCAGGCCTTCTGGGTACCACGAAGGGAGGAAGGTGACAGGTTTCACATTTGGGACCCCTCGGTTAGCACTTGCTCAGGACATGTGGTGGCTTAGTGTCTGTGTGGGTGGGGTTCTCTGCAAAATTTCTCCCCACCCCCACCCCCCCCACCCCCCCACCCCCCCATCCCCCCACCCCCCCCACCCCCGAGCTGGGAAGAGAGCAGCTGTGGATCCTGGGTATGGTGGGAGGAACTTGCCTGGCTGGTAGGGACGGAAGTACTCTCCCTCCGTATTCATTTATTAGCCTGTCCTGACAAGGAAACCCAGACCAGGGGCTTAGACAACACACATTTATTTCCTCACAGTTCCTGAGGCCGGAAGTCCAAGATCACGGTGTCCATTGTCCACAGGGTTGGTTTCTTCGGAGGCCTCTCTCCTTGGCTGGTAGAAGGCCATCTTTTCCCTGTATCTTCACAAGGTCTTCCTTCTGTGTGTCTGTCCTGACCTCTTCTTTCAGAGGGTTGGATTAGGGACCATTCTAGTCACCTCATCGTAAGGCCCTATCTCCAAATACAGTCACAGTCTGAAATACTGGGGTTAGAACTCGAGTATCTGAGTTTGCGAGGGACATGATACAGCCCCTAACACCCCCTTTCCATTCCCTCCACACCCACATGTCCCCACTGCATGTCTCCCCTGATCTCTGACACTCATCCTCTCTCCCTCACAGGATTGGAACATTCTTCTGCCCTCTGCTGCCCTTTATCCAAATGATTACTCTTTTCATCATGTTTTACGTCAAAAATGTAAGTCAGTCTGAGGTCGGAACCAATCACCTTGGTTCAGTCACATGTGAACAGAGGAGTTGGAATCAGGGGGGGAGGGGAGTGTGGAGGCGGCTGAGAAGGTGCTCAGGAAGCCAGTGTCTGGCTGGGGGCCCCTGGCCTGCTCACAGACGGTAAGGGGCCCCTCCTCTCTCTTCAGATCAGCCTGAGGATGAATTTCCAGCCTCCAAGCAAAGCCTGGCGGGCCTCACAGATGATGACTTTCTTCATCTTCCTGCTCTTTTTCCCGTCCTTCACTGGGGTCCTGAGCACCATGGCTATCACCATCTGGAGGTAGGAGATGGCGGCCTTGGGATGAGGTTGTAGAGCTGGGGTGGGTGAGTGTTTTAAAATGTAGATTTTCTTATTATTACTCAGATTTGGTGAGGCCGACAAATCAGGAGGTGATTGCCACCGAAAAGATCATTTGTTATACTCACAAATCCCCCCAAAGGGGCCACAACCCACCACAAAGGGTGGAGGGGGCCCATGGGCAGGCACCAGTGTAGTTCAGGAGGCAGAAGGAGCAGTGGGGAAGGGTGGGCAAGAGCCGTTATTGTGGCTTCCATAGGAAGGAATGGGGAGGCAGGGTAAGGACTGGCTAGTTTGAATGATTTCAGCGGGCTCTGGGGATTGGGGTTGTCTGGAGTTGCCAGCTATCTGGCCCTGGAGTGCTGGGGCAGAAAATAGTGACCCAAGGTGTGAGAGCTCCATAGAGGGTGGAATGCTGGCTCTGGATTGGTCGGTTTGCTCATGAAAGACTGCGTTTGTAGGATAGCCCAGGCCCAGGGAATGGCAGTCTCTCCAGGGTCAGTAGAGCCCCAGATGTCAAAACATCAGAGTAAAGAGACATACTTAATGCAGTGTTTAACTCCAGGTTCCCTGGCTAGCCAACAGACACTACATCCAAGTGAAGGAAAAAGTCTGAGTTAGGGGCCCACCCTCATGACCGGCTCAGCTTCCTCACTTCCCACAAAACGGAGAAAGGCCAGTTCCTCCACCTGGAGAACAGAACTGCATCTAAATCAACTGGAAGGCACTGTCTGATCAGGCTCTCTCCTACTTCTCCAACCTCACCCCCCTCGGCTCCTTCCTCCAGTGGCCCCACAGATCCTGCTCCATTCCTGAGACTCCGAGAGCTCCCCCCACATGGAGTAGGGTTCTCTGTTTGAAGAGCTCTCCCCACCCCCTTTGCTTGAAGACCCTCTTTCCATCCTCTGGTTCTTAGTTCAAAAGTCATCTCCAAATTCTTTTTTTTTTTTAATAAATCTTTATTGTTCATATTATTACAGATGTTCCTTTTCCCCCCCACCCCTCCATTGCTCCCCTCCACCAGGTTCCCACCCCACCCTCTGCCCTTTCCCCATCCCTCATTGTCCTCATCCATAGGTGCCCAGTTTATGTTCAGTCTCTTCCCACAATCCCCTCTCCCCTTTTCCCTGAGAATCGTCAGTTCAGTCCCCTTCCATACCTCTGATTCTATTATATTCAACAGTTAATATTGTTCATCAGATTTTTTTTTTTTTTTTTTTTTTGGTTTTTAGATTCACTTGTTGATAGTTACGTATTTGTTGTTTTTATCTTTATTTACTTTCTCTTCCAAAAGAACCCCCTTCAGCAATTCATATAATTCTGGTTTGGTAGTGATGAACTCCTTTAGCTTTTTTTTTTTATTAGTGAAGCTCTTTATCTGGCCTTCGATTCTGAGTGATAGCTTTGCTGGGTAGATTATTTTTGGCTGTAGGTTCTTACTATTCATCACCTTGAATATTTCTTGCCATTCCCGTCTGGCCTGCATGGTTTCTGTTGAGAAATCAACTGACAATCGTATAGGTGCTCCTTTATAGGTAACTACCTGCTTTGCTCTTGCTGCTTTTAATATTCTCTCTTTGTCTTTTGCTCTTGGAATTTTAATTATGATTTGTCTTGGTATGGTCCTCTTTGGATTCCTTTTGTTTGGAGTTCTGTGCGCTTCCTGGACTTGTAAGTCTAATTCTTTCACCAGGTGGGGGAAGTTTTCTGTCATTATTTCTTTCAGTATGTTTTCGATATCTTGCTCTTTCTCATCTTCTGGGACCCCCATAATTCTGATGTTGGTTCGCTTGAAGTTGTCTCAGAGGTTTCTTAGATTATCTTCAACTTTCTGGATTCTCTTGCCTTCTTGTTTCTGCTGAGGAGTGTCTTCTGGCTCTTTATGTTCCAAATCTTTGACTTGATTCTTGCGATCTTCCATTCTGTTTTTAGGATTCTGTATATTATTTTTTATTTCAGACAATGTATTCTTTATTTCTTGTTGATCCCTTATTATTTCTTTTGATCCCTTATTATTTCTAGTTGATCCCTTTTCATATCCTCATAGGTCTCGTTTATTTTATCGGTCTTTTCTAGGAGATTCTTGAACAACCTTATAAGTGTGGTTTTGAACTCTATATCCAGTCGCTTTTTGTCCTCAGTTTCTTTCGTTTGTGATCTATTTCCTTGTCTTGGCATTTTCGCAGCTTCCCTGATGGGGCGGAATTTCAGGGTGGAGCCTATAGTCTTGGCTTCCCTCAGCCCCACCCTATGTGGCTCCTGTGTCTCAGTGTTCCTCAGGGTCCTTCAGTACTCACTGTAAGCACCTCTGAGAGTGAGGTGCCCTCGAGTTTCACCTGCTACCAAACAGTCTAGGCTCTCCCTCATGAGCCCGGAACTGGGGTTCAGTTCAGTTGGAAATGGGGTTGGAAGTGCGGTTCAGACCAATCTGGAGCTTGTCTCCTTCCCGCCAGGGCAATCCTGCGCCATAGCCAACCATCCCTTCTCTGCACGCAATGTGCGCGCCTCCAGGGGCTCTGCCTTTCGCCACTCCCCGGGCTTCCGCCTTACAGCCCCAGCTCCCTCTGTACAAGCCTTGGTCCCCAGGATCTGGCCTAGAACTGGGGTTCAGCGCTGTCGGGTCTGGGGTTCAGCACAATCCGGAGCTTTTATCTCCTTCCTGCTAGGGAATGCCAGCCAGGCACTCAGCCAGCCCTCCTCTCTGGCTCTGTCCTCTCCGCGCGCGCCACGTGTCTCCGTACCTTAAACTTTTACAGCTCCTCTGCTCATCCTTCTGGTTTTCTCCTTGCTTCTCGTTGTAGAATTTCCAGTCAGTCAACTTTCCTATAGTTCTGGGTAATGTCCATTTTATATTTTAGTTGTATTTTATTGACATTGTTGTGTATGGCTGTGGCTAGGTGTTTACCTGTGCAGCCATCTTGGATCCTCTCCTCAAGTCATCTCCAAATTCTGACCTTCAGGACCATCCTTGTCTATTGTCAGTTCCATCTCTACTTTCTCTCAGGCCCATTTCTTTTCTTCATTCCAGAGTTCACAGTCAGAAATGCCTTTGTTTGAATCATTGTTTAATTGTTTGCTCATTGGTTGTCCATCTTTCCCGCTAGAACAGACATCTGTGAGGGCAGCTAACATGTCTGTTTTGTTTACTATACATTCTCCAGAGTTAAGTATCTAGCACAGTGACTGGTACAAGTGCAGCAAAACTAGAAGGAAGGAAGGAAGGAAGGAAGGAAGGAAGGAAGGAAGGAAGGAAGGAAGGAAGGAAGGAAGGAAGGAAGGAAGGAAGGAAGAAAAGAAGGGAGGGAGGGGTTGATTTTTAGGATATATGTGAAACTGGAACCATTGGCAATTCAAGTGGCTTCAGGGCAGGGTACTCTCATAATGTTCTTGCTGCTCTCTGTTGTGTTTCTTCCTGACCAGTTCCTTGTTGCCCTCAAGTTTCTGCTTGTTCATAACAAGAGAGTGCACGTGGCCATCATTGCCACACCTTCAGGTTCCATAGATTACAGGGTCCCCTCTTCCTATTTCTGAGTACAAGTCCCCACGAAAGAGAATCTGGTTGCCCCAGTTCATTTCTCTGAGCCAGGGTACCACAGAGGCTACCGTGAATTGACTACCGCTGGCTCAGATGATACTCCTGTCCGAGCGCTGGTCCTCAGAGTGTGGGTCACTAGGATGCAATACACCAGCTGGGAGAAGGTTTCCTCTGGAAGGGAGGTGTGGGTGGGACAGCCAAGAATTGCTGATTGCAGAGCCTAGAAAGGGCAGCCTGATTGTAGTTCAAACTTGACCAGAGTCTCGCACTAGAGGCGTTTTTCTGTCCCTTGTTTTACCAGATTGAAACCGTCAGCCAATTGTGGCCCGTTCAGAGGATTGCCCTTCTTCATTTACTCCATTTACGGCTGGATCGACTCCCTGAGCAACAGCCCCAGCTCCGCGTGGGTGGTTTGGATCTACCGGAACCTCATCGGCAGCGTGCACTTCTTTTTCATCCTCACCCTCATCGTGTTGTAAGTGGGGCACCTTGGCAGACACTTTGCTAACACAACCTGTGGACAGCCACAGGGATGTCTGGTGGGGAAACAAAGGGCTACACGATAGCTCAGTGTCCTGGATGATCCTGATGCTACCCCTGAGTTTTGTTTGTTTGTTGTTTTTGTTAATCCTCACCCAAGGATATTTTTTCCATTGATTTTTTTAGAGAGAGAAAGAGAGAGATCCATGTGAGGCAACATGGATTGGTTGCCTCCCACATGTTACTGGGACTGGGGATGGAACCTGCAACACTGGTACATGCCCTTGACAAGAAATTGAACCCAAGATTCTTTGGTGCTTGAGCCGATGCTCCAACTACTGAGCAACACCAGCCAGGGCTGCCCTTGAGTTTTGGGGATTTTTTTAAATATATATATATATATATATATATATATATATATATATATATATATATATATATAATTTTAGAGAGAGGAAGAGATAAATAGAAACTTCAATGATGAGAGAGGATCATTGGTTGGCTGCCTCCTGCATGCCCCCTCCTGGAGACCCAGCATGTGCCCTGACCAGGAATTGAACCTTGAGCTCCTGGTTCAGGGTCAATGTTCAACCACTGAGTCACACCGGCCAAACCGGCAGGCAAGGTGTTGTTTTTTTAAATTTTAATATTATCTTAGGGAGTGGTGGTGTGTTTTTTGCCTGTTTTATGAAGAAAGCAATACCAGCTCTGCCCCTCATAAGAGATAACATGAAACTAAATTTTTTTTAAAGATATGAGAATGCTTAGGACAGTTATATGTGTGATTCCTTCTGAGATTGTAACATTTTGGAATGGGTTGGGCATTATTGATGCAAAGGATCGTGTATTTTCATTTTCCAATAGAAAAAGATCAATTTCTGACTTCTTGTAAACAAGTAGATCCGACAAGACTGGGCCCATTTCCTGCATGAACACTTGGTTGGCCGACTCGTGGCTGCCCCTCTTGGAGCCCAGCCCTGATGGCATCTGAGATTGCAGGTCCTCGTGTGGAGACACACACACCGGACTCCCCGTCAGGCCTTCCTCCCCAACACTAGGTTGCCATTGGCTTCTTTAAAATGGAAAGTTCTCCGAGAGCCTTGCTCCTTCAAACTCCTAATTTACTGGGGAGTTTGTTAGAAATCTGGAAACTGCCCTCTCTAGTTTGGATCAGTGGAGAGAGCACCAGCCTGTGGATGAAGGGTCCCAGGTTTGATTCCAGTCAAGGGCACATGCTTAGGTTGTGGGCTCGATCCCCAGTAGGGGGTGTGCAGGAGGCAGTGCAGGAGGCAGCCGATCAATGACTCTCTCTCATTATTGATGTTTCTATATCTCTTTCCCTCTCCCTTCCTCTCTGAAATCATTAAAGAATGTATTTTTTAAAAATGAAATGTGGAGTCTCAGGTCCTATCCTAGACCTGCAGAACCAGCACTGCATTTTAACAAAGTCTCAGGAAATTTGTATCACATTCAAGTCTGAATAGCACCATCCAGATTCATAAGTGCTGGCTGCAGGCCGAAACCAGTTTGGCTCTGTGGATAAAGCGTTGACCTGCTGACTGAAGGGTCCCAGGTTCGATTCCGGTCAAGGGCATGTACCTTGGTTTCGGGCACGTCCCCAATGGCGGGGAGGGAAGGGATATGCAGAAGGCAGCTGATCGATGTTTCTCTCTCATCGATGTTTCTAACTCTCTATCCCTCTACCTTCCTCTCTGTAATAAATCAATAAAATATATTTTTAAAAATTAAAAAATATTTTTTAAAAAATGCTGGCTGCACATTAGAGTCGTGTACATTTTTTAAATAGTGATGTCTGGCCCACAGTCAGAGAAGCTCAATGAATTGATCTGAGGATGGGCCACAGCGTGAGTCCTTTTACCACCTCTCAGGCGATTCCATGTGAAGAATGGGGACAGCCATTGCTATAATGTACTCATCCTATAATTCAACCAGATACAACTTTCCAGGAACAAACCCATTTTCAAGCAAATATTTCAGTTCCTTTGCACCCAACTGTAATTCAGAGCCTGCAAAATGTCCAACATTCTTTCTTCTTTTCTCTTCCAGAATCATCACCTATCTTTACTGGCAGATCACAGAGGGAAGGAAGGTTATGATCAAGCTGCTCCATGAACAGATCATTAATGTAAGTTCTGTTGGACCCATCTGTTATCCTCTCCCCCTTTTTAACATTTTATAATGGAAATGTTCAAACATATTCCCAAACTGAATAGTAAAATGAGCCCCACCTGCCCACAAACCACCCTGACAACCATCAGCAATTATATATTCTTTTTTCTTGTTGTTGCTGTTAATCCTCACATGAGGATATTTTTTTCCATTGTTTTTCATAGACCGTGGAATGGAGGAAAGGAGAGTGTGTGTATGTGGGAGAGGGAGAGAGGGAGAGAAGGGAGAGAAGGGAGAGGGAGAAGGAGAGGGAGATGGAGAGGGAGAGGGAGAGGGAGAGGGAGAGGGAGAGGGAGAGGGAGAGGGAGAGGAGAGGGAGAGGGAGAGGGAGAGGGAGAGGGAGAGGGAGAGGGAGAGGGAGAGGGAGAGGCATATTGACTGGTTGCCTCCCACACTTGCCCTGACTGCGGCTGAGGAATAAACCTGCAACACAGGTGCATACCCTTGACCAGGAATTGAACCCACAACCCTTCAGTGCACAAGCCGATGCTATAACGACTGGGAAACACTTGCCATGGCAGCAATTGTATGTTCTTATTTCATCTAGCCACTATCCCTTCATTGCAAACTCTGGGTTAAAATCCTAGACTTCACATCATTTTATCTGTAAAAACTTCTATATGCTGCTGAAACCGGTTTGGCTCAGTGGATAGAGCATCGGCCTGCGGACTGAGGGGTTCCGGGTTCAATTCTGGTCAGGGTGTGTGCCTTGGTTGCGGCCACATCCCCAGTAAGGGTGTGCAGGAGGCAGCTGATTAATGTTTCTCTCTCATTGATGGTCCTAACTCTCTGTCTCTCTCTCTTCCTCTTTGTAAAAAATCAATAAAATATTTATTTTTTTAAAACTTCTATTTGCCTAAGATATACAGACTTTTAGAGAACTAGAACCACAATACCAATCATCACACCTAAAAGAAAACTTAATAATTCCTTACTATCATCCAATATTCAGTCAATGGTCAGATTTCCCCAATTATCTCATTAAGTGTCTTTTTACATTAGGTAGGATTGTTCAGATCAGGTTCTGAAAAAGTGTCATATGTTGTATTTTGTTGATATGTCTTTAATGTGTCTTTCAATCTATAACTGTCTACTCCTCCTCTCTTCTCCTGCCATTTATTGTTGCAGAAAGCAGGTCATTTTCTTATAATAATTCCCACATTCTGGATATATCTGATTTTCAACCTGTGCTGTTTGGCATGTTTTGGGGGTGGGGTGGGAGGGGGGGGTTAATGATTTTATTGATTTTTTTAAAGAGAAGGAAAGGGGAAGGATAGAGAGATAGAAACATTGATGAGAGAGAAGCATCATTGATTGGTTTCCTCCTGCATGCCCCCTACTGGGATCAAGCCCGCAACTTGGGCATGTGCTCTGACCAGGAATCAAACGAGTGACCTCTTGGTTCATGAGTCAACGCTCCACCACTGAGCCACACCAGCCGGGCTGCCATGTTTCTTTTCACTTTTTAAAATATATTTTTTAAATTTATTTCAGAGAGGAAGGGAGAGGGAGAGAGAGGAACATCAATGATGAGAGAGAATTATTGATTGGCTGCCTCCAGCACAACTCCCATTGGGGATTAAGTCTGCAACCCAGGCATGTGCCCTGACCAGGAATGAACCATGACCTCCTGGCTCATAAGTTCATGCTCAACCACTGAGTCATGCCAATTTGGCTCTTGTTACTTTTTATTTCCTGTAAACTAGTGGTGAGATGTAGAGACCTGATTAGATTCACACTCAACTTTTTAGCCAGATACTTCATAGATGATGCAATGCACTTCTTATGGCATTTGAGGTACAAATTTTGTGTGTGTGATGTTAAGAGTGATCTGTGGGTCCATGCTTTATTTGCCTGACTCATCCATTGTAAAGCTCCTCTTCAGCCTGATCTCTGATGGACTTGCAGCCTTTGATAAGTATTGCCTAGAGAAGATCCATTTATATCATTATGCATTACAAAATAGTGATACTCAAATTCTAGAATTCTTCTGCATTTATTAGTGGGAACTCTATAAAAGAAGAATTTTGCTCACCAATGATTTGATTGCCTTAAATTCCCAAATTCAGTGCTTCCATAGAGAAGAATGCCAATTAATAGATGTGGAAGGAATGAGGGGAACAGAAAACCATCATAAAACAAATAGCACAGTAATAATTGTTACATGTGACATCCACTAGTGGATGCTAAAATTAGCAGGTGAAGATTGAAGGAAAAATGAGGGCATGGGAACTGGATTGACCTGGACTGGACAGACCATCAGTGATGCTCACTAGCCCACCTCAATTCAGGTAGAACATACCACTCACTTATCTGCAACAGGTTCACAGGATAGCAACTCACCATTCTATGGAAGTCATACTCCCTTCCTTCCCCTTCCCACCTCGGGAATTACTTAACTTGGTCTATTCCGTTAGCACGGGTAACTTTGACAAATGACATAGATTTGATACCTTATATTCAGAGCTATAAGCTTTGACATTCTCGGTGGGAGGACAGGGCAGACCCAGGCAATGCTGGGTGCCCACACAGGGTTTTGTCCCTCCCTTCCAGGAAGGGAGAGACAATAAACCATTTGTCCCGGGCCTTCGACAGTGCCATGTAAGCTGCTTCTAGCAACCAGGCTGGAGAAGGCTGCTACTCAAGCCTGCTAGGGGAATTGCTTTAGAGAAGAATATCCCAATTTAGGAAGGCTTTGGGGATCATTCGGCTTTACTATGAAATGTTTTATTTCATCAGGAAAAAAAACATGGCGGCAGTATCCATTCAATGGACCCTACCTGCCTACAAATAAGCCTTTCCTTCACTTATTTCTCAACCCCACATCACCATTCATCCTTCATGTTTTCGTTTTCATTTTTCTTCTTGGCAGGAGGGCAAAGACAAAATGTTCCTGATAGAAAAGTTGAGTAAGCTGCAGGAAACAGATAAGAGAGCAAACCCCAGCTCACTCACACCGGGAAGGACAGACGTGAAGGTGAGGCTGGGGCCGCCATGGGATCCCTGTGACCCCTGCTTGCCTCCCTGTGAAAAGGACATCAGGGAACCAGAATCACACTGGGCACTTCACTTTCTATGTTTACACATTTCTGTATTTTTTATTAAAAAAAAAACAGTACTCACTCATTCAACACGCCTGGCCTTGCTCTAGGCGCTGGGCTATTGTGGTGAACACAGCAAAGGGGCTGCCCTCATGAAGTCTGCATCCATCTTTCTTATAAAGCTAATTATACAAAGGTATATCCCACCGAGACGAGAAGTGCCCTGAAATCTCACCCCTCTGTATTGTGCTTCAGTGTCTACTCCTTCTGATATTGCCTCAGGCTATTGGTCCGAAAACTCATTTGTCAACAGAGCCAAATATCAATAGTACAACAATTGAAATTTCTTTTGAGAGCCAAAATTTTTAAACTTTTTCTAATGCCACTTCTTCAAAATAGACTCACCCAGGCCATGGTATTTTGTGGAAGAGCCACACTCAAGGGGCCAAAGAGCTGCATGTGGCTCGCAAGCCACGGTGTGCCGACCACTGCCCTAGGCAGCTGCCAAACATGCATGCATCTCACATTTTTGTTTATTTATTTTTTTTTTTTTACAAAAGAGGGGCTTAATATCTCAGACATTGTCTTAGTCTGTACATATTTAGACATTTGGATTGTTTTCATGTTTTTTAAGATCAAAAACAGCATATGATGAAACATTTTTGTTATAATTATTTTAGACCAGTATTTCAGCCATGGGACAGCCACATAACAATGTTAATAGATGTTGCCATATCACTCTCTTAAGATTTTACTGGTTTCACTCTTACCACGAGATGCCGGGCACCCTGATTCCAGAGCCCATGCTGGCTTCCCTGGTGTCCTGGGAAACACAGATAAACAGTAAACCCATCTTAATTCAGATGCCACTGGTTCTGGAAGTTATGCTTTTGTCAGAAGGGGCTGTTGTGCCATGTACTGTCTGTACGATTAATACTCTCAGCACCATTTAGGGTTCTAGAAGCTCAACCCTAAATCCTATGGAGGCAGGGACCACGTCAATCCCCTTGCAGCCCCAGGCCCTAATCTGTTACCTGGCATATTGTAAATGCTCCGTGACATGAATGGGGACAAAGGAATGAATTGACTCACAGTCTCTAAAGAACGCAATAAAACATGTGTGATGTTTCTGTGGTGGAGCCTTGTCCTTAATCTGTCACCTCTTGGTTTTAAAATGGGGGCGGGAAGGGGGGTGCACCAACCTTCCCAGTTAGGCAACAGGACCTGGGGCTCTTCCCAAGGATGAGGCTGCCTCTTCTCTTCTCTTTCAGGAGCCAGGCCCTCTGTACGGCAGGGAACACAAAGCTGCTCATGGTGAGTAACCGAACTGGCACCAAAGAAGATCTCGTTTAGCTAGAGGACATCCCCTAAGCTAGAGGATCAGAATTGCTCATGCATCAGTTACTCGTTCCATTGCAAGAGCCTACCCAAAGTGGCTTTAGCAAAAACCCAAGAATAATTCTTGCTTTAGCAGCTGGGGCTCACAGTATGTCACCAGAACCTGGTTTCTTTCTGTTCGGTTATTTTCCACGTCAGCTCCTTTCTCAGGGAGGCTATTCCTAAGCATTGCAAGGCAGCTTTACCCGCTGCTTCTGTCAACGGGCCAGATCTGAGTCACCAGCCTCATCTGTAGATGCAGGTGGAACAGCCATACAGACCACAGGGACTGAGCCTGGGGGAGAGTGGCTTTTGTAAGAAAACCTGTGGCTGATGCCAGAATGGGAATGGACGCTGGGGAGGAAAAAACACACCGACCAACTCCTCTTTCGGGGGAGAGCATTTCCTGACAGCATCCCATGATGGAAGTGCAAGGGGCAGCACTGAAGAAGTTTAAAAGGAGGAGGCAAGGAAGGCATGAGAAGCTGAGCTTTCTTGAAGGCCAATTTGGCTTCTCCCTTGGAGAGCTGGGGCAGGGTGTGTCTGTGCTAACTTCTCTTTCCTGTGTCGAACCCAGACCTGCGATTCAGGAGGTCAGTTCAAGAACATAGTCCAAAGGCTTGATGATGATCGTGGCGGCCAGACACCAATCACAAAGGAAAGAAGATAACGATGGAACAACTTTTGGAGCTTCTTGGAAGAAAATCCAAGCCATTTGATAGGAGCAGAAACTGACCACAATGTAAATACTGAAGTAAAATTGGCCATTCCCTGCTGCTATTTTACACTTGAGTTGCTGATTTTTTTAAGATAAAACATTTGGGATTTTCCAATAAAGTCTGTCATAATATTTTAACTAGTTCACAGAAACCTTGGAAACGATAACCTGGGAATGATGTATTTTATCTTTAAGAGATGTGCTTATGAGTTGTTGGTCCTAAGAAATCTCTCCTCCCCAACCTCGCAGACCTGGCAAAGGTTTGGAAAGTGGTGCTCAGACAAGTGGTACAGCCTGAATAAAAACGTGGTCCTCTGTCAGGGGCGTGATGCCTCTCAATTGTGGGACCTGTATTTGTTCATGACTTTGAACTTTGGAATAAAAATATTCCAAAGAACCCTAACCGGCTTGGCTCATTGGATAGAGCATCGGCCTGCAGACTCAAGGGTCCCAGGTTCAATTCCAGTCAAGGGCATGTACCTTGGTTGCGGGCTCATCCCCACTGAGGGGTGTGCAGGAGGCAGCTGATCGATGTTTCTCTCATCAATGTTTCTAACTCTGTATCCCTCTCCTTTCCTCTCTGTAAAAAAATCAATAAAATATATTTTAAAATATATATATTCCAAAGGTAAAATACAAACATGGGTCTCACCTATGAAATCTGTTGCATATCAAGTACATGAGTCTTTAAAAAAAATACATGAGTCTTTGGGGTTGGGCGGGAATTGGGATGTGCCCTGAGGTTTTATATGAGACCATCAAAGTCTTATGTTGAGCCAAACATGAGACCAGTGGTATATGTGGAATATATATATTCCTGTGGGGAATAAATGTGTGTGTGTGTGTGTGTGTGTGTGTGTGTGTGTACATATGCATACACATATATATAGCATTCTTTTGCAGATTTTTTTCAAATGGTTCCCAAGACCTGTGACTGTACTTAAAACTGAAGGGTCCAGCAGAAAGGTGCAATTACTAAATTACCTGACGTGGGGAATTTCCTCTTGACTAAGCACTATCATGAAATCTAATTGGAACTGAATTTATAAAACATTTCAAACATACAATGAGTGTTCGATCATGAACTCGCTTTTTCACTCAGTTTTCATTAATTCATTTTATCAACTGAATTAATTTCTTTGGGTTACTAGTGTTCGTTCATTTCACAACTACATGTCAATTGGTGAACAAAATAGTGAACAAGTCAAGACACAGTCTCTCCCCTCAGAGGCTTACTGTCCAGCAGGTTAATTCAGATAGGAAGTTAATAATTAATATTATAATCGTATGGGTGCTGTGCAATTGGGATACAAGTTGTCTCGGGGTCAGTGAAGGCAGCCTGTGGAATTGGTATTTGAATTGATTCCCTCCCTCCGCCCTCTGTATCATGTTAATGCTGTTTGTGTTTGTGTTCCTCTGGCTTCTACATCAAAAGGTGAACTCCCTCTGACAGCACCATTTTTGCTGACTCACTACATGCTAACAATCTCTATCTCCATTCACTTCCATTTCTTGTCCCCACTTGTGTAAAGCCTGCTTCCCTGGAGATGTAAACACAATAGAAAGGTCAAGCCTGCAGGCCTGGCACACACACAAATGGATATGAGGGTGCCTTTACATTTAGTCTTGAGACGGGGGAGTATTCATTTCCTGGGGCTGTTGTAACCAGATATCATGGGTGGGGCACAAATTTATTTACCTCACAGTTCTTGGAGGCTAGAAGTCCAAGGTCAAGGTGTTGGTACCCACAGTTTTGGTTTCAGTCTGAATCCTGTCTCCTTGGTTTGCAGACGGCCACATTCTTGCTATGTCCTCACGTGGTGTTTTTCCTCCGTGTGTGCAGATACTGGTGTACCTTTAAGTGTTCAGATTTTCTCTTCTTATAAGAACACCAGGTAATTGGAATAGGGCTCACCTTTATAGCTTCCTTTTAATTTACTCACCTGTCTAAAGGCCAGATCTCCAAATAAGGTTATATTCTGAGGCACTGGGGGTGCAGACTTCAGCATAGGAAATTTGGGTCAACACACCTCAGAGCAGTGGTTGGCAAACTCATTAGTCAACAGAGTCAAATATCAACAGTACAACGATTGAAATTTCTTTTGAGAGCCAAATTTTTTAACTTAAACTATATAGGTAGGTACATTGTTATTAACTTAATTAGGGTACGTGGTATATTGTGGAAGAGCCACACTCAAGGGGCCAAAGAGCCTCATCTGGCTCGCGAGCCACAGTTTGCCTGAGACCATAACAGAGGCCAGCTGTCCCCCAGTCCCATCAAAGCCTCTCGTTAGGCATCAGGGTTCCCAGGGCTGGCTGCCCCCAGAATCACACAGGGAGCTGTCCCACAACAGCCAGGCCCAGGCCCCACTCCAGACCAGCTAAAGCAGGCATCCATGTTTTTTCTTTAAAGCTCCCCAAATGGTTTTAGTAGAAAGCCAGGACTGAGAGCTAGGATCCAGAGTAGTCCTTCCCAAACTTGCCTGACCATGAAAGCCACCCGAGGCGCTTATTCAACATACAAAAGCTGAGTTCGTAGTGTCGCTTCAAAATCTTCAGGGGACAATTCCCATCCTCTTCTTCCTACCCTTATTTTAATTAGTTCAAAATGATAAAAGTAGCATGTGCTTTCCAACCAGCCCTTGAAAGCTGGCAGTTTTAAGTATTAAAAAGAAAAAGGATAGCCTCTTGAATTTCTGCAGCATCTGATCCTTCAAGTGGTCTCAGCGAATGGCCCAGTTCACTTCTTAGGAAGCTAGCAGATGCTTTTGTGTGAAGTTCAATTATAAAAGGAGTGGCTAAAATAGCACAGACTTGCCAGCACCGGTTTGGCTCAGTGGATGGAGCGTCGGCCTGCGGACTGAAAGGTCCCGGGTTCGATTCCGGTCAAGGGCATGTACCTTGGTTGCGGGCATATCCCCAGTAGGGGGTGTGCAAGAGGCAGCTGATGACTCTCTCTCATCGATGTTTCTGACTCTCTATCTCTCTTCCTTCCTCTCTGTGCAAAAATCAATAAAATAAAAATAAAATTTAAAATAGCACAGACTGGCATATCTTTTTTATAGCTTTTGAATTGAGGACAGGTGGTAAGAATTCAGCTCACCCATAGGAACCGTATCTCAGTATGGTAGCCCCCCCGGACCCCTCTCACTTGTCCAAGTCTTAACTGTTTCATCGCATTTCCATGTCTGACCACCACCAGACAGACCACTGCGAGGAGCTCAGCGTGGAGCAGAGAGCCCTCTGCTTTGCTCATGGCCGCGGGTGCCTGATACCAGCAGTGCCTTCCGCCTGTGTGGTGTTACTCTCCACTCGGTGCTTTTTCCACTTTAATCGCCAGGGCTCTTGTTATAAAGCAGATCCTAATTTGGGAGGTCAGAGATGGGGCCATGGGTCTGAGGACCACGTCCTGAGCAGTACGGTTCTAGAACATTCCCACATTTTTCCCCCCTTAATTTATCTGCACTCAGGACATTTTTCAAAAACACTCCCACTTCCATCATTTGCACCTCATAACATTATGGCTATAAGACAGTTAGTACAAATATCATGACCTCCACTTGACAGATGATGAAAACTTGGGCATGCACAGGTAAGTGATTGGTCTAAGGGTCTCCTAGCTGGTTAGTGGCAGAATTGAGGACTTCATGTTTTCTCTAGCTCAGTGGATCTTAGATTTGTGCATGTATCAGAACTGCCTGGAGGGCTTGTTAAAACAAATCCTGCCAAAACCGGTTTGACTCAGTGGATAGAGCGTCGGTCTGTGGACTGAAAGGTCCCAGGTTCAATTCCGGTCAAGGGCATGTACATTGGTTGCGGGCACATCCCTGGTAGGGGGTGTGCAGGAGGAAGCTGGTCAATGTTTTTCTCTCATCGATGTTTCTAGCTCTCTATCCCTCTCTCCTTCTGCTCTGTAAAAAAATCAATAAAATTTATTTTAAAAAAAAAAAAATCCTGAGCCCTACCCCGAGTTTCAGTTCTGGGATGGGATCTGAAAATTTGTGATTTTAACAAATTCCCCCATAGCAGATGTTGAATGTCTCAAAGGACAGCCTCCACTGTGCCTAGCCTCCTCTTACTACTTGTGTTCATGAAATTTAATAATAGAGCACACAGTCATCAATCTTCAGCATTTTTGATAAATCAACCAACCCCACCGAACAGTAACTACCACTCCATGCTAAAGAGATTCTGACTGGATGTTTGGATGTTCATTAACTCACACCCTTCCCGTCCTCAAGCCTGGTGGTTTACTGTTCTGTTCAAGCACGGTTCCCACTTTAGAAAGTGGTGGGTGAAATTTTACTTAGAAATTTTTATCTAATAAAAATAGAACATGTATGTCTTGGTGAAATTCTTGTCAAAACAGGATTGTAGATATCAGTCTCCAAATAAGAAAATGAGTATTGTTTAATCAAGTAAGTAGTGGATTTAAGCTTTTGAGGTAGCCTTTTGATGTTATGTCCCTAGAATCCTGAGAGCAGAGGTGCAGTCCAATAAACAGATGGGAGTTTTACCTGTATTGAGGATCTTAGAAAACTATATATTGGGATTTTGGATGGCCCCTTGATACTGCTGAATCCTGAATCATTTAAACTCCCAAATTTTCATCTTACTGTATGTGTAGCTCTAGCTTCCTCAAGGAAGTCTCCATTGATACCCTCCAATTCATTCCTGCAACGATTATTGAACATATACAGGCATTGCTACGGGTATGGACCAGCCATTATACACATGGCTTCAGGATGTGGGCTTTGGAATTATATCACCTGTGCTTGAATCCTTAACCTATTACTGTTGTGTGACTTTAGACAAGCTACTTAATTTCCCTGTGCTTTGGTTTCCTTTATGGCAACTACCTCATGGTGTGGTAGCAAATACATGGAAAGCATTTGAAATAGTGTCTTGTACCTGGTAGAGTCAGTAAATGTTAACAAGCCTTTTACATGCACTTCCGTTTAATCACAACCACTCTTTAAGGTGGTACTACCACTGCCCTTATTTTACAGATGAATTAGTAATTTGTCCAAGGTCATACAGCTGATAAGATACTGATCAGGAAATCAGATTCACCTTTCTCTGACCCCAAATCCTGTTTTTAAACCAATAGCAAGCCTTTCAAGTGGTACTTTCAATGTGTGTGTGTGTGTGTATATATACTTTTTAAAAATTGATTTCATTTCAGAGAGAGGGATGGGGAGATAGAAATATCATTGATCAGCTGCCTCCTGCATGCCTCCTGCTGAGGATCAAGCCCAAAACCCAGGTATGTGCCCTGACCAGGAATCAAACCTTGAGCTCCTGGTTCATAGGTCAACACTCAACCCCTGAGCCACATTGGGCAGGCCACAGTACTTATGAACATCTTTCTTCATCCAAATTCTCCATTCTTCAAGGCCCAAGCCACTTTAGAATAGGCTCTAAATCCTTAATTGGGTATGGCACAGTCAAGAGTGAGTCAAGAGACAGCAAACTGGTTTTCAAAAGGTCTTCACAGAACAGAGGGATGTTGTTAACTTTATTGCCCCTAAGGGCATTCCTTCCCTGTCAGCTGTGCAGTCTCTAAATACATCACAGGAGGAATTCGGGCCACAGAAATTTTGGGTGGTTTTTGTCCCTTGTCATAATGTGACACAGATATACATGCAGTTTAGTTAGGTATCTGCTCCATTTATTGAATAAATATTTCTTATAATTTTAAAATTCAAGGAAATTTTTATAAATTGAAAATTGTCCCAAACCCCGTCCACATGGCCCTGCCAACACCAACTGTAGCAAAAATCCATTTGCTTCTCACAGCCACCTGGCTGCTGCACGTGTGAGGCTGGTGACCCACCCGACGCAGGCGGGAAGTCATGACTAAGCTGCAAGGCCTGTGCTCAAGGCCACGAACGGGACTGTTAGGTGTGGGGAAGAGAGGCCTAGAGGAGAAAGAAAGCTTTGCAGTCTTTTAAAGACTCAACTTTATTTTAAATATTGCTATTTAGTTCACAATAAGACCCTCCAGTAGCTCATGTGGGAAGGAATTAGGAATCAAGGGCTGTATAAAGGCAGGTGGGGGTTAAAAGCAAGAGCTATGAGTCAGAGCAACCTAAATTTGAATCCCAATTGCACCAAGAAATTTGAGACTTTAAGTAACTAACTTTGCAGTGTCTGTTTCCTCAAAAAGCCAACACCTCTAAGGTTTTTGTGAGATTTAATTAGATAATGTGTTAAAACCACTAAAGTTCTTGGCAAATAGTAAAAAAAAAAAAAAAAAAAAAAAATTTTTTTAGTTATCAGAAGATCAGGCTCTGCTACATTACCAGTGTTGTCATGTTTGAATAAGACCCTTCCCTTTCACAGGTTTTAGTTTTCTCACGTAAAATAAGGATAAGCCTAGATGTCCTTAAATAGTTTCCGAGCATCTGTTGTAGAATAGCCTTAAAGAGTGCAACTCTGCCCCCTAGTGGTCTATAGTTCTTATTTCAAGATACCATAAACAATCTCACAGGCTAAGGTCAAATCCCTAGGACATTTGCATCACACTGAAGCTGTTGCCCTTGGTCACTGAATTGCTTACAGCAGCTTCCCTAAATTCCTTACGATGTCAATGCGATTTGATGCTTTATAAGCAGTTTTCCCTTCCGACTCCTTTTAATGATTTTATTATTAGTATGGTCACAAGTTTGATGACTACAGTACATTGATAATGTAGCCAAATAAAATATTTTAAATAAGTAAATTACATGTGTGTCACATTTTAAAATGTCAAGTTTGAGTGATCATGCATATCCCATGCATTTGCATTGGTACCCCACATTGCACAGCTCAATCTGCTTATCCTCACTGGTCTTATTCGTGCCTCAGCGAGGTCTGGGCAGGAGTTATTGTACCTTTTTTTTTTTTTTTTTTTTTTGCAGACCCAGATTTTCAAGAGCAATGATGTTGAACTCAGGCATTCCATGGAGCATGGTGGCAACACCAGGTTTTGCTTTGGTCCAAGGTAAAAAATGCAATTACCGACTACTGCTTCTGCGGGCCATCCGATTCCCCATGGCTTGGGCTAGCACAAAGGGTTTTTCAATATCCCTGCATGAGGCCAGCCGGCAATCTCTGTACCCATGGCTTCCTCCCTGGGGGAAAGTCTAGTAGTGAGGTGGGCAGTCTTCCAACATGCTGTCGGTCATATAGCTGGAACCAAGATAGGATTCAAAGTAACTTTTTTCATCAAAAGTATTAACAGTCCAACCAACGACCTGAATGCCTTTAGATGACCACTTCTTTAAGTAGTTCCTGGAGAAAGAGGAAAAACCGAATCTGTTAAAACAATGACCAGTTGGCCCAGGAATCTATGGTGGTCACTAAGTCTAGTATTCATTGAGTACTCAGTGTTCAGAAAGCCCCTTAACTGGCTTCTGCACTGAAATCAGAGGGAATGTTCTAAAAGCCAGCAGAAATCTCTTCCACATTGTTACTGCTTAAAACTTTTCAGTGGCTTGCTAAAAAAAAAAACCCAGCCCTCCTCAATCCTATATAATAAAAGCATGGTATGCAAATTGACCAAACGGCCAAACAGTGCAATGACCACCCGGACAACCATCCGGGACCATGCTATGACACCCACTGGCGGCAGGCCAGCCAAAGCAGGTGCTATTGGTCAGGGGCCAGGCCATCACCCCATGACTGCCCTGCAGAGAGAGGCCCAGGCCACTGACCAGCGGGCTGTGGTGGGTGGGCGGGGCCTTTCTCTGCGAGGGAAGCCCAGGGCCCGGGTGCCAGAGAGAAGCTGGTGCTGCCAGCTGGGGGAAGGAAGGCCTACTCTTGCAAAATTTTGGGCATCGGGCCTCTAGAAGTAAGTCCTAATAGAGGCCTTTCCTAGCTTAGTCCCACCTGTCTTTCTGGCCTCATCTTAAATCATACTCCTTTCTTTCCTGTGCTGCAGAATACTGACTTTCTTTTACCGTAGTTCCTTGAAACACCAGGTTCTTTGCTGCTACAACATTTTTGCATGTATTTCTCCCTCTGACTTGATCTTCACACTGCCCCCCTCAATTCCTACTCACCCTTTAGCCGTTTTTCCCAACTCCCCTGCCTAGGGAAAATTATATATGTACACTGTCTCGCCTACAAAGCATTTATCTTAGCTGTAATTTGTTGAATTATTATTTGATTAGCATCTATCTCCTCTTCCACTTAACTATAAACTCCATGAGGAGAGAACATGGGTTTGTTTCTTAACCACAGTATCTTCAGATTCTTAATATAATACCTTGCAATACCAAGCATGTCAACTCGTGGCTGGCCACAAATTTGGCATGCTCACTGCAGGCATACACCAAATATTTACTGAATTAAATGTATACAAACCTAAAATAATATGAAACTTAAGTTACAATCAGCTGAAATACACAGCTATAAAATTACTAAAAAAACAGACTGTCAGCACGTTAGGGAACAAGAAGTTTTTGGAAACGATGGAGCAGAGCCTGCGATGTAGAGGGGAGTGGGAGGAAAGACAGAAGAGATGAGTTAGGCACTCACAGACTTCTTCACTATGGTTCTGTCTGACCTGGATCCTACATTGCTTTTCAAAGAGAGACAATCACAAGGAAATGTAATTTCTCTCTCTTCAGTTTGGCAAATTTATTTTTTCCATAAAATGCACTTAAAACCAAGAATATCTGATCAACTTGTTTTTGGAAATAATAAAGTATGTATAAATAAACTATGCCTGAACACTTCCCACCTAAGAAGCCAGTGGCATTCCAACTTAATAAAGGCGAGATGGGCTCTGTGGGTGGGAACTCATCCAGGCTGCCCACTGTTACTCTTCTTTCCAAGAAGAACATTTAAGAAATGTATCAGAAAATAAAATACTGTCCAACTTACGGAGATATAAAATCCTTTTGTACGAGGAAAACTGAAATTCCACACAGGTACCACAAGATATTATGCATGCTCCAGTCGAGGAAAATGTCTAAGACCACAAATATGGACAGTTTCCACATGTTATCATAGCGAGGTTTCCCATCTCCCTGATGGCTAAGGCTCCAAGGTCTGTGAGTTAAAGCTGTTATTACATTCCGATCTGTTTGTCTCATCTGCAAAAGAATTTTAGAAAATGAAATAATTATCATAAGTCCAATATCTCGCATTTCTTATTTAAGTTTAGCCAATGTTCTCATTCTAAAAAGTGAGTTGGTACCCTGCCCTCTTGTATACCAAATAAGTACTCTATCATAGAGAAAATAAGGTGATGGATATAAAGCATCCTATATAATAAAAGGCTAACATACAAATTGACTGAACAGTGGAATGACCGGTGGTCACGCACTGACCACCAGGGGGCAGACACTCAACACAGGAGCTGCCCCCTGGTGGTCAGTGAACCAGAAGGCAGTCTCACAGCTGGCAAGCACAGCGGCAGTGGCGGGAGCCTCTCCCACTTCCACAGTAGCACTAAGGATGTCCGACTGACAGCTTAGGCCCACTCCCTGCAAGAGGGTGGCAACACCAGGTTTTGGGCTGAGAGACCCGGGCATATACCCTGACTGAGAATTGAACCATGACCTCATGGTTCATAGGTTGACACTCACCCACTGAGCCACACCAGCCTGGCAGGAATCATGGTATTTTAAAATGAGATATGAGTACATTCCCCTTTCTGAATTTCTCATTCATTTAAAAGAGAAGTTTCTTAACTGATCCCGTTCAATTTAACAGGCATCTTCCTTATAGTTACTCGGCCCATTGCTATTATCACCACCAACTAATATAATATTATGTACAACAAAAATCCTAAATTTTACCTTATAGATAACTTCTGGCAAGAAAGAGCAGACCATACTAGTATTGTATAGTTGTGGAAACTCCATATATATTTTCTTCAGAGCATCAATAGCCTGTAAAACAGAAGTGATTTATGTATATAAAATCTATTAAAATGTAAGTCTTAGGCAACAACTATTACATATTAAGTATAACCCTATCAAGTAAATCAGAGGTTTACAATATGTAGGGGCATTGAAAGGAGTATTAGTAGATCCCACTATCTATTGGGATATATTTTAAACTCACATCTGCAGCATATAAACAAGTTGGAATGCAGTAGCTTTACTGTCTTGCTAACAGGCTCACCGCTTTTGTCATATTTTTGGAAAGTATGGCAAACTGTAGGCTAGCGGAGGCTAGAAATAAAACTGAAAAATATTTACCCTATACCTGAGTTTAGCCAGTAGGAAAAGTCCTTTTATATCCAAAATTCTATCACCCTATGCTTTTCAGAGCTAAAGTATAAGCCGCCAGCCTGGAAACCACAAAAGGGTAGATTTTCTCAGTCCAGAGGACTGGGAGGAAACATCGTCCACCATGAACACAAAGGTAGGAACAAGAGAAACTGGGGAGAGCTGGAAGTCTCCCAACGCTTCCCAAGGTGAGTAAAAAATTTTTGTAGCCGGGACCAGTTTGGCTCAGTGGATAGAGCGTCGGCCTGCGGACTGAAAGGTCCCGGGTTTGATTCCGGGCAAGGGCATGTACCTTGGTTGTGGGCACGTACCCAGTTGGGGGTGTGCAAGAGGCAGCTGATCGATGATTCTCTCTCATTGATGTTTCTGATTCTCTGTCCCTCTCTCTTCCTCTCTGTGAAAAATCAATAAAGTAAAATAAAAAAATCAATAAAATATATTTTTTTTAAAAAAATTTGAAGTCCTGCTAATAAATGAAGAAGGAATTACAGAATTAAAATATTGACATTTTGTAACCTCTAGTGAATTAATAGATTTGGCCATTGAATTTAATGCTGCTACATCATGATTTTTGAAATACTGCTAATTTTTGGAAAGTCACACATACCTATAACCAAATATAGGCAACAAAATGAATTCCAAAAGAGAAAAAAAAGAACATAGAAATTATTCGTATTATGCTTCCCCTTCACTAATCAAACAGTGTGAGCTACAGAGCCAAAGTTATTTTCCCGCTGTTTGAACTATCACATGCATTTCATCTACATTATTTAATTCTCACAACAGCCCTATGTGGTGGTTTCTTTTATTATTCCCATGTTACCCATGAGATTGAGGTTACATTATGCTAAGTCCATAATCTTGACTCCTGTGCTCTACTGTCACCAATCTGCTGCCAACATCTGTTCCTTTATATGATCATTTTGGTGAATTGGATCACTATGTTCTACCCAGCCTTGCCCAAACCACCTTTTGAGCACCCAACCAGGAGGCTTAAATACCTAGATTTTTTTTAAAATTGTCTTCTCCCCTACCCACCTTCCTCTTATTCTAAGAGAATAAGTATGAAGGTCAGTACACCATGGGTGAAATGTAGGACCTATCAGGGTTCCCGAATATGGACCTTATTATCAATAAAACCTGAAGTGCTCATTAAAAATACATGTTCCTTGATCCCTAGACATTTTCAGAATTTCTTCTCTAATTGGTATGGCCCAGAAATCCATAGTTTTTATAGGCATTCCTAGTAATTCTGATGCAGACCAACTGGAAAACCTAGAACTATCAATTTAGCAGAATAATAAATTAACCAGAGCACCATTCTTTCTTTTCTTCAAAAATAGTTTACTAGCCCTTGCTGGTTTGGCTCAATGGAGAGAGCATCAGCTTGTGGACTGAAGGTTCCCAGGTTCGGTTCCAGTCAAGAGTACATGCCTGGGTTGGGGGCTTGATGCCCAGTAAGGGGCATGCAGGATGCAACCGAACAATGATTCTCTCTCATCATCAATGTTTCTATTTCTTTCTTCGTCTCTGAAATCAATAAAAAAAAATATTTTTTTTTTTTAAATATGAGTTTACTGCCCTAACCAGTTTAGTTTAGTGGACAAAGCATTGACCTGCAGACTCAAGGATCCCAAGTTTGATTCCGGTCAAGGGCATCTACCTTGGTTGCAGACACACAGCCAGTAGGGAGTGTGCAGGGGGCAGATGATCAATGTTTCTCTCTCATCAATATTTCTAACTCTCTATCCCTCTCTCTTCCTCTCTGTAAAAAAATCAATAAAATATATTTTTAAAATATATCTTAAAAATACTAGTTTACGATACTAAAGTTAGAATATATACTGTGGTTTATAATTCAGATTTCAATAACTAGTTTCAATTGTATCCTGGGATTAATTTTAAAACTTGGCATCATTAGCCGAAACCAGTTTGGCTCAATGGATAGAGCGTCGGCTTGGGGACTGAAGGGCCCCGGGGTTCGATTCCGGTCAAGGGCATGTACCTTGGTTGCGGGCATATCCCCAGTAGGGGGTGTGCAAGAGGCAGCTGATCGATGACTCTCTCTCATCGATGTTTCTAGCTCTCTATCTCTCTCCCTTCCTCTCTGTACAAAATCAATAAAATATACTTAAAAAAAAAAAAAAAACTTGGCATCATTAGAATTTTAAACCAGTAGATGGCCATTACTGATTCTAACTTGTAGTTCTACTACAAGTTAGAATCAGTAATGGCCAAGTTATATGCAAATTATCCAAATGCGGAAAAAGTATTTGTAATTGAAAAGCTGATTACAAGAGAACAAATGTTATCTGAATTACATTTTCCCATTATTTTCCATTGCAATATGTTTTCATGAGTAAAAGTGTATGTTCTAAAATGGAAGCAAAATTTTATTTAGGGATGTCATACATATTTGAAAGTATTATAGTAATTTTCTGACACAGGTATAATTATTTAAATCATAGAATAACAAAACGATACATAAGAGATAGAAATCATACAGAAGGGATAAATCTGTGTAAAAAATATCCTATTAGATATTTAGAAGCTTTAAATTTCATCCATAGTTGTCCATCTAAGACCTTTAGTCACCAGATGAAACTAGTTGTGTCCAACTCCTGTTCAAGAAGTGCCTCTCTATATTTATTTCATATCTCTGGCAAATGCCTTATGCAAACAGAAGATACCTGACTCTTTTATGTTATGCTACTTGTAGAATATCAGGAGTTGTTAAAAGGTTCCACCAAAGGTTAAAAAGTTTAAAAGATTCTGTATTTTCCAATTTTCCTTACAGATGTGGATTTTTGCATTGTACACTTCCATTAAGCAAATGTAATTTATAAAAATAATTTAAGAATAAATAACAAGCCGAAACCAGTTTGGCTCAATGGTAGAGCGTCGGTCTGCGGACTGAAAGGTCCCAGGTTCGATTCCGGTCAAGGGAATGTACATTGGTTGCGGGCACATCCTTGGCAGGGGGTGTGCAAGAGGCAGCTGGTCGATGTTTCTCTCTCATTGACGTTTCTAGCTCTCTCTCTCTCTCTCTCCCCCTTCCTCCTCTCTGTAAAATATCAATAAAATATATTATAAAAAAAAAAAAAAAAGAATAAGTAACAAAATATGCAGTTTTGGAAATCACTAACAATTAGAGATGTCTTTTTTTAAAAAGCAAAGTCTATGGTATAAATTTTACCTGATTTGCATGGCCCTTGACATCAAAGTAGATTGTGAGGTTTTGATTTAGGGACTCTACAACTCCTTCTCTCAGGGTAGGGATTTTTTCATTAGGGAAATCATTCCTGTCAGAGAGGGAAAAAGCATAGCACATTGCAGGAAAAACAAGAAGTACAAGTTTAGTGGAATAGACATTTAAACAATGTCTCCCAAACAAAAGGTAAGAATGTTTTCCCCAACTTCCTTTCTTAACTACACTAAAGTCCAGGGGTAATTTATTATATAGACTTGAACCAAAGTACAAATATTCTTGACCAAAAAACAGAAACAACAAAAATCATTTAATTTTTAGGAAATTAATGATTTCCACTAAATTAGTAATATAATTAGAAATTTTACTCACCAAAGGGCAGAACATATGCCACCTTTGAAAAACTCAGAGACTTAATTTAAGATTGTAATTACCCTAACAGAAAACCTTTACAGGAAAAAATTCCTAGGATTACATAAATCTGTTGACTGTATTGTTGTTCATTTAAGTACTACTGTGTAAAATAAATAATGTTCTAATACATAATTTTCTGATAAAGGAAAGTTAAGTGCAAGATATTAAGAAACAGGCTTTTCTCACATAATGAAGTTTCACAGCACATGATTTAATTTATGCTAATTCAACTGTATTATTTCATTTGTAAGATCTTGGCTTTAAAAAAAAGATAAAGATAATGGAAATGGTACAGGCAATTCTGCCAGCCATTCTATTCAATGCCTATTCCTTGGAGTGAGAAACAGGCATTGAAAAAAATGACACACAGGATGGCATCACTTTGGGTAATTATAGAGAAAATAAGTAATTTTTCTAAAACATGGGCCCTAAACACAAGCAAATAATCATTTGGTGTTCAAGAAAAAAACAAAACTGTCCTAGATGGTTTTGCTCAGTGGACAGAGCGTAGTAAGCCTAGGGACTAAAGGGGACTGGGTTCGATTCCAGTCAAAATCACATGCCTGGGTTGCAGGCTCAATCCTCAGTGGGGGGCATGCAGAAGGCAGTCAATCAATGATTCTTTCTCATCATTGATGTTTCTCTCTCCCTTCCTCTCTACAATTAATCCTATATAATAAAAGGCTAATATGCAAATAGACCAAACAGTGGAATGACCAGTCACTATGGCAAGCACTAACCACCAGGAGCTCCCACGGGGAGCATCGCTCAGCCACTTCTCATTGATGTTTCCATCTCTCTCCCTCTCCCTTCCTCTCAGAAATCAATAAAAAACATATTTTAAAAAAAAGAGCCTTTCCCTCACATACAGCAGAGATGAAATATCTGATTACTCCAGTAAAGATTTAGAACTTACAAGTGTTACAATATTCTTTCTAGACTAAAACAATTTCCTTTGGCTGACTTAATTTCTTTCCGATCCTAGGAAAATTAAGTCTTAATCATCTTTTAGGGAGGAATTTAACTTAATCATAGGGTGGAATACTCAGTACTCAAGTAGTACTCATCATTGTCCAGAGAACTGATATGACATAATAACAGTAAGCAGAGTTTTCAGTATTACAAGAAGAATTTAAATAACCACATTCCAAAGTATATTATTACCCAATATACCAATTCCAAGGAGTTTATCATTGTTAATAGTAGGAAGAGTGTGGATTCTAAACATTTTGAGAAACACTAAATTAAAGGTAAGAATTGACTGACATGGACTATTTCCCAGGAGGAACAACTAGAGTACAATGTTTGATTTTACTTCCCTTTTCTTGGAGAACATCGAATAGGACTAGTTTTGATATACATATATATATAGGGTGTCCCCAAAAAATATACCCACACGATTTGAATAATTACAAAGGCAATGTTTATTAAAATATACATTTCATTTTTCAAAATTGAGCTATCAGCTGTTCAAGTGTGTATACATTTTGGGGGGACACCCCTGTGTGTGTGTGTGTGTGTGTGTGTGTGTGTGTGTGTGTGTGTATATATATATATATATATATATATATATATATATATAGTTTATATGACAGTACAACATAATTGTCATTTTAGTGACTGAGCATTGTCTTAAGAACAACTCTGAGACCAAATTTGGCCTCAGTGGAAAAAGATTAAAAACATCCAAAAGATTAAAAACATCTGTGGTTCCTAGCACCTGCTTATTACTAAGGAAACCTATAGACAGTTCAAAATAAAATACAACCAAACAACTCTCCTGGAGCAGAAAATGTGCTTGGAGATGCCAGTGTTGTCTGTAATCTCCAACAAAAACTGAAGATGTGTTTAAGTGACAATCAACAACTTACCTTAATCTGTGATTTGCTGCAGGATTAAGTTTCCTAATTTGTTCAAATGTCAAATCACATATTCGACCAGTGCCATCTGTTGTCCTATCTACCGTGTTATCGTGCATTAAGATGGGAATCCCATCAGCGGTAAACTCAATGTCCAGCTCCACGCCTGTTGCTCCATTCTTAGCTGCCTTAACAAAAAATCAAGAATATTAATGTCAAGTGTCATTTTGTAATATAAACACTCAAGGCAACCAACAGCTACTCTTACTGATTCTTTTCAATTTATTCATTCCTCAACTGATGGACACTTTCGTTGTTTCCACTGTTTGACTATTATGAATAACACTATGAACATTCGTATACAAATTCTTACGATTCAATTCTTTTGGGTATATACCTAGGAGTGGAATTGCTGGATCATACGGTAACTCTTATGTTTCACCTTTTGAAGAACTGCCAGACTGTTTTCCCACTAGCTCTGAAATCAATGATACATATAATTTTTTTAAGCAAATGACATTTGAGCTGAGACCATACTAGATAAACCATATGCAGATCCAAGGGAAGAATTTTCCAAGCAGAATAAATGGCAAGTATTATACAAAGGCCACAAGGTAAGAGGGCACCACAAAGTGACCTAATCTATACATTTTTGGCCTAAAAGAGCTTACATTTATGGCTGTCTTAACAGTCATCCTTTATCCCATTACCCTGTTTCTTCATTGCATGTTCGCTCTCTGAAAGAGTCTCCTGTATGTATTTACACGTTTAAAGCCTATCTCTCCTAGACTCCAATGCAAGTTCTGTAAAAGCCAGAACCTTCTGTCCTGTCCATGACTGTATTCTCAGTGCCTGGCGCCTGGCAAACATGTGAGTACTTGCTGTGTTCTGTAAATATTTGACATCCGGAGACTTTCCAGGCGTCAGAGTGATGATCGAGGGCCACTTTTCCATGTCTTCCTGGCGGACGAATGGGGTTACGGGAACCTTCGGAAAAGTCACGCCGGGGGAGGAAGCCCCAGCTCCCAGGAGGGGCGCGAGGCGGCCGGGGCCTCACCTGCCGAATGGCCGCCAGCGTGTTCTCGGGGGCGTCGTGGCAGGCGCCGCGGTGGGCGATGGCGGAGACGCGGTCGCGGGGCCGCAGCACCTGCAGGGCCCGGCGCGCGGGCAGGGGCTCGAAGCTGAAGAGGCGCAGCAGGAGGTAGAGGACGCCGGTGAAGACGCAGGCATTGCAGGGGCTGCGGGTCACCAGCAGGAACAGCAGCAGCAGGAAGGAGAAGGGGCCCAGGAGGCCGCCCTGCGTCTCCCACAGCCACATGCCGGCGCCCGCACCGGCACGGACGGGAACCCCGGACCCGCCGGGCTCCCGGGACAGGAGAGCGAAGAGCAAGGGCAAGAGTTCAAGGCGCTCAGCCCCGCGGGAGCACCCTCCACGGGTTACAGCGCCGCGCAATGGCGGCGGCGGCGGCAGTCACATCCGGAGGAGCCGGCCGCCCAGCCAATCAGGGCCGGGGCCTGCGGGGGTCGGGGGCGGGGCCACCGGGGAGCCGCGGAGGCGGGCCCGGCTCCCAGGCTCGCGTCCCGAAAGCGCTTTTTTTGGGTGATTCTGGGGTCCGGACATCAACCCGGCTTTCAGGCTCCGGAAGGAGTGGGATGCCAGGGCCGTTGTACGGTTGTACGACTGCAAGGGTTCTGAATGACTCCTCCGTTCTGCCCTCGCGGACGCGGCCCTGGGAGCCTGGGAGCGGTACTCAGTTCAATTCAAGGTGTGCCAAACCCCAATCCGGGGGGCTCAGGACACAGCCAAGGGTGTCCCTGCTCTCCTGGGGCTTACATCCTCGTGAGGGTAAATAATCGTGTTGAGTACTAAGCTAACGTTTGTAGAGCACCTAGCATGCTCCAAGTTATGTGTGAGCAAATGCTTCGTGCATCACATCATATATTCTTACAGCAGTGTAAGAATTATCTTTGTGTAACTGGGTAATGTAAGGATTGGGTAATGTAAGAATTCAGTGTAAGAATTGGGTAAACATTATCTCAGGAAACTGAAACCACTCGTCTTGAGAAGGGTTTTTCCGTGTGGGTCAATGCTTGAATGTCAACCTATATGAACCAGGAGGTCAAGGTTGGATTCCCAGTCAGGACATGTGCCCATGTTGTGGACCCCATCCCCAGTTTGGGGGCCTGAAGGAGGCAGCCGATCAATGATTCTCTCTCATGTTGCTCTCCCTCGTGCTTCCTCTCTAAAATCAATAAAAATATATATTTTTAAATTCTTCAGACTTGGAGGGAATGAAAGAGCATAGCAAAAGGAGGCATAATCCTATATAATCCTATATAATAAAAGGATAATTTTATTTTATTTTTTTTTCCATCATTTGTAGCAGTACTTAGTGTCCAACAGAAACCACTCCATCTGTTAAACAACATCTCTTGACTGCAAAGCTTCTCTTACTGTTGGTGGATAATGGGCGAAAAACTCTGGGGAGGGAGGGCATGTATGGGAGTGTGGGGGGGGGGAGGAAATGGTAAGATATATACACGCTGAAACCGGTTTGGCTCAATGGATAGAGCGTCGGCCTGCGGACTGAAAGGTCCCGGGTTCAATTCCGGTCAAGGGCATGTGCCTTGGTTGCAGGCACATCACCAGTCGGGGGTGTGCAGGAAACAGCTGATCAAAGTTACTCTCTCATTGATGTTTCTAGCTCTCTAGCCCTCTCTCTTCCTCCCTGTAAAAAATCAATAAAATATATATATTTTTTAAAAGATATGTACGCATGGAATACCTTAATTTAAAAAAATGAAAAAAAAGATAATGACACAGACAGTCACTATCACCGTGGCAACAGTGCTAAAAGGGTAATATTGACCCTAACAGTGGAATGTCCAGGAACGACCAGTCGCTATAACGCGTACTGACCACCACGGGGGCAGATGCTCAATGTAGGAGCTGCCTCCTGGTGGTCAGTGTGCTCCCACAGGAGGATCTCCGCTCAGCCACAAGCAGGGCTGATGGCTGCCAGCGCAAGGGCAGGGGCAAAAGCCTCTCCCACCTCCACAGCAGCGCTAAGTATGTCTGACAGTGGCGTAGGCCCACTCCCACAGCTACCAGAGGGATGTCTGACTGCCAGCTTAGGCCCTATTCCAGGGAGCAGGCCTAAGCCTGCAGGTGGACATCTCCAAAGGGTCCTGGACTGCAAGAGGGTGCAGGCTGGGCTAAGGAACAGCCCCCCTCCCACCACAAGTGCACAATTTTTTGTGCACCAGGCCTCTAGTTGAATTATAAAGCTGGGAGGGATCTTAATGATTCCCTCAATTCATAGATGAGAAAACTGAGGCCAGGAGAGGTAAAGTGAATAGGGCAATTAATGGCAGTCTGGACTGACATGAAGCCACCCCAGTGTTAAGCCAGTGACTTAGTACCATTATTCCTCCTCCTCCTAACCTTGCTTTTAAAGGCCAATAGTGGGACTTATGTACCAAGCATTATGAAAGAATTATGTTGTTCCTCATAACAACCCTTTGACAGTCATTTTTTAAAAGTTCATTTTACATATGTAAAACTATGCACAGGAAGGAGGCATGAAGTAAAACCGAGTTAGGAAATGAAAGAGGCCACTACATCATCCTATATAATAAAAGGCTAATATGCAAATTATCTCCTCCACCAGGAATTCAACTGGGAGTTCGCCAGCAGTGGGCCAGCCAGCCAACCACCCATGGCCCCTCCCCCACCAGCCCCGCCCCTGATAAACCATTCCCCACCCCAATTGGGGGGTGGGGCCAGCTGGCCAATCTCTGAGTTCCCTCCCCCTGGCCAGCCCTACCCAATGGGTCACCATCCAGGTGAACTGGGGGGACCCCCATCTGTGCACAAATTCAAGAACTGAGCCTCTAGTATTTCAGAAAACTGTTACATGTTTAGATAGAGAACTTTGCTAAAACATTTGGGCTTTTCCTGTCATCTTGAACCTGTTACCTTTTTCAGACATTATTTTCCCACTGATTTGCAAAAGGGTAAACAATGTCTTAAATTTGAGAGTTGGCATCTAGGATTAAGCAATATTATATTTACAGGAAAAAAAATTCGATGAATGTGTTTTTACAACGATCACAAATTTAAAAATAAAAAAAAATAAAAAAAACGGAGCGTTCACCTAATAAATTATAGTAGCAGAGGCATTATCTTGCAGTAAAGACTACACTTTCCATCGAACATTGCGCCCTGATAAGTACTTCACCTTCTATCACTGGACCAAAACGCTAGCCCAATGCACCTCGGGAATTGTAGTTTTATGGTAGCCCAACCGTTTCAACGGCCGGGGAAGCAAATACCGGAAGTGCCGGCCCTGAGAGGTGGAGTCCCGGCGGCGGCGGCCGTTGCCTGGAGCCCGCGCTGTCGCTGGAGACTGATGATATGGCCGGGAGGAGGAGGAGAAGGCGGCGGTGGACCGAGCTGCTCTCTTTCAGTACCAGCTGAGCCGTCGGCTTCCTGACAAGGCCCGTGGTGAGGGAACGAAAAGTCCTAGGGCCGTGGGAGATGGGGTGTGCACGTGCTGAGGGGGCTTCACTCCGAGGGTCCCAGCGGCGAGGCCACCGGCGAGGCCAAATTAATTGGCGGAATTGGCGCCTGTGGAGCTGAGGGCGGGCTCCGTACGGAACCGAGCGCCAGTGCCGGGCTCCGGGCCTCGATCCCCCGGAAAGGCGCTGGTGCGGAGGCGGTGCCCGGGCGCCGGCGGCCGCGGGCGCGGCGGTGATGCTCGGATGCTGGCGCTGGGGATGGAGCCTCGTGGGCCCTGGGGATGGAGCCTCATCACCGGAGCGCGGGGAGGTGGGCGTGGGGCGCTGGGGCGGGAGCAGAGGGTCCGGGTTCGTGGACCCCGGCGCGAGCTGGAGGGCCACCTCCTATGGACAAAACTGGGCCTTTTTTCTTCTTCTCCTGCGGTGCTGGCGAGGGAGGGGTCCCTGGGTGTGCGCTGGGCATTTCTGAACGGCCATATAGTAGCTAATGCCTCTGCTACTATAATTTATTAAAATGGACGCTCCTTTTTTTTTTTTTTTTTTTTTTAAACTAGGGCTCTCTGGGACCAGGTAGTTCCCACTCTTTGCTTCTATCTGGTGTTGATCCCAGTTCCCTGTCCCTCATTGAGGCCAAAGGCAGATGCTAGAGATGGATGTCATGGGGGAAGGATCTGGAAGGAAAGAGCCTAAGGAGGAAGCCGATGTCCGGCTTTCCACGTTTATAAGTTACATTTGAGTCTTAACCAGGAACCAAGCACTGCCACTGCCTTCCAGTTCATAATGTAGTGATAAACATCATCATATCATCTGCACAGTAAAAGCAGCCCCGATTTATTGACACTTTCTGCATGTCCTGCAGGATACCCATTTCCAAACGTGTATTAGTTCATCGAACCCTCACAGAATTCCTTGGAGACAGATGAGGTTTATCCCTATTTTACAGAGGATTCTGAGGCCTAGAGAAGGAAAAAGAGAATTGCCAAGAACTCACAGCGATTATGTGTCTGAGAAACCTTGCCCTTTATTGCCTCCAAAAGAAGTGTATGTCTTTGGGAGGGTTGATGGGTCAACAACCAGCTAGCATCTGAAAGCAAAGCCAGATCTGTTCTGTGTTACTTTGACCATCCTCTTCCATGACCTTTCTGGCAGAGCACTGGGGAGGGGCGGCTAGCCTAGCCTTGAGTCTGGGGTTTGCAAAGAGGCTTACTTGAAGAAGGGTCATGGTATAAATGGAGAAGACAAGGCATGTCTGAACCTGATGCAGCTGGCAAATCATTAGCTCAAGCGGGCCAGTAATGCCCAGTGACAAAATGTGGGGCAGTAGATTTGTGGTTGGAGTGGCCTTGTAGTCAAGGCTCCCTTAAAATAAAACCCAGCTGACAGAGATAATTGTGTTGTGAGAAAGGAAGTGCACTCTTGCTTAATCATAGGATGCGGATGCTCACTTTTTGAATGGGTTGCCTTTGCTACTTAGAGGTTCCAGAGTCTTTGAAAATCCATGAAACTACCATTCTCTGAAGTCCATCCTGCCTTACTATCTTTTCTTTTTTTTCCTTTTTTCTTTTTGTTTACATTATTGTTTGAGATCATTACCCTAATTTATTTATTCAATACTTTTTATCAAGTGATACTGTGTGCCTACACTGTTCTCTGTCATGGGGATTCAGCTGTGAGCAGGACTCAGAAAGTACCTGTGCTTATGGAGCTTACGATTTGGTGGAAGAAGACAGACAAAAGCCAAGAAAATAAACAAGATAATTTCAGATAGTGGTAAGTGCTATGGACAATTGGGAAGCAGCAGTGTAATGTGGCAGTGACTGACACGGAGTTAATTTAAAGGGATAGCCTTTTTTTTTTCTTTTTTAATATATTTTATTGATTTCTTACAGAGAGGAAGAGAGAAGGACAGAGAGCCAGAAACATCGATGAAAGAGAATCATCCAGCAGCTGCCTCTTGCACACCCCCTACTGGGGATGTGCCCGCAACCAAGGTACATGCCCTTGACCGGAATCGAACCCGGGACCTTTCAGTCCACAGGCTGACACTCTGTCCACTGAGCCAAACCGGTTTTGGCAAGGGACAGCCTTTCAAAGGTGGAGACCAACAAGCTGAGACTGAAGGGATCATTTGGTGATTTCCATAATCTTATTAGCACTTGTATTGGGATATTTTATGCATTATCATGTGCCATAAATTAACTGTTATAATAAGTTACTGTACATCTGCAATATGTATGGCATGCATGTACAGTTTAAGGGCGTGGATTTAACTTTCTGAAACAATGAGGCATATCTATATGATGTTGAAAGAAAAATAAAACTATTTCCATGAAGCTATTTTATTTCCTTAAATTTCCCAGACCTTTAGAATGGAATTTTATGCTTTCATAGGAAATATGTTATATTGATTACATGAGTAATATATTTATGTTCCCGGTAATGCTGGATGCATAAATTATGTTAAAAAATATTTTGAAGTATTTTAGTAAATATGGGGTTATTTGAATTTCTCTTATATCTTAGCTTCTGCATATTTGTTGTTAACATATCATAATATGGGTTGAAATTTAGACTAAACATCGAGATATTGTTAAGGTGTTGGTTTTGTTTTTTACTTTTGCTTGTTTTGCTTGTTTGGAAAATAACCTCATTCAATTCAAGAGAACCATTTCTCTGAACCATTATCTCCCTTTGCATAAATTAAATATAGAAACAAGTAGAATTGATGGGATTGTAGGAAGAAGTTATTCAGACTACAAGTTGGTCAAAAGTAGCAACATATTTTTTATCATCTAATCCTAATTTTGAATATGCCTTTTCTTCATTTCTAACTGTGCTATATTTTGTCCCTGACACTTTAGTGTACTGAATTTTTAAGTACCTTGAGACTTAGGACAGTATCATATTTTATCTTATTTCATCTTTGTATATCCTACCTCATGAATTGAATTTCCCTACCCTCTTTCTTTTTTTGTTAATTAATGAATTGCTTTAAAATGAACACTTAAAGGAACATTATTATATTAGTTTTTCTGATTTTATAGTTCATTCCTTTGTTGGTTAGGAGTCTCATGATGTCTCTTTTTTTATTTTTCCTTGTTTATTTAAAGGAAACAGTGTTGGACATAAAGCTATGGAAACAGGCAATCAAATATTTAACGCTTGCTTGATGAATGAATATGGTGGCTAATCCTTCCTGGTTACCTTCTATTTTCATAGCCACCATAGCAATTTCCAGAAATTGTGAAGTTACTGGGCTGATTATTTTAAGTAGTTCGGCAATGGTTCCAATTTTCAATAATAAAATAGAATTATTATGAGAGTCAATAGGTTTTCTGTTTTCTACTGCTGACTGACTTGGCTAGTAATGATGGAGTCATAATATATTTTTTAAATATAAAAGTAATAGACTTTGAACTCCATGATAGAAAAAGAATTTTTAAATTTAAATAGCCATTCTGTATTTCTGTGTACCTTTGCATACTTTAGTTTTTCTTGTGCTGTGTAGCTAAGTCCTGCTAAAGAAAATATATTCTATTTTATAAACTAAAGTTAGTAAAGCGGTAGAGAACTTTGTATCTTTCAAGTAGGTTTCACTAGTAAAGTTTTTAATACTTTTCTATACTAATCACATTTAAAGATTGATTTGCATGCAAATGTTCAGAAATATTTACTATGTGATGTAAGCCTTAACTGGGTAGAATCTTGAGCCACTTACCATATACTTAAGAGTTAGCTCCTGCCGAAACCGGTTTGGCTCAGTGGTAGAGCGTTGGTCTGAGGACTGAAAGGTCCCAGGTTCAATTCTGGTCAAGGGCATGTACATTGGTTGCAGGCAAATCCCCAGTAGGGGGTGTGCAGGAGGCAGCTGGTTGATGTTTCTCTCTGATCAATGTTTCTAGCTCTCTATCTCTCTCTCCCTTCCTCTCTGTAAAAAATCAATAAAATATATTAAAAAAAAAAAAAAAAAGATGTGCCAGTGCAACAGTGAAATTGAATCAATTTCCTTCTTTAAAAAAAAAAAAGAATGAATTAGCTCCTGATCAGTGAAAATTTTTTGAGAAGGCCAGTTCTAGGAATTGTGAATTCTAGGAATATTTGGCAAAAAAATTGCCAAATAATTAAGATCTACTTTTCTCAGCACATGATATTTTTCTCTTTTGCAGTGTGGTTGTGGGAAGATGGAGGAATATGAGAAATTCTGTGAGAAAAGTCTTGCCAGAATCCAAAAGGCATCACTATCCACAGAGAGCTTTCTACCTGTTCAGTCTGAAGGCATTTCACTTATTCGCTTCCATGGAGTGGCTGTGCTTTCTCCACTGGTAAATATTCTTTGATTTTAAATAACCTTTTATCTATAGTGAACCATTAAGGCACTTGACAGGAAAAATAAAAGAAAGGCTTATAAACTTCAAAAGATGCCTAATTTATTTATAACTAAAGAAATACAAATGAACTAGCTTTTTTTTTGCCTATTAGATTGGCAAAGATCTGGTAGGACCTAATATTCCTTAGATTGTGGTGAAAGAACACTTTTGCTGAGAGAATCAGTTGATATTTATTTTTTGGTGAGCAATTGGGTAGTGTTTATCAGAATTTAAAAGTGTATATAACCTTTAACTCAGCAATTCCATTTTTTTTTTTAATATATTTTTATTGATTTTTTACAGAGAGGAAGGAAGAGGGATAGAGAGTTAGAAACATCGATGAGAGAGAATCATTGATCAGCTGCCTCTTGCACACCCCCTACTGGGGATGTGCTCACAACTAAGGTACATGCCCTTGATCGGAATTGAACCCGGGACCTTTCAGTCCGCAGACCGACGCTCTATCCATTGAGCCAAACCGGTTTCGGCAGCAATTCCATTTTGGGATATCTTACCATTACGTTCTCATCTAAGTGTCCAAAGAAATATTCATAAGGTTATGGTAGCATTCTTTAAAATAGCAAAAGACTAATGAACAACCTGTCCATCAGTAGTGGACTAGTGTAACTATGATTCATCTTATAGAATCTCCTACAATGAGTACAGTAGACCTAAATGTGTGGGCATGGAAGGATCTCCATGAGCTACCATAAGTCACTGCACACAGCTTGCTCTTGGAGACTGTGTGGAATAGTGGCTTAAAGTCCAGCGGTGGTGCCTTCTGGCCTGGGTTCAAATTATTGCTCTGCCACTTACCTGCTTTGAGAACTTGCAGGTCCGTTTTCTTTATTTGTTAAATTAGGATAAAAATAATCCCTACCTCATAGGACTGTTTTGAGGATTAAATGAACTAATACATTTAAAATGCTCAGAACAGTATTTAGATCATAGGAGGAACTTAATATATGTTAACTATTTGGATTTTTAAATAAGGATATTGTATTCTTTCTCTGGAGAGGGGTAAGGAAATAAGATGAGAGGAAAGACACATTTTTCATCATAAACCCTTTAAATGTATGGGATTTTATGTCAAAAATTAATATGATTGAAAGAGAATTCATTTTTTATTATTTTTGTATAACAATAGTTAGATCAGTATTTTTGTAATGAAATTTTCAAACATACAGAAAAGTTGTAAGGATAATACAATGACTATCACTAGTTAGATTCAACAGTTTTTTAACATTTTGCCATCTTTGCTTTATCATGTGTATGATCTGTGTGTGTGTGTGTGTGTGTGTGTGTGTGTGTGTATTTACCTACTCTTTTTGTCTTGTTGCTGAACCATTTGAAAATTGCAAATATATGATACTTCTCCCCTAAATACAGAGTGGGGCAAAAAAAGGTTTATGGTTGTTTGTATGGAAAGTAATATAATAATTAATAAATAATAACACAAGAATAAACTGTTTCATGTACTCATAATTGGTTTTTTTAAATATATTTTTTTATTGATTTTGTACAGAGAGGAGGGGAGAGAGATAGAGAGTTAGAAACATTGATGAGAGAGAGTCATTGATCAGCTGCCTCTTGCACACCCCCTACTGGGGATATGCCCGCAACCAAGATACATGCCCTTGACCGGAATCAAACCAGTGACCCTTCAGTCCCCAAGCCGACGCTCTATCCATTGAGCCAAACCGGTTTGGGCCATGTACTCATAATTGTAAACCTACTTTTGTCCCAACTGGTATTTTGGTATATATATTCTAAGAATAAGGATATTCTCTTAAAAATAAAATCCCAATACCGTTATCACACCTTAAGATAATAATTTTAAAAGCATCTTCATGATTCTTTTCATATTCAGATATCCCAATTTACACTCAAACTGTCTTTTATGACTTTTTAAAATCTGAATCCAGTCAAAATTCACAAATAACATTTGCTTGTTACAATTTTTAATCTCTTTTGATTTGGAACAGTTCCTCTACCTCCTAAAAAAAATTTTATAGTGAATTTTTAAAGAGATTAGAGCAATTAATTATCTTGTAGACTACCTTACATTTTGGATTTGTCTAGTTGTTTTCTCCATGGTGATGTATAACTTGCCCTTTAATCATTATAGTTCCTATAAACTGGAAATTAAGCCTAAAAGTTTGATTAGAGTAGGTTAAACATTTTGGGTAAGAATTGTTTGGAGATGATGCCATATATTTCATAGTAAATTAAATCAGTTACAAAATATCTGGTTCCTCTAGTTTGATGTTCAGTTTGAATACTTGCTTTTATAGTGATGCCTATCAGATGATTCTTTAAAGTATCTTCTTTCCCCTTTTTTATTAGCAAGTAAATGGAATGATTTTATTAGCAAAAGTGGAATGATTCTTTGATTCCATACAAATAGGAAAAATTTTATAACATTTTTATCAACTACTTGATGACATATTGCTTAATTAGTTTAATATCGACCAAACTGTCTACACCTTACAGACTAGGATTTATGATTCCATCGGTTAACTTATTTATAAGCAAAATCTGATATTTATGGGCAGTAAGCTATGTTTTTCTTTTCAATCCATGTTTTTATGTTATACTAGAGAACCAATGCATGAAAATTCATGCAAGAGTAGGCCTTCCTTCCTTCGGCTTCTGACACCTGCTTTCTTCTGGGACCTGGGCTTCCCTCCTCCAGCTGCCTGCAGGCACCCAGGACCCAGGCTGGCTTTCCCCAGGCTGCCCACAGGCACCCAGGACCCAATTGGCTTCCCTCCGGCCCTGGCTTCGTCAGGAAGAATGTCTGGTCTAATTAGCATATCACCCTTTTATTATTATAGACTAGAGGCCCGGTACACAAAATTCATGCACATGGCGGGGGGGAGGTCCCTCAGCCCGGCCTGCACCCTCTAATCTGGGACCCCTCAGGGGATGTTTGACTGCCGGTTTAGGCCTGATCCTGGCAGTTGGACATCCCTCCTGCAATCCGAGACCGCTGGTTCCTAACTGCTCACCTGCCTGCCTGCCTGACCATCCCTAACCTCTCTGCCTGCTCACCCCCAACTCTCCTCCCCCCAACCAGCCTGATCACCCCCAACTGCCCTCCCCTCCTGACCTGATTGCCCCTAACCACCTCTGCCTCGGCTCCACCACCATGGCTTTGTCCAGAAGGACATCTGAAAGGTCTCCCAATCTAATTAACATATTACCCTTTTATTAGTATAGATTTGATGGGTGAAATATTGTAACTTTGGAAAAATTTTTATAACATGTTTTCCATTTGCATAAGTCTTAACTCCTTAACACAGTAACTAAATTTCCCAGAACTTAATAATTAAGATTTAAATCCACTGTAAAGAAGATATAATGCATAGAAGTCTTTAGTTTCTTAGGTACATTACATTTTTAGTGGAGGTTACAATGAAGTAGAACTAAATCTGTGTACTGATTTTGCAGGCAAATAAAATATCTATTTCTTTATCATTAACCCTTTAGATATTTTCTTGAGGTAGCAGAATTAAAATGTACTTGTTTTAGAATATTAGAATCTAGCCGAAACTGGTTTGGCTCAGCGGTAGAGCGTCGGTCTGCAGGCTGAAAGGTCCCAAGTTTGATTCCGGCCAAGGGCATGTGGGATGTGCCCGCAACCAATGTACCTTTGTGCAAAAGGCAGCTGGTCGATGTTTCTCTCTCATCAATGTTTCTAGCTCTCTATCTCTCTCCCTTCCTCTCTGTAAGAAAATCAATAAAATAAAAAATAAAAAAGAATATTAGAATCTGACCCATTGAAGTAAGGGCTTGCCAAGTGAAAAGCTCAACAGTGGCCAAAAGGACTGATTTTATAACTCATTTTAGAGTATTTGAGAAGGTGTGTTTTTTCCTTTTAATTTTTTTTTTTTTAAATATTTTTATTGATTTTGTACAAAGAGGAAGGGAGAGAGATAGAGAGCTAGAAACATCGATGAGAGAGAGTCATCGATCAGCTGCCTCTTGCACACCCCCTACTGGGGATATGCCCGCAACCAAGGCACATGCCCTTGACCGGAATCGAACCCGGGACCCTTCAGTCCCCAAGCCGACGCTCTATCCATTGAGCCAAACCGGTCTCGGCTTAATTTTTTTTTTAGTTGATAATTTACATACAGAAAAATGGACAGATCTTGAGAATTAAAGTTCCATAGGTTTTGATATATGGTGTACACTTGTATTACACTCACACAGAACTTTTTCATCACCACAGATTCCAGTCAATTACCCTGAACCACTTCAGATTTCTTTCATTATAGTTTTAACAACTCTTCTTTCACTATAGTTTTAATCACTCTGATTCAAAACTTTCTGGTTTTATGCTATCTGTATATTTATGAGAAATCCTTATTATGTTTTGCAGCTTAATATTGAGAAAAGAAAGGAAATGCAACAAGAAAAGCAAAAAGCACTGGATGTAGAAGCAAGAAAGCAGGTCAATAGGAAGAAAGCTTTACTGACTCGTGTCCAGGAGATTCTTGAAAACGTTCAGGTGTGTAATTTAAACTCTATTCAGTTATAATTAAGAAATCATGAGCTAAGCATTGAAGATAATTTTTCAAAATATGTTTGCACTTAATAGTTAATTACCAATATATTTTACTGTTCTGTTTGAAAAGTTTCATAATTTGTGATACCCCATTTCAATTATTCCAAAGAAAATTCACTTGCTTGTTAGTGAGTCAGAGGGTACAAATACAATGGAGTCTTACATTGGATATAATTGCTTCTTGTGTGTGTCCTATGACTCTAAAAACACAGAATTCTCAGTGACAAAATGATACAATTGTCCATTGTACTTTACCTCTGAATTAATCAATCTAGTGATTCAATTATCTTATTCTCATTATTCGTTAAAGTAAATAACTGCTCCCCAATTTTGGGAGTGAAAATTCTGCTCTTAGATACACAAATGCAATTTAAATAAGATGAATAGAATTGCCTAGATGCATCTTAGATCCAAATTAAAACCATTTAAACAACTAATCCATACTTTTTGTAATTATTTTTATTTAGTTTAATATAAATTTGTTTTAAGGCCTGGATCATTTTATACTAAGAAGAAAATAAATGAGTTTTATTGAATAATTTCTGTCATTTATAGCACTGTTTTGTTAGTTTTTCATATTCTTAAAGATTTTTGGTTTGTGAAATTTATATTAGATGAAACATGTACAATGAGTTTTAGAACATTTCCCATTAACAGTTAGCTACTTTCATTTCTTTGTGAATAGTAGATTTTAATTTGCAGATTATAAGTACTTCATATATTAACTTTAAAATATATAATGTGTAGCACAATAAGGTCGGTTTTTTAATTTGATATTTTTTATTATTGAAACAAAAATGGTCTATCATCCTTGTTCCATTGAGGGAATATACCAAATATATTACAAAAGAGGTTATTGTTGAGTCTGAAAACTTTCTCTGTTTAATAGAGCATGTACAATGTTGAATTATAATGCATTATGCAGGTAGAGATATTTTATATATTAAAAACAGATTTCTAAGATCTGTCACATCTTTAAAACTTATGATTCTAGCATAAACTTTTTTGTTATTTAAATCATGTAACCAAACACTCGTGTTAGGGATATACAAAAAACATTGAACCTATGAATATGTTCGTAGACTTTGTGAATATGTATTTCTTTTGTTTTATTTTGACCCTGAGTACACCTTGTTGTACTGTTTATTGCATAATACCTGGAAACCATTATACTAGTATGTCTTGGGATTTGTACAAACAGGAGTACCATATGGTCTAGGAACGACACATGCAAAACAACGTGAAAATCTTTCAGTAATCATGATTCTGGAATCTATACTCACATAATATTATAATGATTTCTGCCAGTTTAATATATGCTTGTGTAATCTTTAGAAACTATCCTAGTTCACTTTTAATTTTTTTGCAAAAATTAATTATTTAAATACAAAATGAAATTTTTTTTCCTGTTGGATCTCTTGTGTACATAATTGCTCTCATCTTAATTTATCAATTTTTTTTTTTACTTATTTTGCTTCTTCTAAAGTTCATTAACAGGTTTTAAATGATCATCAGTTAATTGTTTAAAGTTGAATTTTTTTTTATTTTTAAGTAATTTAAGCTACATGGCTGAGCTATCACTTACTACAAATTTATTTCATTACATAGACGAATTTTAGTTAAAATTTGGAGTAAGTATGTGGGAGACAGCGTCTTATTACTGAGTTATTTTTTCTTAAACACTAACTCACCAGGGTAAGTTAGTCTTTGTTAAGGAGGGAATCATTTGTGTAATAAACTTAACGACTTGGTACTTGTCTTATATATTGCTATCCTTAAATGATAGCTCTTATAGGTGGAACAGTTGGTAACATTAATAACATATAAACAGAAGAAAGTTAAGGAAAATGCTTCTATTCCAAGATTAAATTGCACATGGATATATTAATATCTGTGTGAGTGTTTACATGTGCACATATGTTCATATATGTATCAGAATAATTTTCTTTTTTTTAATCTTAATAAATAGGCAGGAATGACCACTAGATGTTATTTATAGTAATTTGAGCTGTATGTGGTATAGGATATCATAGGAAAAGGTAATCTTAGTCTTTATTTGTGTTTTCAAACATTAGAACTGAATTTTAAATTTTAGTTTTATTTAGAAAATAATAAAATCAAATGTGTTGTTTGCAATAAGTAACTATTACTTTTTAAACTTCATTTTTCAGGTTAGAAAAGCGCCTAATGCCTGTGAGTTTGATCAGTGGGAAGCTGAAACAGTTTACTCTAATTCAGAAGTCAGAAACTTAAATGTTCCTACTACCTTCCCAAATGCCTTGCCAAGCTCTACTGAACACTCTACTTTAGCAAAGTTTGAAAAGATAACTGGAATTTTGCCATTGAATAATGAGGACCAACTTAAATCTAATGGAATAGACTTAACTAGGGATTCCGAAAAATTTAATTTTCTGAAGCAAGGTGGTAGTTCAGATATTGGTCATACAGAAAATGAAGCTTCTCTGAAGACCTTCTCAGCAACCCCGCAAGAGACTCTTATTTCTGGTGGGGGTCTCCTCCCAAAACATGAAGAACAGGATCCATCTCTTTTAGAAGAAGTTACTCCAGATCCCTACTTAATGAGTCTCCAGAACCTGATGAAAAAGTCAAAGGAATATATAGAGAAAGAACAATCTAGACGCAGTCTGAGAAGTAGTGCAAAGGAAAGTGTTAATGAGAGTCACTCAGACAAAGAAAATGATGCCGTTAAAGTGACTGATTGTGTAAAGGAGAAGACTCCATTTATGGGCAAACACTGTACTTCAGTGATTCCTGATAAACCAAGCCTTAATAAATCAAATGTTCTTCTCCAAGGTGCTTTCGCTCAAGCAAGCAGCGTGAACACAGCAGTTTCGGGTAGTTTTTCTAAAGCAGACATAGCTGTGGGAACTGGCCACCCCACTGTTTCAGATCCTGATTCTGATTTTAAAGTCATTCCCACTTTTGTTACTGAAAATAATGTTATCAAAAGTCTTATTAGTTCATATGCCAAATTACCTAGCCCTGAGCCAAGCCTGAGTCCTAAAATGCATCGAAGGCGTTCTAGGCCATCTTCAGCATATAATATACTTATAAACAATCCAGTAAATGCCTGTGAATTAAGTCCTAAAGGAAAAGAACAGACAGTAGACTTAATTGTTCAAGATACTAATGAAAAGACAAGCATACCTGAAATGGTGCCAAAGTTACCAACTGATTTAACAGGAGTTTGTTCAAGCAAGGTTTATGTCAGCAAAAATACATCTGAAGCTACACAGGAAATGGTTTTAAGTAATTCAAATCCGGTATGTCAATCTTCAGGAAATCAATTAGAAAATAAAGTTATTCCTGGACTTGCTATGGTGGAAGGTCAATTAACATCTGATGGAAGAGTTCCACACAAAATGGACAGTGCAAGTACTGCAATGCCAAGTTTGCATGAACCATATACCATTGATCCATGTACAACAAGTCAAAACTTTGGAACCATGAGTGGACTCAAGTCAGCCGGTATGTTAGAGAAAAGCTGCAGTTCACAAATGGAACTGAATAAGTCGTATGATGTAAAAAACCCATCTCCTTTACTGATGCAAAACCAGAATGCCAGACAGCAGATGGACACCCCTACAGTGTCCTGTGGAAATGGACAATTTTTGGATAACAGTTTTGAGAAAGTTAAACGAAGACTTGATTTAGATATGGATAGTTTGCAAAAAGAAAACTGCCCATATGTCCTAACAGCTGAACAGGACAGGCAACATTTGCCAGAAAAAATACGCCCTACAGGATCTGTCTACATCAACAAGAATAAAATGTTAGAAAGCATTTCCAGAGGTAAGAAACTTGGAAGTGTTTAATACCTGCCAAGCAAATGACACCTTTATTGAATACTTTTAATTGACATTTTGCAAAATAATCATCATCTATCTGTTATTTAGGGTACTTAATTTCATTTCTCTTACCGGAGAGCATATTAGCTACAGTTTATTGCCATTTGACTTTTCTTATAAGATTTTAAATTTTAATTTATGAATCTTTCACAATCCACTTAGTATTATAGAGAATATTGTTAATGATGAGAAAAAAGTTCTTGCATGAAGTCACTCAGTTTTAATCCAGTGTATTGCTATGATTTCTTCCTTTTGAGCTGTGGTTTCTAATGTTTTCATCTATTTGTCCTTTCATTTGTGATGAGATCTCCTGTAGTTGCCCCTTCAGTAAATACTTGAACATCAAATTATTAGAGAAGACTATCACAAGGCTCTGAACATTTCAAGAATAGTATCTTTAGCCTAGCTGGTTTGGCTCAGTGGATAGAGCGTTGCTTGTGGACTGAAGTGTTCAGTTATGGTCAGCAGCATATGCCCAGGTTGCTTGATCCCCAATAGGGGGCGTGCAGGAGGCAGCTGATCAATGATTCTTATCATTGATGTTTCTATCTCTCTCCCTCTCCTTTCCTCTCTGAAATCAATAAAAATACTTTGAAAAAATTTTTGATTTTATATATATATATATATATATATATATATATATATATATATATATAATTTATTTATTTATTCTTAGCCCTAGCCAGTTTGGCTCAGTAGATAGGGCGTTGGCCAAAGGACAGAAGGGTACCGGGTTTGAATTCAAGTCAAGGATTGTACCTCAGTTGCAGGCTCCATCCCAGGCCCTGGTCGCACATGTGTGGGATTCAATGTGTCTCTCACACTGATGTTTCTCTCTGTCTTTCCTCCTCCTGTCCACTCTCTAAAAAAACAAATGGAAAAAATATCCTCAAATGAGGATTAACTCTACCCCCGCCCCCCAAAAAATAGTATCTTTATTGATAGAAATTATTTCAAATTTCTGTTGCATCTGATGTTGTTATATTTACAACTTGCTAAAACATGTCTTCTCCATTACTACTTACTTTGTTGTCATGGTTCATAATTCTTCATTGTTGAGAATGGGAGACATAAGTTAACTAAATTAAGTTCTTAGACATAAACATTTCAGCTTTAATGTGATATATGTCTTCCTGAAAAAAAAACCTCACGTTCTGTAAAATTGTTTGCTAAAAATAATAGGGATTTTAGGGAAAATGCTGACCATTTAAAACCTGTGCAATTTTATAAGAATGCTAATAAAAACAACAGTTGATAACCTGGGAGGCTAACCTGACCCTCCATGTAAACAACATACCATGACTAGAAGCTGTCTCAGGAAATCCCAAAACCAACACATGGCGATTCTGGCAAGTGGAGGCAGCCAGGTTGCTATCAACGTGGGCAAGGGAGGCAGTGCCCCCTCTCTAGTGTGGGAGCTACTTGTCTTAAAGCACTTATTACTATTTTATTATCATCAATACTTTTTTTAAAAAGGCTTTGTCAAAATACAACCTTTCATGGAGTGCTTTGAGAAAGAAGGGGCATGGGAAAAAGCTCACTTGTCTGCTCCACTAGCACATGTTCAGCAGCACCTTTTTTTCACTTTCATTTAAATGATCTATTTGAAGCTGAAAGTGCTGACACAGCATAGTCATTTGCCTTTGTATTTCCAGAACAAATCTTGATAGCGGCGGGCACAAAGCAATCCTTAATAAAATTGACAATCAGCTTAACTCGGAACATTTTTAATAATTCGCAGTTAAAAAAATATTCTTACAAATTGTCCTGCAATCCAAATATACAATAGCTTGGAAAACAAAAGCCAACATAAAAAGACAGATTAAAGCAACTAGAACAGTACAGGTTTTATATGGCTCTGATTTTACAGTTTCCTACTGCATCATCAAGGTTAGAAATCTGTTACTCCAGCTGGCTTCATTGTTCAGGATTTAAAGAAATGCCTTTCTTCCTGCTTCGTTTCATCTTCCAGATCCATCCAATATCCCCTAATATCAATTAGAAGCCTGTTGAATGAGCTGGTGAAGGTGGTGAGAGAAGGGCCTTTATTTGATAGCATGAAATAAGAGTCCCAAAAGAGAATGTGGTTCAAAGGAGAGGCCTGACTATATCTTAATTATATTATGTCGGATTCAGGAATAATCTCTTGTCAGAAAAATACTTTAAGATGATATAAAACATCAGATATTAGATTTGTAAATTTTCTCAATCTGGGGGAACATGTTTCTTTTCAGAAGATGAGGAAATATTAAAAAGCAAGATGTTAGCATTTGAAGAAATGCGGAAGAGACTAGAAGAACAGCATGCCCAGCAATTATCACTACTCATAGCTGAGCAGGAGAGGGAACAGGAAAGATTGCAAAAGGTGAGGAGTTAAAATGTACGGATATAGGGCTGGTAAGTGGAATTTAGCTGGGGATATCTAAGAATTTTAGCCATGGATAGGATACTTACAATTTTCCTCCAGAATTAATAACCTAAAGGGGTCATTGGTTTTGATACATGGATAATATTTTTATTACCAGAATGTGAGGTTTAAGGTTTAGATTCTTATCTATATATATATATATCAATAAACGCCTAAGTGACTGAACGACTGGTCAAACCGTCACTATGAAACGCACTTACCACTAAGGGGCAGACAATGCAGGAGCTGCTCCCTGGTGGTCAGTGCACTCCATAGCCAACCTCCCATAGTCCCTTCTCCATGGGTCTGAACTAGATGGCCCGATCCATCATTCATGAATTCGTACATCAGGCCTCTAGTCTAAAAATAATGTAGAATTTATCAAAAGGATACTTTAGTGAATCCTTGATTCAAAACTTTATATTTGTAAAGTTATTTTATAAGTAGATGCAATATAAGCATTCTGCAAGAGTATATTTTAAGAGGAGGACACTTGTTTTAAGATTATTGTTAATATGTCACATTTTTAAATCAAATTGTCAATTTTACTAGAGGGAGGAACACTTGAAATAAGTAACAATTTGTTGATAATTATACATACTTTTAGCTAATCCTAAAATGACACTATTTTGGGATACAGTTTAACAAAATATCTAGCATGTTTTAATGAACTCTTATGCTATAGGAAATAGAAGAACAGGAAAAAATTTTCAAAGAGAAGAAAGTGATTACAGCGGAAGCCTCTGAATTGGGTGTTAACAATACAGTGGACTTAGAATGGAGAAAAATAAGTGACTCCAGCTTGCTAGAAACAATGCTCTCTCAATTGGATTCCCTCCATACTTCAAATTCCAATAGTTCTGGTAAATATTTTAAAATCCTTTTCCATTTCAAAAAATTATTCTGTAGTAAGATATTTTATTTGTCACACTTTAATTGGAGCTTTTTCTTCAAGTAATTCCATGTCCAACCCACTGCTGTTTGCCAGCTGCTTATTAACTAGTGAAAAATTAATCGATACCAGCAGATCCAAGACTGATTACCAGGTGTTCATGAGAAAAGGCACTTTAGTCAGAAAAATATCTGGAAATTTGACACAGAGTCTAGTCTTTGTTCATTCATGCAGCAGGTGGTATACTTCAAGTGAAAACACCGTTTGCTGTCTCCAGAGTAATCTTGAATTACATCTAATTCCTATCCCAGTAAGAGTTTATCTTCACATCTTCAATTATCCTGAGATGCTGTTTGTGTTGAAAAGATCCACCTGGTACATAAGCCTAACGTCCATAAATACTTTAAGTGGATCAGTTTCAGAGGCAGTTGCCATTGTTTTTTATTGGTAGTGTTCATAATGAGTGTTGAGTTTATTTAGGTGTTTTGCATATTCTGATTATCTCACATCAAGTATAATACTAAATGTATATTTCTCTAGGTTTCACAAATTCTACCCTACAACATAGCCTTGGTTCTGTAAATGAAGCACCATTCTACCTCTGGGGATCATCAACTAGTGGCTTGACCAAACTCTCTGTAACAAGGCCTTCTGGAAGAGCCACAACTAAATGGTCTCAGGTGGGCAAACTTAATGATACATGTATATCCATCTATCTACTATCTATCTTTCTATATCTTTTTTAAAATATATTTTTATTGATTTCCAAGTGGAAGGGAGAGGGAGAGATAGAAACATCAGTGATGAGAGAGAATCATTGATCGGCTGCCTCCTGCATGCCCCCTATTGGGGACTGAGCCCACAACCTGGGCATGTGCTCTTGACCAGAATCAAACATGGGATCTTTCAATCCACAGCCCAACGCTATCTCCACTGAGCCAAACCTGCTAAGGCTCTTTCTATATTTTTAAAATATTTTCTATATTATCTTAGGTTATACAAATGAGCATGGGTATTTTTGTCATACATCCAATATTAGCTTCAACTTACATAGAGCATATATTTATTAGCTTCAACTTACATAGAGCATATATTTATAGAAGAATTTAGCTCAGATAAAGAAAAACAATGTAACAGATAAAGAAAAACAATCTTGAATATAATGCTCAAGTTATTAAAACATTGTGTCTCTCGCCGAGGCCAGTTTGGCTCAGTGGATAGAGCGTCAGCCTGCGGACTCAAGGGTCCCGGGCTCGATCCAGTCAAGGGCATGTACCTTGGTTGCGGGCATATCTCCAGTGGGGGGGGGGGGGGTGCAAGAGGCAGCTGATCGATGATTCTCTCTCATCGATGTTTCTAACTCTCTATCCCTCTCCCTTCCTCTCTGTAGAAAATCAATAAAATATATATATATTTTTAAAAACAAAATAAAACATTGTGTCTCTCTTATCTCTTCTAGGTTTTCAGTCCAGAAGTACAAGCAAAATTTAATAGAATAACTGCTGTGGCAAAAGGATTTCTTACTCGTAGGCTTATGGAGACAGATAAATTGAAGCAACTTCGACAAACTGTAAAAGTAAGATCTTTATAAATTATTTGTATTTCACTTCTCTATCAGTTTCTGTCAGTCTTATTACAGCAGAATTGGCAAAATAGTTCAGAACTTAGGCAGAGCAAACTATTTGTAGTTATTGTAATATAGGCAATTTTAGAAATCTGATTATTTCATTCTGATAATTTTTAAAAATATGTAAAGAAAGTAGTTTATGTATTTTCATCTCACTTTAAAGTTGAGTGCTATTTTGATTCTGATAATAATAGATTTGTGTTCTTAGTAATTCTGGATTGACTGAGAAAAGGAACAAAAGGAAACTCCAGTGATTGTGAACCTTCCAAGAAAACTGTTTTAAAGGACATTTTTTCTTTCAGGACACTATGGAATTCATAAGAAGTTTTCAGTCAGAAGCACCATTAAAGAGAGGAGTTGTTTCAGCACAGGATGCTATTCTTCAGGAAAGAGTGCTGGCTCAGGTAAGTGTACGGGTCCTAAAGTTTTGGGGAAATGGAAATGCTTTATTTCTCTCCCTTCACTTAACCACTGAAAATTTGTTTTTAATTAAAACTTTAATCTTTTTCTCTAAATAAAGTGTATATAATATTATTGAACCCTGATCTCATCTTTTTAAATGGGTACAATATTTTCTTCTTTTGAAACTAGTTGCGAGCTGCCCTGTATGGTATTCATGATATATTCTTTGTAATGGATGCAGCTGAAAGAATGTCTATTCTACATCATGACCGAGAAGCTCGCAAAGAGAAAATGCTCAGGCAAATGGTATGTTATCTGATTTTGTAATGAATAACTCAAAAAGAAAAACTGTTTCTTCTACAGTCACAAAATACTTCTGACAGCAGCTGTATGGGTTTTACCCCACACTAACCAGTTCTTTGATACCCTGGGAGTCCTACCATTCAATTAAGTTCTGATAGTATCTACCTAGAGTTATCAGATACTACAAGTTAAGGAGGCAGTGAAGACTGTCCCCACTTCTGACACCAGTCACACTTCTCTGGTTGTAACTTAAACTTCTAACAGATGGTACAAATTGAGGTTCCCATTAACCCCTCCTTCAGCTCAGTAATTTTATAGAATGCTTACAGAACATACACTTATTGGTTTATTAGAGGCCCAGTGCACAAAATTCATGCATGGGGGGTGGTCCCTCAGCCCGGCCTGCACCCTCTCCACTCCAGGACCCACCAGAGGATGTCCGCTGGTATCAGGCCTAAACCTGCAGTCGGACATCTCTCACAATCTGGGACTGCTAGCTCCTAACCACTCGCCTGCCTGCCTGCCTGCCTGAACGCCCCTAACCGCTTCTGCCTCAGCCCTACCATTGTGGCTTTGTCTGGAAGGTCACCCGGAAGATGCCCAGTCTACTTAGCATATTACTCTTATTAATATAGATTATATAATTAGAGGCCCCGTGCTCGTCATAGCAACTGGTCATTCCACCGTTCGGTTGATTTGCATATTAAGGTTTTATTATATACAACAAAGGATATAGTAAGTTATATAGATGACTAGCCAAATGAAGAGAGGCATAGGGTGAGGTCCGGAAGGATCCTGAGAGCAGGAGCTTCTGTTCCTGTAGAGTTGGGACCACCTTTCTAGCACATGTATGTGTTAAAGCTCTCTGAACTTTAGGATTTTAAAAAAATATATTTTATTGATTTTTTACAGAGAGAGGAAGGGAGAGGGATAGATGAGAGAGAAACATCGATCAGCTGCCTCCTGAACACCCCCTACTAGGGATGTGCCCGCAACCAAGGTACATGCCCATGACCGGAATCAAACCTGGGACCCTTCAGTCCACAGGCCAATGCTCTATCCACTGAGCCAAATTGATTAGGGCTGAACTTTAGGATATTTGTGGAGGCTTCATCATGATCAATTATTAACTCAATCTCTAGTTTCTCTCCTGTTTCCAGAGAATAGGAGATGAAACTAAAAAAATTCCAAACTTCTAATTATGCTTTGTCTTTCTGATGACTAGTAGTCCACTCAGAATTACCTCATTAGAACACAAGATGTTCCTATCACTCAGAAAATTCCAATAGGTTTAGGAAATCTGTGTCAGAATCCAAAGTCAAAGACCAAATATTAAAACAAAAGATGCACATGAGTGGGGGGTAATGGGGAGATAAGGACACATGTAATACCTTAATCAATATAGAAATTTAAATACACACACACGCACACACACCCCAAAAAAAACAAACAAAAGATTCTTCTGCCATTCTTATCAGTCATATTAAAAGGGTTTTGGAAGTTTAACCCTGTTAGGAACTTGGATCAAAGACCAAATATTAGCAGGAAACAGGGGCAGAATCATATATAATGCTCTTTTGGGTTTGGAATACTTGATACTAAATATCATTCTCTATTGACTTCAGCACCCTTCCTATAATCCTTAAGCACAGGTAATTCCCAGGATTACCAAAACACTTAAGTCTATAGACTGATTTAAAAGAAATTGGTAAAAAATAAAATAAAATAAAATAAAAGAAATAAAAGAAATTGGTGAAAGAATTGCATATTGTTTTGTGATTAGATTTTGGAGTTTGAAGCATTGAATGTTGCTTGAAGCCTGATAAACGATCATCTACTCCTGATGGAATTTCCTTGAAACTATTATGTGGCTTTTTCCTGTTTTTGGAAATCAGAGTTAGAAAACAGGCTCCAAGTTCATTTGAAATATATCAGAGTGTTGGACTATGGTTTCAATCAGTGATCTTAGTGTGGTTGGCAAAAGAAAAGCAAATGTTATTTCATTGGGAAAAAATAATGTAAATGTTTTTAATTAGATTGCTTTAATTATAAAGACTAACTTAAACTTAAAAAAGCTAGTAAGTGATGGCTGTCCATGCAATTAAGATCATCCTGTACTGTAATTTAGTGGAATTACTGGGTACTGTTAGAGCTTTGTTACTTTTATATTTTAAAGGATAAAATGAAAAGTTCACGAGTGTCTCTCTCTGCTGCAACACAGAAGTCTCTTGATAGGAAGAAGTATATGAAGTAAGTTTGTTCATGTTATGTCACACTAATTTAATTATTATTATACCCATTAATTTTAGTCATCTGTTAGTCTGTATATTCATGTTAGAAATAAATAACAAAAAATAAAGTTTTAAAAAGAAAAAGAACAGTTCATTCTTCTGCAGCTGAACTGATATAAATCCCTTTTTTACATAAGAGTTTTATAAAATCCAGTGGTAAAATCTCTTTATTTATTTTTTATTTTAGGTTGGTTATTCATATCTCAAATACATTTCTTCTTCTTTTTTTAATCTTTATTCAGATTATTACAAAAATTCCTCATTTTTTTCCCCCCTCCATTGCTCCCCTCCACCAGGTTCCCACCCCACGCTCTGCCCTTTCCCCATCCCTCATTGTCCTCATCCATAGGTGCACAGTTTATGTTCAGTCTCTTCCCGCACCCCCACTCCCCTTTCCAGGAGAATCGTCAGTTCACTCCCCTTCCATACCTCTGATTCTATTATATTCAACAGTTAATATTGTTCATCAGATTTTTTAATTCCCTTGATTTGTAGATTCACTTGTTGATAGTTATGTATTTGTTGTTCATAATTTTTATCTTTATTTTTTCCCTCTTACTAAAGAACCCCCTTCAGCAATTCATATAATTCTGGTTTGGTGGTGATGAACTCCTTTAGCTTTTTTCTACTAGTGAAGCTCTTTATCTGGCCTTCAATTCTGAGTGATAGCTTTGCTGGATAGATTATCTTTGGCTGTAGGTTCTTGATATTCATCACCTTGAATATTTCTTGCCATTCCCATCTGGCCTGCATGGTTTCTGTTGAGAAATCAGCTGACAATCATATGGGGGCTCCTTTACAGGTAACTACCTGCTTTTCTCTTGCTGCTTTTAATATTCTCTCTTTATCTTTTGCTCTGGAATTTTAATTATGATTTGTCTTGGTGTGGTCCTCTTTGGATTCCTTTTGTTTGGAGTTCTGTGCGCTTCCTGGACTTGTAAATCTAATTCTTTCACCAGGTGGGGGAAGTTTTCTGTCACTATTTCTTTCAGTATGTTTTTGATATCTTGCTCTCTCATCTTCTGGGACCCCCATAATTCTGATCTTGGTTCGCTTGAAGTTGTCCCAGAGGTTTCTTACACTATCTTCAACTTTCTGGATTCTCTTGTCTTATTGCTTCTGCAGAGGAGTGTCTTCTGGCTCCTTATGTTCCAAATCTTTGACTTGATTCTTGCGATCTTCCATTCTGTTTTTAGGACTCTGTATAATATTTTTTATTTCAGACAATGCATTTTTTATTTCTAGTTGATCCCTTATTATTTCTAGTTGATCCCTTTTTCTTATCTGCATAGGTCTCGTTTATTTTATCGGCCTTTTCTAGGAAATTCTTGAAAAACCTTATAAGCGTGGTTTTGAACTCTATCCAGTCGCTTTTTGTTCTCCATTTCTTTCGTTTGTGATCTGTTTCCTTGTCTCGGCATTTTCGCAGCTTCCCTGAGTTCGTAGCCTTAAAAGTCTCTGTGTTCTGCTTGGATGGGGCAGAGTTTCGGGGTGGAGCCTACAGCCTTGGCTTCTCGTCAGCCCCGCACTATGAGTCTCCTGAGTCTCAGTGTTCCTCAGTGAACTTTGGTACTCGCTGCAAGCACCTCTGAGAAAAAGGTGCCCTTGAGTTTCACCCGCTACCAAACAGTCTAGGCTCTCCCCCAATGAGCCCGGAACTGGGGTTCAGTTCATTTGGAAGTGGGGTTGGAAGTGGGGTTCAGAGCAGTCTGGAGCTTTTGTCTCCTTCCCACTAGGGCAATCTAGCTCCAAAGTCAACAGTCCGTCCTCTGTACGCAATGTGCATGCCTCCAGGACTGCTTTTCGCTGCTCCCCTGAGTTTCCGCCTTACAGCCCAGGCTCCCTCCAAAAGAGCCTGGGTCCCCAGGGTCTGGCCTAGAACTGGGGTTCAGTGCAGTCAGATTTGGGGCTCAGCACAGTCCGGAGCTTTTGCCTCCTTCCCGCTAGGGCAATCCAGCGACACAGTCAACCATAGGTTCTCTGCATGCAATGTGCTCACCTCCAGGACTGCCTTTCGCTGCTCCCCTGAGTTTCTGCATATAAGAATAAACTATGTTTAAGATTTAATTCACGAGAGAAAACAAGATGGTGGCATAGGTAACACCTAACTGCAGTCTCACACAACTATTTCAATAAAATACAACTAAAATACAAAATGGACATTACCCAGAACTACAGGAAAGTTGACTGACTAGAAATTCTACAAGGAGAAGGAAAGAGAAAACCAGAATGAAAATCAGAGGAGCCCAGGCTCCCTCTGTATGAGCCTGGGACCCCAGGGTCTTGCCCAGAATTGGGGTTCAGCACAGTCCGGAGCTTTTATCACTCAGCCTCCCCCTCCTCTCTGGCTCCGTCCTCTCCACGCGCGCAACGTGTCTCCGTACCTTAGGCTTTTACAGCTCCTCTGATTTTCATTCTGGTTTTCTCTTTCCTTCTCCTTGTATAATTTCTAGTCAGTCAACTTTCCTGTAGTTCTGGGTAATGTCCATTTTGTATTTTAGTTGTATTTTATTGAAATAGTTGTGTGAGACTGCAGTTAGGTGTTACCTATGCCACCATCTTGTTTTCTCTCGTGTATCAAATCTTAAACATAGTTTATTCCTATATGCAGTGTCACTTTTATATCTTGTAAATATATTCATTTTCTAATATCTTAAAGACTTAATGGGAAGAAAATCTTAAAGCAAGGACTATCCTTGTGATTATCTTATTAAAACTCTTTTTTCTTGAAAGTAGTCTTTAATATGCTTAGTAGAGGTCTTTCATGGTACACTCTTTTAAGATGATTTGTTTCTGCCATCATGTATCACATTTGTAAACATGTCTTTTCCCCTTTTCTGAATTCATTGTTTATATGTCCTTATTTTTATATTGTGTTAGAGCTGCTGAAATGGGAATGCCAAATAAGAAATTCCTGGTTAAACAAAACCCTTCTGAAACAAGGTGAGAAAAATCACTTAGTCTCAATGAGAGACTTTTTTTTTTTTTTTTTTAAAGAAAATGTTTTAAATCCTAAGCTTGCTTTTTATTTGCTTTGTTCCATTTTTTCTCAGTAGAACACTCTCTGCTGAGTTGAAGGACCTCAGGGTCAGGGTTGGTTTTAACACTTGGTCATGTACTGGTCACATGTCAGATCAGATATTTCTGGAAGCATGCTGATTTGAGTCCATATGTCCTGAGTCAGTCATGGTCTTTGATATTTATTTAGAAACCTGAGATAGCTAACTTAATATTTCTGATCTGTTTTCTACTCTTGTAAGAGTGAAGTTTCTTCTCAGATATTTGAAAGGAAAAAATGGCTTTTGTAAAGTATATAAATAAATTACCTAAAAGCATCAGGATTAATACTCAAGTTAGACATCTCTTTTCTAACAAAAACCTAATGTTTGAGCTCTTGGTGAGCAAAATATAAGTACCATATTAATTTGCTTTAATCAGTTTGCTTTGTAGTATTATAGTGGCCATATCATTAGATAGGTGACTTCTACCTCACTGTTATCATTTATCTAAAGAAAATGGGGAAAAACAGAATTTATCTTGTTGAATTAAATTTTTTTTTATTTTGTTAACAGAGTACTTCAGCCAAACCAAGGACAGAATGCTCCTGTTCATAGGCTACTTACTAGACAAGGGTAAGAATGTAACACATAAGGGTATTTAAAATATTCAAATTGAGATTAGCTTTGAGAGGAAAAATAATTTAGAGCTCTTTGTATAAAGGATTGTTTTTCAAATGTGATTTTTTTTTATATATATATAGAATTAGAAAGAATTTTTAAAGTTTTGTGTTCAAAGATAACCCTTTGGTTTACTATTGTATTTTATTTTTCAATTGTCACCTTTCGTTGGCATGCTTTTACTTTTCATTTCAGACCATTTTGCTCATTAAATATCATAAACATCCGTATAGTAATTTCAGCATCACCAAAGTGTTTCTCCAATAAAGTATGTTACCATCTCCTGCTGAAGCAAAGTATAACTTCCTTTAATGAGCATGCATGAGACTTAAATTATTTTCAAGCTTATTTGTGTTAAGAACAGTTGATGCAGTATGGTTGCTTTCTTTGAATGTTGAACATCTAGACCTTAATGCAAGTGACTTATTAATTCTTTTATATTCAATTAGAACCCCTAAGACATCAGTGAAGGGGGTTGTGCAAAATAGACAGAAGTCTTCACAGAGCAGAGTGCCTAACAGAGCGCCTGTGTCAGGTGTGTAGCCATGAGTTTGCAAAGCCCATTGGAAAGAAACAAGTGCACAAGCTGCCCTGAACTACAGGCCTACGCATGGGATCGGTTGTCCTTGCCACCATAATTCTGGCATATTCACAGACATTCCTAAAAGTGATCGTTTGTGGCAGTCAGGAGGAGATCTTAGGGACATTGTTTCCAATTTTGATTTTATAATAATTCCATAGAAACACTGTTGTTTTTCATCTGAAATTTTTGTAGAATTATATATGCTTAATTCAGAAATCTTTTTATCAATGAGTGACATGTAACAGTGATCTCATGCCTAGATCTATGCATGTTCAGTCTTGTTGAAGTGTAGCTATTACCCAGGAATATTTTGTCAGTACAGAAGGGAAAGAAATTCTCCCTCTGACCACAAGATCACATGTGAATATGCCAGTTGGGAAGGGGTAAGTTGTCGTTTTCTTGTGCTCAATAAGAAGCTTGCGTTAAATCTGTGTTCATTATTAGAGGATTCTTTAAGGGCTAAACTAAATAATGTATTTTAAAATTCTGTGTATGGTGGCAAGAAGACAAATTCAGTGTTGAGCTAATGTAAAACGCTTAAGCTAACATTTAATATTTTTTAGTTATCTTTGTTAACACACTGATAAGCTCACAAAAAAATTACACGATCCATTAAAAATACTTTCTAAAATGCTTTTCTTTAATTATACTACTTTTTAAGCATTTAAAAGAAACCAAAATTAATCAGGCAATGGCAATTAAATTGATAATAAATTATAATCTTGTTAATATACAATTAGAATATTTAAAGTTTTTATTACTAAGTGATTGTCTCCAAACACTTAGAGAAAACAACCAACATAAGAAATTTTTTAAATATTATTACCACTTGCTCATAGAAGTTCAAAGAAGGAATCAGATATTGATCATAGCTTGGAAATGATTGCTGACCTTTGCATGTGGAGAGTGAATTTCATTCATAATGTTGCATGTATAGACGATAATTTAAATGTCATCTTTTGGAAGTCACTGTGAGTGACAGTAGGTTGGTTCTTTTATGCAGTTGAAGATCCTGCTTATTCCAGAGAGTCAGAATGAGCTGTTTGAAAAATAACCTTTTGAAAGAACTCAGACCAAACACCAGATCTCTTGCTTATGATGTTATATGGAATTTTCAACTTTTTAAAAGGACATTTTCAATTTTTTCCCATGTTAGTCATATATTTGTGGTGATAAAGCCTAGCTAGTTGACAAATCATTGAGGAATTAATACTGTTTTGCCTCGAATTATCTATTTGCCACAGTGACTACTCTCCATGTTCTTTCTCATGCATTTCATCTCCACTTTTTGTCACTTGTGAACTTGTAAGCAAGATAGCAACTACTGTTTTTATTCAGTAATGTTCAATAGTGTCAAGGGTGAATAGGAGGTCACCACAAATAATAAGATACAATGAATTTCAGTATTGGGAATTATTGTGTTTAATTGCATCGCAACATAATTAATATAAATGAACTCAACCCTTGATTTAGCATGTGTAATTAACAGGTACAGAAATTCTTTCCTAAGATTTACTTAGACATGAGTGCATCTATAATAATAAAACATAACATGCTAATTAGACCGGACAACCAAATGACCTTCTGGATGAAGCCAGGGCTGCGAGGGCCGAGGCAAGCCTCTGCGGCTGCAAGGGCCAAGCCCCTTGCATGGATTTCGCATACCAGGCCTCTGGTATTTAGATGATTTAAAAAGACTAGAGAATCTTACCCTTTTACATAAAATGAAAATTTGGGATACGTAACATTCTAACTGTGATCTCACAGGGGCTTCATAGTTGTCCTTGAAAAGATTACTCTTTCCTGTTTAGATTTTTAATGGTCTGGATTATGTTTTAAACAAGTTTGAAATTATGCTTTGATTTAATCTACATGGAGAACAAACCATTTAGTAAGCAAGTTTAGGAGATTCGTTTCTCAGGTGACAGAATATCATACTCTTAGAATGAAGTAGAATTCTGAGGTGTTAAAATTTACTGCAAAGCACTTAAAGTTGTTTATAGTTTTTACAAACTAAATTGCAGTATCTAATCTTGTGTGCTTTAAAGCATATTTGTTCACTTTATGTTTTGTGTTTGACTCAAGGCTTGATAGTGAAATTCAGAAGCACTAATTAAGGTAGAGTAGGAGGCAGCAATGAAAAATGGGTAAGAAATGCAACAAAGCAGGTTGAATTGATTCTCAGAATCTCTGCTTCTAGCTCTGTTACTCTCCTGTGTCTCAGTTTTATTGCTGAGGTAGCAGTTTCTACTCAGGATTTCATGTAAGGATTAAATATGATAATGTATATTGCTTAACTTAGTTCTTGACAAGAGCATTAAATAGTATCATTATAGAAAAAGTAACATTGAGAAATAATATTAGTTTTGCTCTATTTTTAGGAGTATATGCAGGAAAAATCCAAAGAAAGCGGCCAAATGTTGCGACAATTTAAGAAGACAACATTCATTAGGATAAAAGGAGGGAGGGGTTTCATCCATATTATTGTCCATGCCCAAGACGTTCATTTCTCCCTGGACTGTTTACACAAAGTGCTGTCAAAGGGCTGAATAATTATGTGGGTAATATCGTCAGTCTGGCTAATTCCTTCCCACACCCCCATTTTCCTTTTAATATTAGGTTTGGGTGAAAACAAATTAGTGTTTAGTTAATTGACTCATCTCAATGCTTAACCCGTACAAACATAAGTTTGTTTTATGTACCCATCTGTCTATTGAGAACTTTTTGTAAACTTAAAAAAGGACATTTGGGTTTATTTTTCTAAAATACTGAAAAGGTGTGATAAAATATAGGTTCTAAAATATAAATTTAATTCATCTCTGCATACTGATTGCTGAATTTGATAAATTAGATACTATTCTATTCAAGGGGAAATTATGACAGAAAAATGTTCTCTCCCGGTTTTGTAAAAACTGATTAATCTCTCAGCCTTCATATTCTTGGTCTTACAGGATAACCACGTAGAATAAAACATTTGCCTGCTGATTGTGGGCCACCTAACATTTACCACTGAAGTATCTGGGGATCACCCATTTGGTCATAAGCACACATTTCTCTCAACAGCTAGTTGTTTTACAGAAATGTTGGGTTTGATGTTTGTTGCCCCGGAACTCTTAGAAACATTTCTGCCGAATTATAAAATCTTTCTGTGAGGGTGACAACTTTGGTGAAGACAGTACAGTCTTCCTGAATGTAGTGACATGCATTGATATTACATTAATCTCTGTAAAATAGAATGTTGCATGCAGTTTTATTTTACATTTTGTCTGTATATTTTGTTTCTTCAGAGTCTGCTTTTTCCAGCATGCTTGATTTAGGAGATAACAAAGGGCTATATAACATAAGAAGAAGGCCAGATTTTCAAATGGGATAGTAAAGTTATCTAGTTGAAATTCTGCATTATTTAAGAAGCACTGCCTTTTAAAGTTTTTCATCACTAACATATTCATTTAAAATATAAACCAAAAAAATGTTACTAAGGGACTATGATTTTTTGAAAGAGAATGCCACTGTTAATTTATGATAGCATTTCCAAAAAGGGCTTTGTGCTTCTTACATAAAATTGGGACTCTGTACATTTAACCTGTCTGAATTTTTAAAAGATACTGGTGTTTGAAAATGTAGCCTATATATATTCCTAATATTCTTTAAAGAATGGAGAGAAAGATTGTTTTCTTTGATTTTCTGTTCTATTTAAAATTTAACTTTTACAGCCAACCATAGACAGAAAGTAATAACCTATTTTATCTGGGTGTAAACTTTATTGAGATGTATCATTTGTTGAATGAATAAACCATGAAGTTAAAAGACAGGTAAAATGTCTGAGTTACCAATTTTTTTATTTGTAGGCAAGAATATCAAATTATCTTAATATGATAAATTATGCTTTATCATTCTGAAACCTCAGGAGACAGGTTGCTCATATCATTGTGGATCTTTCCAGTAAGAAAGATATTAAAAGTTTTGAGTTCACTATAACAAGTTAGCTAAAACAAATAGTATGTTTTGGAGAAAGTTAAAACTAGTTTTAGATTAAGGATGAGAAATTTGAGTGTTTTTTTTTTTAAGCTAGAGCATGTATGTTTTATACCTTGTTTAAATGTTCACAGCTTTTCTCAGAAAAGTGCCAGACATTGTTTTTGTGCTTTTAATGGATTTTTATTTATATGCATTATTTTTTTAATATTTACTTTGAAGTGGAATGTTCATTAATGTGAATTGTATTTATTTTTATACTTTAATTTTCACTAGTTCTGCTTCTAGGAAAAAGACAAAATAAACTTTTCTTAAAGGAAATCTAGTTTGATGTTTTTTTATTTACCAAGGAAAGGACTATTAAGGGATAAATGTTAAAAAGTATCGGGTCAAAACCTTAATACTGTAATTTTTACAATAATAGTCTCATGAAAAGTATACCTCACTATTTAATATGTAGCATATACCAGTGCTTATTCCAGTATTTAATGTTGCATCACTCGGACTTCTCAGAAGGCAAAACGTTCACTAGAGGTGGAATGTCTTAGCTTACTACGTATTTTTCCGGCATATAAGACGACCGGGTGTATAAGACGACCGGGCATATAAGGAGACCCCCCTAATTTTACAGTTAAAACATAGGTTTAGGCCTATATTCGCTGTATAAGACTACCCCCCCCCCCCCACTTCCGAGGCAACACCAGTCCTTTTTTTTTTGTTCTTTTTTGTTCTTTTTTTTTAATATATTTTATTGATTTTGTACAGAGAGGAAGGGAGAGAGATAGAGAGTTAGAAACATCGATGGGAGAGAGAGTCATCGATCAGCTGCCTCTTGCACACTCCCTACTGGGGATGTGCCCCCAACCAAGGTACATGCCCTTGACCGGAATCGAACCTAGAATCCTTCAGTCCCCAAGCCGACGCTCTATCCACTTAGCCAAACTGGTTTCAGCGACACCAGTTCTTTTTTTAATAGACCGCCTCTCTGACTCTGGCCAATCTGAGCAGGTTTTTTTTTTTTTTTTTTTTTTCATTTCAAAAGTCGTCTTATATGCCGGAAAATACGGTATGTTAGAAGTCTGGTAAGGAGTGAATGGGAGCAAATACTGAGTCTAAGCTCACATGAAAGCTGCTAATTTGTACAGCTTTGAGTCCAGCTCTTGGTCCTGCCTGTCGTATAATGTGAGCCCAGTAAAATGCTGCTCATTTTCACTTCTTACTGAGATCCACTGCATTAAATAATCTGCACGGCAGTGTGAGAAGAGCCTTCACTTTTCCCATGGCCACACTTGAACCCTTGTTCATTTCATATGTTGGGAATAATACATGTGACAAAACACTGAGCGGAAAGAAAGGGCTCGTTCTGGAGATGAAGATCTTTGTTTTCTGTCAGGTGTCACCGTTCCATGAGCAACCACAGGCAATCTCTTCCTTCTCCCATGAAAAGTAATAGTTACAAAAAGAAAATCAAATGGGGTTGGAATGCTTGATCTCTAAGGGACCATAGTAGGCGTATGTGTGTAGATTATAAAAATAATTAAAATTAAAATAAAGACTTAGCTGTTGAATACACAGCCAATCAAACTGGAACATTATGCAGTGGAGTCCCATCCTTGATCAAGTTGTAAAGACAGCTCTGAGGGTAAAAAAGGGTGTCAAATCAAAATTATACTTGGAAATAAATATTGCCTTTCCCTCATTTATTTCTTCTTCCTTTTTGGTCAGTTTCTCCATGGTTTTCAATTCTTCTGTTTCCTGAGGTGGTTGGCAAAGTTGCCATACGAATGGCAGTTTCCTTCTCAGTGTGTGGTGGGAAAATCCCTTATTCACACTTTCCATAGGTTTTAACATCTGGTTCAGGATGTCTTGCACTATCTGTTGAATGCCCACTGGGGTCCTGTGTAACTCTCCAGAGCAAGGATCATGAGAACAGGCCCAGGAACCTGTCCTGGGCCAGGACACTAGGAGAAGCCAGTTCTCTCAGGGACTGGGAGGAGGACAGAAATCTGCCAGTTCCTAAGCTCGTGTGTGCACGGAGACTTGGTCACCCTGAAGCCAGACACGACTGGAACACTAAAGGCCTGGTTTGTGACCGATCTGTCATGGAATGGGAGACCCGGAGTCCACCGGGACTGGACCTGGGAAAGACTATTGCCACATTTTTAGCCCCAATTTTAGATCATATTGTGGGGTAGGGAACCCTCCACCCAGGAAAATGTTAAGGTGGTTGGAGACACTTCCATTCAGCGAAGCACAGACCTGAAATCAGCACGCAAGTTGTTCTTAGAAATATCTTTATTATAAGTGTTTTTAAAACTTCAGTACATGCATTGCTGGGGACCACCTCAGTTCACTTATATGACACTGGTGACCACATAGATTTTAGGTAATGATTTTAGAAACATCTTTATTACAACTGTTCTGACACCTTTTACTATATACATTAAACAATGGCGATCAATTCAAATCACTGATACAGCATTGGCGTGATGGTAGCTTCCAAAGTGTCATTCTTAGAAACCTGTTCATTACTTGTGTTTTAAAAAATTCATACATGGGTCAAAGAATGGGATCACTTTTATCTTCTGATATAACACAGGTCTGAAGGAAGCTTTACAAGTTATGTTCTTAGGGACGTCCTTAGTATCAGTTTGCTTACACACTTCACTACCTACATTTCACAATGGGGACCACCTCCATGTAGTGATATAACACTGTTCTGAATGCAGCTACCAAACAATGTTCTAGAAATATATTTATTACAATGGATCTTAAGCACTTCAGTGAATTTATTAAAGCATGGACGTCACATCTGCTCAATAATATAACACTATTCTCAGCAGCTTGCAAGTTGCATTCCAGAGGGAATTACTCTATTCAGTTATACAGTAGTTGCCACAACACAGCTTGCACACAGCATTCTTAGAAATGTTCTAATTATAAGTGTTTATACCTCACCATGCATTACAGAATCAGGATTACTTATATTCACTGATATAACGTGAATACAGCTTGCAAGTAGTGTTCTTAGAAACATCTTTATTAGAGTGTCCTTGATAGAATGTTTGCTGATATAACTAGCCTAAATTTTAACATAAAATTGATATTTCTAGTGTTTTTAGAAACATATTAGAAAAGATCATCTTTACTTCACTATATTCATTACAGACTGAGTGTCCCCTTAGCCTGGCTAGTGTAGCTCAGTGGTTGTGCATCATCTTATGAACCAGGAGGTCACCGTTGGCTTTCTGATCAGGGCACATGCTCTGGTTATGAGCTCGACCGCCAGTGGGGAGCATGCAGGAGGCAGCTGATCAATGATTCCCTCTCATCACTGTTGTTTCTCTCTCCCTCTCCCTTCCTCTCTGAACTCAACAAAAAATTTTAAATTTTTTCAATTTTATAAATGAGTGTCACTTTCATTCTTGACTATAACACTGTTCTTAAACTGCTTGCATGTAGCATTCTTAGAAATATCTTCATAATAGTATTCTTTATACATTTAAAAAACTTTATGAATTTCAGAATGTGCATTGTTTTCATTGACTGAAATAACAGTAGTTAAAATGCAGCTTGAAAGTTGAGTTATTAGAAAGAATGTTCTTAAGCATTTTTCTACATGTATTGCAGGAAGGGGGTCATTTTTATTCACCTGTATATATAACATTGGCTTGAGTAAAGCTTGAAAGCAGCATTTTACAAATATCTCTATTAGAACTGTTTGTAATAACACACTACCTTCATAACACAACGGTAATCACTTCCACTCACTGATGAACTGGTTTGAATTCAGTTTACAATGAGCATTCTTATCATCTTCTTTAGACATATTCTTTATCACCACCACATTCATTACAAAGTGTATTTTCATTACTGATATAAACTCCTTTGATTGCAGCTTGCAAATAGTGTTTTAGAAATTTGTTAAGAATTCACTACATGTACCGCAGAATTATCACCTCCATTCCCGGAAGTAACATCATTCAAAACGCAGCTTGCAAGGAGCTTTGATACATGCTTGTTTCAAATGTCCCTTCCAATCACTGAAATACACAGTGCACAGCAGAGCTAGCAAGTACTTTTTAGGAAAATCTAACTATATGTGTTCTTAAACACCTTAACACATGTGTTAAAGAATATGTATCACAAGTGTGTTTTCAGAACCATGTTAACTAAGTGTTTATAACACTACACTATATTTACTATAGAATTGGTATGACTTTCATGCTGAAAGGAAATTTTTGAAATTACAAAGCATTATCTTATTCCTAATACTTTGATAACTTATTTTAACATATAAGGCATAATATTATCAGCAAAATGTTACTCACAGTTTCCCAGGTTCTCTGGCTTTCTCTAACTTCTGAATATTAGGTTTATAAGGACTGACATCAAAGTATAGGAGTTCTAATCAAAAACTAACCTTTTATTATAATAAAAACTATCAAAAAATCACTCAGTAGATTTTGATGAGGAAAATGTTGAGGAAACAGCAGTGAACTAGAAGGTCAAGGAGCCTGCTTTTGAGAGCTGGAGGGAAATATACAATAAACAGACAAGTTTTAAGACTTAGTAGAACTTCAGTCAGTTAAGTGCTATGAACATAACCTCTCAGGAAGATAGGATCCAAAGAGACAGGGCTCTACCACAGAGAACGATGAGAGAGGACTATTTCTTACGATCTTTGTCCTTTTTTATATTGGTGCAAACCTGAGTCTGCAATGTTTCAGAGTCAGCTTTCATTTTATAAAAATTCATGATTTCTTCATCCAGTTTTCTTTTCTCCTCCTCAAGTTTTATTGTCTCCTCTTGCTGAATTCTCTTAAGGTGCTCAAACTTTTCCTGTAGCTGTGAGACAAAGATGCAATTATGACTCAAAGTGCCATGTGCGGGTATCCCTGGGAACATGCTTGGCTTCCTTCCTGCTTATCAAACATATATTAATCGTCAAAGTGGAGTTTAATCTTAATAACAATCTCAAAACTTTGTTTAAAATAAACATTCACATATTTTAAAAATTCATCAATTAAAAAGTTTCTCCCCATTGAACCAAATGTAATAAAAACTACGGCTATAAAGAACACAGTTTTTTATTTTTCATAAATATATTTTCATTGATTTCAGAGAGGGAGAGAGAGAAACATCAATGATGAGAGAGAATTATTGATCATCTGCTCCCTGCATGCAGGACTATAACCCAGGCATGTGCCCTTGACTGGAATTGAACCTGGCACCCTTCAGTTCGCAGGCCAATTTTCTATCCACTGAGCCAAACTGGCTAGGGCAACACTCAGTTTTTTAAATACTTGTTTTTCCAAATGATGTGTATTTTCTCACTCTACACTTCCCCATAAATCTCTTCAAATAAAATTTGATAAATTCATGCTCATTAAAAATATACACATTGAAATATAGCATGAATTATGAAACAATTGTTAAGACTTTAAATGATAAACACCTTTTCTTGTTCAGTGAAATTAGCATAATTATAGAAAAAAATTTTCAAAGACCTCGTTCAGTTACTTTTTATTTACTTGTGAGGTTGTATTTAATCTGTGGAATCTAAAATAAACATAATCAGCCATATGAAAGAGTCCATTAGAGTTGGGCCCAGATCTTAACACAACTTCATTCAACAACGTAAGGATTGCTTGTATGCATCAGAGAAGGTATGGCTTATCTATAATAATAAAAGCGTAATATGCTAATTAAACCGGGCATCCTTCCAGACGACCTTCCGGAGGAAGCCCTGGCAGCAGGGGGGGAGGCAGAGGCAGCCGCCTGCAGCAGCAGGGGCTGAGCCCCTTGCAGAAATTTCGTGCATCGGGCCTGTAGTATGGCATAAAACTCTGAAGGACAAGTTTATTTGCAGCTTAATTTTTAGAAAACCAAGTAGATCAGGGGATTCTACTGCCACAATATTAACCGTCTGGTGTATATGGCTGTGAAGAACACAAACATGGCGTGAGCACCGATGCTTTTCAACCCTAGGTGCTTCTTCGAATTATTCAGTGCGCTTACAAACCTCTCAATGTTCAGGCTGCACAAGATCAATTACATCAGGTGACCTGCAGCTGAAACCCAGGCCTCAGGGCTTAAGAAAGCTCCCCCGGTGATTTTATTGTGCAGCAAAGGCTGAGGTCATGGTTCTAAATAAAGATTCTTTTTTCCTTTCCTGGGGTCAGATGTTTCTTGGAATTACATCTTCAGCCCTGAGATGCAAATGAGCATCTAGATACAATGGGAAGAAGAATGACTGGAAGGGCCGGGGATGTGAGTGTGGTATCTGTAAGTGATGGCAAAACTCACTGTGGAAATGCTTCTTTTAAAAAATGGGACCATGAGAGTAGAAATCAGAGAAAGCTAACCTTCACCCTACTATACAAACATTTCAAATATCACAGAGCCTGAAGTTCCCCCCAAAATAGGTCCAGAATGTGTGTCCTCTCACCACTCCTTTTCATCTTTGTACTGGAAGTCCTTGCTCAGGCAATAAGACAACAGAAGGACTAAAATATTTACAGATTGAGAAAGAAGACACAAAACTGTCTTGTTCACAGTAACATGATCATCAGTGTAGAAAATGCAAAAGAATTGACAAAAAAGAATATCCTGGAACTAATGAAATTATTGTAACGTTACAGGATATAAAATTAATTGTTTTTCTAAGCAAGGACCTACAACCAAGGTTACTCTGCCCAACAAAACTGGCATTCCAAACTGAAGGAAGATAGAGCTTTCTAGATAAGAAAACACAAGAGGAGTGCATCAGCACCGCCAAACCAGTATTCTATGAAATGTTAAAAGGTCTTCTTTAAGAAGAAAATAAAAAATTTGAACAATAAAATGGCAATAACCCTACCAGGTTTGGCTCAATGGATAGAATATTGGCCTGCTGACTTAAGGGCCCTGGGTTTGATTCCAGTTAAGAGCATATGCCTGGGTTTCCAGCTCGACCCCAGTTGGAGACTTGATTAGAATCATCACGGGGGTGCAAAGTACATTGTAGGGATTACACAATACTAATAACTATGTATTATGTCAGATGGGTACGAGATTTATTGGAATGATTATTTAAATTATGTAATTTCTAACCACTGCGGTATACACTTGAAGCTAATATAATAATGTACGCCAACTGTATTGAAAATAAAAGATTAAAAATTACATTCCAAATTTTTTTTAAAAGGTTCATTGCTTTTCTATAGATCAGCAATGAACAGGTAGAATTTCAAATTAAACCACAATGCCAATTGCATTAGCACCCCCCAAAATGAAAGACTTTGGTATAAATCTAACAAAATATATACAAAATTCATATAAGGAAAACCACAAAACTCTGATTTTAAACATCAGAGAAGAGCCCTGACCAGGTAGCTCAGTTGGTTAGAGCAGCGTCCCAATACACCAAGGTTCAGGCTCACTTCAGCAGCACATATACTACCCCAAGGTTCCATCCCGTCAGGAGATATACCAAAAGCCGCTAATGAATTCATAAATAAGGGACAAGAAATCAAGATATATAACTCCCTTCCTCTCTCTCTCTACCCTCCCCTCTCTCTCCTTTCTTCTCTGAAATAAAAAAGAAATCAACTAAATTATTGGGATTAAATACCCCAAATTAATAGGACACCTAAAAATGAATTCAAATTATATCAAACTGGAAACACTTGCTTCTTTTTCAGCTTCTTTAAATGCTATTTCTTTCTCCATAACTCGCTGCATAAACTTATGTTTCAATTCTTCTTCTTCCCTCTGGCATTGTTCATGGAACTCCTTTCTTTTGGTTTCATAGATCTCTTGCAAACTAAAAAGAAAATGTTATTAGTTTTATATAAAAATGCTGATATAAATAAACATGTAAGATATATATTATATATTAGGTCCCATGTAAAAACATTGATCAATATTATCCCATATAGAGAAATGGGAATTGTTATATCATGAGATGTAAAAATGAGGTGGGTGCAATACTGAATATAAGAGTACTGTATATAGAGAACATAGGCCTTGCTGGGTAGGTTGGTTGGTTAGAGCATCGTCCAGATATGCCAAGGTTATGGATTCAGTCCTGGTCGGGACATACACAAGAAACAATCAATAAGCCCTAGCTGGCATGCTCAGTGGTTACAGCATCAGCCTGCAGACCAAAGGGTCATGGGTTCAATTCCCAGTCAAGGGCATGTACTTGGGTTGCAGGTTTGATCCCCAGCTCAACCAATGTGTCTCTCTCACATCAATCTCTCTCTCTCTCTCTCTCTCTCTCTATCTCTATCTCTCTATCTCTCTCTCCTTCCTTCCTTCCTTCCCTCTAAAATCAATGGAAAAAATACCCTTGTGTGAGGATTACAAAAAAAAAAAAACAGAAATAACCATGAATGCATAAATAAGTGGAAGCACAAATCAATCGCTCTTTCTCTCAAATCTATTTTTTAAAAGAATATAAAGAATATATATAAAAAGTACTAGAATTTTGAAAGCAGTTATATAAGGGATTTCTTGCTCCCACCACTTTTCATGATATCACACTTCTTCACATTTTTTTCACAATAAAATTCACAAGAATCTCTAATTTATACGGTTCTCAAAATAATTAAAATAAAGCCAGGCATCTTTCAAACTATGATTCATTTAAGATAGGCAGTTCAAATCTGATTGTGCTCAAAGCATCAAGACTAACACAACTGTCACAGTTTTGCAGCGCCAATCCTATTTCTCTTCAATATAGCTAAACATACCTGCTCCCCAACTATTTTCACTCAACTTCCATGACATCACAATGCTGCTTTTCCTCTTCCCTCCACCCAGTCCTCCATATTCTTTCCTTCCTCTCAATATCCTTTGTCAACCTTTGCTAATAATTATCAACCTCCTTTCTGGACTTCTCTTTTGGATATAGTACACGTTAGCGTATACACATAGTGAGTACACAAAACTTAGCATATACATGAGCCCTTGCACTGTGCTACCCTTACAGATGTTCTCTATGTCTGAAAATGATTTAAAAACACACACATAACGTTCAGAATAATTGACGCTATGAGAAGTGCAGTTCTTCTTATTCCAAAACGATTGTGTCCCATGATTGCGGGGCTTTGTAAATCACCCCTTAGCTTGTTCTAGCAAGATCCTGACTCACCTGAGTGGCTGATTGTCGGGGCCCACATCAGTAAAGCCGATTTTCTGCAGTTGGCGACGCCTGTAAGCCTCATAGTACTTAGTGTGGGTTACTTCTTTTAGGTGTTCCGTGTTTGTGCAAAGGAGCATGTCCCGGAGCTTAACAAAGTCACAGTGATTCTCATTTTCCACTAGACAGAGAAATAATAAAGCCACAACACTTTATCAGTCCCTGGCACTCAATACGTTTTATCGAATAAATGTATGCACACAAAACATTTAAAATAACAGCTAAAGGATCATTCTGATGAATAGCTAAAATTGTTTTCACCATGTAACTATGTTTATATGGTGCCTTCCAATTATAGACAGAGTTTATTAAATTTATCAGCCAAAATATAAATATGAAACAATAAAATAATGTTAGGTTATATGAACACAGGGCTTAATTTTCTACAAATAATTATGTTAGTAGTTTACAAGCTACCCTCAAGGTATTTTACAGAGTGCTAACAAAGAATTAGTCCGATTCCAGTAAAGTAAATAATTTCATTACGTTAAATCCACTCCCATAAAGATCTTTATAACTGTGCATGCTTAAGTTATCATATTCTATTTATACAAGATATTTATGAGACCAAATTAGTCAATATTTAAAATAAACCAATAAATTCACATGGTTCTCTCTTGTGTTTGTCATATTCAGAAGACTGAGTACAACATATTGTGTATTATTGCGTTTGATATTGTAACCAAATTTAATATTCACTAAAATATGTTCTTTTTAACTATGTTTCATAAATTAAAAGTGTCTGCCTAACCAGTGTGGCTTGGTGGTTGAGCATCAACATATGAACCAGGAGGTTACGGATCGATTCCCTGTCAGAGCATGGGCTCAGGTTGTGGGTTCCATCCCCAGTAGACCTACAGGAGGCAGCCTATCAATTATTCTCTCTCAACATTGATGTTTCTCTCTCTCCCTCTCCTTTCCTCTCTGCAATCAATAAAAATATATATTTTAAAAGACATCTTATTTAAAACAATTTTTTCTAATACATCAATTTAAAAACAACATTTGAAACTAATACAAGTAGAGATAATCCAACCCGCAATAATTAGTATTACTACCATACAAACTAAACAACAAATGACTGGATACTACAATATTCCAACTCATCAGGATGCTAGATAACAAATAGAAATGTCAAAATATAATCCAAAGGTAAGTTATATTTCTTCATTTTTAAAATAGTTTATAATCCTTGTTTCTAGTGACCACTTTACAATGTTTTATAGCCCTAGCTGTTTCTCTTAGTGGATAGAACACTGGCCTGCGGACTGAAAGGTTCGAGTCTAGTCAAGGGCACAGGGCACATGCGTGCGTTGCAGCCTTGATCCCCACGAGAGGCATGCAGGAGCAGTCAATCAATGATTCTCTCTCATCACTGATGATTCTCTCTCTCTCTCTCTCTCTCTCTCTCTCTCTCTCTCTCTCTCTCTCTCTCTCTCTCTTTCTCTCTCTCTCTGTAATACCAATCAAAATATAAATTAAAAAGATAAAATAAAAAATAAATTTGGGCCAAAACCAGTTTGGCTCAGTGGATGGAGCATCAGCTTGCGGTCTGAAAGGTCCCAGATTCATTTCTGGTCAAGGACATGTACCTTGGCTGCGGGGACATCCCCAGTAGGGGTGTGCAAGAGGCAGCTGATTGATGTTTCTCTCTCATCAATGTTTCTAGCTTTCCATCCCTCCCCCTTCCTCTCTGTAAAAAAATCAATAAAATATAAAAATAGATGAATAAATAAATTTGGTAGTAATTAATTTATGTAATATGTTTTAAACACTAATATTTAGGCTTCAATATGTTCAAAGTCCTTTGGTTCAAAGCACTTCCCAACACGCACAGGGAGATGATGTACGGATGAAAAGCGTGTCAATAAGGAGGTTCTGTGTAGCCTCTGTGGGTTTCTGCCTAAAGCACCTTCCAGCAAACTCCTGTGAGAATAAATCACAATCAAAGGAAGCATTAGCCTAAATGAATCAGAATCTGTGCTCCTTACTAGCAACCATTAGTTTACTGTTTAGCAACAGTTACTAATATTGGCACAAGTTAAAATATTTTGAGGTTATGATAATATAGGATATTTATAGTAGATATAATTATAGTATTATATATAGTATAGTATACAACATATACATACTATATATACAATATATATGTCTACACATACACATGACCAGATCAGAGCAAGCCTGCTCACTGACATGTTTACCTTGTAAAACTCCCCAAGGATAGAGACGGCCTCTGACCATCCTTTTTCCGACTTTCACCTCATCCATACACCCCACTACAGCAAAAGGTAGGTGTTCCTATAAAGGAAGGACAATTTTAATCATGTCCTTATACCAGCATGACATATGCTGTTACTCTTACTTCTGCTATGGAAACAACAGAGACAAGAATAACATCATAAGCTTATGCAAACAAGGGATTTAGGATCTACCCTGCCTCAGATTTTATGACTTGGCAGCAAATATGTACACATTGATTTCTGCAAGCATTAGTGTTAGGTCCTGAAAATTATCTCCTGAGGAGAGCCTAAACCAAAGCATTATGCTGTGGGAAATACAAAAAGAAAAAATTCTTAGTAGACAAACCATTTTTCTCGCATTATCTTTACCCTGAAACACAAAAATAATATCAAGAAAATAATGTGCAAATCACTTTTAACTCCAGCATAAAGTTAAAAGACAAAAGTGTTGAGAATAACTATAAAAATTAGTTCACACATATACAATATAAAGCATATTAATAAATAGTGCTTTGTATTACATATACATATTCATACATGCACATGTATATGAATTCTAAATACAAATAAAGGGTCACTTTAATCACTTATGGTGAGTCAAGGGAAGTCTGAAAACTGAGGCCATTCAAGGGAGATTTGGGAAGAAGATAAGCAAAGTAGGAGGACAGTCATACGTAAGGATAAAGTTTTGAACAGGATGCAGCCACAGAATATACAAGATTTTAATGACCTCTCAGAAGTTATATAGCTGGTATGATTGAATGGAAGAGCTGATATAAAATGTCTAAGGTAAAAATTGTTAAGCATTATGTTGTATATTTAATAATTAACCATAGTCTACTCATTGGTTTTGATGAAAAATTACTCCTTGTGAGTTCTTTGGTATACTATTAGGTAAGAGAGGCCAAAATCTTTAAGACAAGATCTAAAGAAAATATAATACAGGAGAATAACTTTAAAATTTATGTTGCTTTTTAATTTTAAAATATATTTAGTTTTGATATCTTAAAATAAATGGGTTATGGGAAGCCAGTCAAGATGGTGGAGTAGGTAAACTCTATGATCACCTCCTTCCATGACCACTTCAAAATTACAAGTGAGCCCTAACTGGTTTGGCTCAGTGGATAGAGCATCAGCCTGGGGACTGAAAGGTCCCAGGTTTGATTCCAGTAAAGGGCATGTACCTTGGTTATAAAAAAAAATCAATAAAATATATTTTTTTGAAAATAAATAAATAAACAAATAAAACATTTTTGACACTGGATTTTGGGAAAATACCTTATTTATAGTCTCTTGGTCAGATAGAGTAACAGTATGTTACTAATATTGTTACTTATAAATTATATTTGATTCCCACATGTAAAATAGAATTAGCTTTAAATGGAAGCTTACATTCATTGAGGAGTTCATTTGAGCAGTCGTTTTGTCATCTGTTGGGAACTGGTATATCTGGATGCCATTACTAATCAATTCATTCATTATCTTACTCTTAAATGCCTGTAAATCATTTTTAGAAATTGTATCTGCTTTAGCAATCAGTGGTATAATGTTCACCTGGTAAGAAAGAAACACAATCTCACTATTGAGAATTTGTTGTTAATGCTGGAATTTTTACAGTTAAAAACCTCAACTATCTAACAATAAATATCTAGATAATCACTAATTATCATGCTTTCCTCACAAAATTGCTTCCCAAAATATTCAGTTCTTTTGAAGATGTATTTTTATGAGAGCTCAGGCTTAGAAGTCTTAATTTTTGTTGTTTTCTTAAACTTTCTATGTTTCTAACACATCAGGAGGTAGTAAAATGTAAGTAGTAAGATGATGTAATGTATTTAATTCATTAGCAATTTGATTTCTTATCTGAGTGCAAAAAAGCAGAAGAAACCTTTCCTGAAAATTACAAAACAATTTGTTCTCTACTTGTCATTCATTTGCATCACCTTCTTCATAAACTCATCTTGCTTTTGAATAGGTCCTTGTTCTACCTATATGTCTTTGCAGACAGATTTGCTTATGGTTTCCAAAGACCACCCAAAAATAATAGACATTTTGATTGCCACACTTTAAAGGCTAAATGTGGCTGAAACTGGTTTGGCTCAGTGGTAGAGCGTTGGTCTGCGGACTAAAAGGTTCCAGGTTTGCCGAGACCGGTTTGGCTCAATGGATAGAGCGTTGGCTTGGGGACTGAAGGGTCCTGGGTTCGATTCCGGTCAAGGGCATGTACCTTGGTTGCGGGCACATCCCCAGTAGGGGATGTGAAAGAGGCAGCTGATCGATGACTCTCTCTCATCGATGTTTCTAGCTCTCTATCTCTCTCCCTTCCTCTCTGTACAAAATCAATAAAATATATATTTTTTTAAATAAAAGGTTCCAGGTTCGATTCCTGTCAAGGGCATGTACATTGGTTGCGGGCCCATCCCCGGTAAGGGGTGTGCAAGAGGCAGCTGGTCGATGTTTCTCTCTCATCAATGTTTCTAGCTCTCTATCTCTCTCCCTTCCTCTCTGTAAAAAAAATCAATAAAATATACTTTAAATAAATAGATAGATAGATAGATAGATAGATAAATAGATAAATAAATAAAGGCTAAATGTGTGTGTGTGTATAGAGCATCTTGCTAACAAATATGTTTGTAATTTGTAAAAAGGAATTATTTCCATATAGCATATTTAAGGTTGAAAAACATTCATATTTTCTTTCTAATTCTAAAATATAATTAATCTTATCTTCTTGTGTTTACAGTTTAATAACTGAACTTCGTAGAAAATAACAATATGCAAAATTTTAAAATGTCTTATTATTGTTATAATAAGATATTTTGTTAAAGCATAACTATATGATGTCAAGTTCTGTGATATAAGTAGAAATGTGTAAAAGCCTGTTTTAAACATATTGTTTTAGTTTTAGATTCTTCAAAGTACTTTTTAAAAAAATCCTTGTTCCGCCGAAACCGGTTTGGCTCAGTGGATAGAGCGTCGGCTTGGGGACTGAAGGGTCCCGGGTTCGATTCCGGTCAAGGGCATGTACCTTGGTTGCGGGCATATTCCCAGTAGGGGGTGTGCAAGAGGCAGCTGATCGATGACTCTCTCATCGATGTTTCTAATTCTCTATCTCTCTCCCTTCCTCTCTGTACAAAATCAATAAAATATATAATAAATAAATAAATAAATAAATAAATAAATAAATAAATCCTTGTTCCAATCTAGGGCTTCCGTGTTGTCACATAAATGTTCAAAATTTTGTCTAAATTTATCATTGTAAACAATAAGCTTCCACAATAAAAAAGCAGACAGCTGCTACGGTAGATTCAAGTCTAACATAAATGCATTGGGTTGTATTGGTGACAAAGCTGAAAAAAGAAACCCTCTGTGATAGCAAATCATTAACACACTAGAGGTCCAGTGCACAAAATTTGTGCACAGAGGTTCCTCAGCCCAACCTGCACCCTCTTCAATCTGGAACCCCTATGGGACGTCCAACTGCCAGGCTGATCTCGCCCCCAACTGCCTTTGCCTTGGCCCCCACCACCATAGCTTTGTCCGAAGAAAGTCAGTCAACCCGGTCTAATTAGCATATTACCCTTTTATTAGTATAGAAGATAAGAAATGAAAACTTTTGCCTGGCCGGCATGGCTCAGTGGTTAAGCATTGACCTATGAACCAGGAGTTCACGGTTGGATTCCTGATCAGGGCACATTTCCAGGAAGCAGGCTCAATCCCCAGTGGAAGTGGGGTGCAGGAGGTAGCAGATCAATGATTCTCTCTCATCATTGATGTTCCTGTCTCTCTCTCTCTCTCTCCATTCCTCTCTGAAATCAATAAAAATATTTTTTAATGAAATAAACACTTTCCATGTTAACAATTCCTCAGGTGTTCAGATTTTAGGAACAAAAGTCACTTATTGCAAGGAGAGCTGATCAACCTGGGAGAGAAGACAACCATAGCCATACCCTTGCCCACCCCTTTATGTAAAATGTTCCTGCAAAAACGAGCAGTTTCCTATATCTGGAAAGAGCATGACGATTACAAATAGTCTTAAAATTAAAAGCAAAATTGTGTGTCCCTTCTTATTTGAATATATTACAAACTGAGGAATTAAGGCAACTCTTTTTTTGTCTTATTAAGACAACTCTTAATTTTAACTAAAAATATAACTTATTTTAACTATTTGGTGATAGATGAGATTAAGTACAAAATTTCTTTCTAGCTTGAATAAAACAGAGCAAAAGTCAGGCCTTTTTCAATACTCTCTTCCCAATTTTAGAACCTTCCATCCCTACAGTTGAATAAAGTTGTAAACAGTATGTTTAATCAGGGCTGAGAGCCAGAAAAGAATATCGTGGCATAAGTTTCTTTTATATGTAATTTGACCCTCTGTTGTAATAAATAAATAAATAAATAAATAAATAAATAAATAAATAAAATAAATAAATAAAATAAATACAATAAAATACATGTTGTATTCTGCATCCTGTCTGATAGGGCCAGTAGCCAGGACCATGAAAGCTTTATGTTTCAAAACACCCCGGCTGGCTTGGCTCAGTGGTTGAGTGTCAACCTATGAACCAGGAGGTCACGTTTAGATTCCGGGTCAGGGCACAAGCCTGGGTTACAGGCTGGATCCTTGATCCCCAGTGTGGGGCATAGCAGGAGGCAGCCAATCAGTGATTCTCGTTCATCAGTGATGTTTCTATCTCTTTCCCTCCCCCTTCCTTTCTGACATTAATAAAAATATATTTAAAAACGAAACAGCAGTGGTACCAGAGAAATGTTAATGGATCATTTTGTAATATTGTAGAGCAATTTCAATTTCAAAAATATGGGCAAATGACCTCAATCTGAATTATCAATCACAAGAAAAACTACATTTTTATTTTTTTAAACCTGCATCTCATTATCCTAATGAATTTTCTAATTAAATTTCTCTAGAAAGTAAGATAAGATGGAAATTTATCAAATGCTGTTATGGATTGAATATGTCTCTTCTCCCCCCATTTATATGCTGAAGCCCCAATCCTCAGAACGGTCTGTATGTGGAAACATAATCTTTAAATGGGCCCTAATCCTATCTTACAGGTGTGCTAATAAGGAGGGGAAACTTGGACACACACAAAGACACACCAGATGTGTGCATAAAGGAAAGACCACGTGAGAACACAGTGAGAAGGCAGCCATCTGCCACCCAAGGGGAAAGGTTTCAGGAGAAACAACATTTGGCAGCACCTTGATCTTGTACTTCTAGCTTCAAAAATTGTGAGAAAATTAATTTCTGTTGTTTAAAACCCATAAGTCTGTGTTTTGTAATGGTGTTGTTGGGACACTAATATCAAGTGCTTTAAACATTAATGGAAAAAATATGATGTATATGTACACATATCACAAAATTAGTTCGTAGATGAGAATAGCTGAAAGATATATATTATCTCAAAATAACTATCAAATCTTGACCGGTTGAGGGATTTGCCAAACACACCTTACTGTCAATGCTCTTCAAGGTTAACAGATCAAGGGCCTTCAGAGAATGTCCCGTAGGTGCAATGAAGTAAAGGCACACGTGGATACGAGTATCATGGTAGTCGGCAAAGGAACGTTTAATTTTCAGTTCTTCTTGAAAATAGGCCTCAAATTGAGCATCTATGTAGGAAACTATTGGTTGGTAGCTGAAAAAAATGATTATTTAAACATTTAGCATCACATAGTAATAACATCTGAAGTCTACATTTTTACCATGTAGTAAAAAGTTTATGTGTGCACTCAAGGCTTTTCATAGAAATAACAATGTGCATAGCATGTTCTGACAAAGGTGACAATCACAAACCAATAAAGGCCCATCGTTCACATTGTTTCTAGAAATGGCAAAATGATCTTTCAATTCAACATCATCCCAATCAGAAGCCCATTTCTATGTGACATAGAAGTACAAAGGACCAAGAGTGTTCAAAACATATTAAAGAAAACCAAGGAGATAAGAGTCTTCACGTGTCAGGTCTTATTGTGAAGCTGAAATAATACAGTGTGGTAGCAGCAGAAGAGTAGATAGACTAAAGCACAAGAGAATTTTTTCATGTGACAGAACTTTTTTATGGCCCAGCTGAGATGGTGCAACTCTACCCAACTCAAAAACCTACACTTGAAATCTGTTTGGTTTTATTAACCAAGGTCACCCCAATAAATTCAATTTTAAAAGACCCCACAGAAATACACACCATAAAAGTAGCCGAAACCGGTTTGGCTCAGTGGATAGAGCGTCGGCCTGCGACTGAAAGGTCCCAGGTTCGATTCCGGTCAATAGCATGTACCATGCTTGTGGGCACATCCCCAGTAAAGGGTGTGCAGGAGGCGGCTGATCGATGATTCCCTCTCATCGATGTTTCTAACTAACTATCCTTCTCTCTTCCTCTCTGTAAAAAATCAATAAAATATATATATATTTTTTAAAAAGCAAGTCTTACTGTATGTAAAACTTCAGAAGAGTGACATCCTAATCATGGCAGTGAACACTTCCTAATCTGTCCACTAACAAAGGTACCTCTGTGGGAACTGTGGCACCTGTACCATACACCAGGGAACCAGGAGGAGTTTTGCCCAAATGCACTTCCCTATGAGCTCTGAAACCAGCAGAAGCCAGAAACCTTGCCTCGACCCCACTTTGAAGCAGTCAGGGGAAAGCGGGAGAGTGTTTACTTGCACATACATCCACAGATAAAAGGTATTTGTAGAAGTTCGGCCATCAGGATGGGATATTCCATTGGAGCACAGCAAAAAGGATAAATGTGGATGCATTGGAGAAGGTAAGAGGAACTTTGCTGGTGTCAGCCTTCCCTCAAGGCAGCACAACCTGGGGCTGAAATAGCTGGAGGCAATCCCTCTCAGGGATAAGGGAGTAAGTGCCCAACAACCGTAGAGAAATACCCTTTTCCTCCCAGCAGAACTCAGAGTACTGAGGCAGGAACTCCATAAATGGAGGGAGGGAGGAAAATGGGAAAGAAGCAGATAAAAATATCAAAGGGCATGAAGTGCATTACAGGCTCAGGATTTCAGGAGGAATCTCACCCTGAAATTGGGGAGAGCCTCAGCTTCTGATTCCCACACTGGGCCTGTGGGCACTTCCAAAGGTCAAGTGCTAAACTCACACGTCTCCCCATTCTGCAGTTGGCTCTGTGTGCACACACTGTTGAGTGCAGTTGGGAGAGTGAAATCTGGCAAGTGAAATGTGCTCAGAGAAATCAGACCAGGCTCTGTGAGCAGGGGAGGAACCACTTTCTGAAAATTTTGATCTATGAAGTGCTTTCTGGGGGGAAAAAAGAGCCGTTTCCAGTAGTCAATCCTGTGAGCTGTGAGAACTAGAGAAGAAATAAACTCTTAAGACCTTCTCCCCAATAGGGAGAGAGAAATGGGCAGCTGGGATATCATACAAGGTCAGAGAAAGCCCCAGATTCAACAGGACCCATGAATAGTATATTGCACCTGAGGGCAACTAGCAAAGATTTGAGGACGTGTCTGCTACTTCAAATGTGAAAGCAGCAACGCAAAACTGCAAGGAACATGAAGAATCAAGGAAATGTGTCACCAAGAGTAAGAAAAGCTTTTTATTAAAGTAAGAACACGCTCACCTGGCTTCTTTGTTCATTTGATCACCATATCCCACTGTGGTCACAACCGTTAATTTCAACTGAACATTGCCTTCCTGGAGTTGATATGGCTGAATTTTAAGTTCAACATTTGGGCGAAAATGCGAGGATTTTTTTTCTCTCGAATTAGTATTAAACAATGTGTCAATCAGTGTTGATTTTCCAAGTCCAGTTTCCCCTGTAATAAGCATGGACACATCATATAGGGTTATTGATTTGATATATAGGGGCTGAGAAGTAACACTCCGAAGTGGTTTAAAGGGTCCCACGTACTCCAAAGACAGTGATATCCTTGAAAATATACATGCTACTCCTGAGTCCTTCAGTCATTAACATAATATAGAAATAAAATACACACAAAGTTGTGTCAGATTTTGAAGAGTACTGAAGCATTTAAAAAAAAAAAAAAAAAGTGTGTAGGACTCAGCCGGGTGTAGCTCGGCGGTTGAGTGTCAACTCAGGAACCAGGAGGTCACCAGTTCAATTCTCGGTCAGGGCATATGCCCAGGTTGCCGGCTCAATCCCCAGTGGATGGCGTGCAGGAGGCAGCCAATCAATGATTCTGTCACATCGTTAATATTCTATCTCTCTCTCCCTCTCCTATCCTCTCTGAAATCAATAAAAATATATTTTAAATAAATAAATAAATTTTTTAAGTGTGTAGGTAATATGGCTAAGAAGATGAAAACTAATATAAACATGAAGGTATGTTCTTGAATTAACAGCACCAGTTTTGCACTGCTGAAAGATAAGTTGAAATGAACATTTGGAAAAATTAAGTAATAATTCAGAGGAGAATTTTAGCACCTACCCACACAGAGAATATTAAAAGAGAATCCTTGTTGAATAGATTTATTAACCAACTGATGAGGCAAACATTCAAAACCAAAATGACCAAGCATAGTTAAACAACGAATATTCTCTTCTTTTTGCTGAAAAAAAACAAACAAACAAACAAAAAACACAAGTTAAAAGATTTTAATCAGAATAGAAAATATCATTTGAAAAGATCATTATAATATTTATTTTTTAATATTTTTATTAATTTTTAGAGAGAAAGTAAGGGAGGAGAGAGCTATTGATATGAAAGTGGAACATAGATCATTGATTGGTTGGCAGCCTCCTGCATGCCCCCTCCTTGGGTTCAAGCTGAAACCTGGGCATGTGCCCTGACAGGGAACATTTCTCTCTGTCTTTCCCTCACTCTTCCACTTTCTCTAAAAATCAATAGGAAAATATCCTCAGTTGAAGAGAAAGAAAAAGAGAGAGGGAAAGAGAGAGAGAGAAAGAGAGAGAAAGGGAAACAGGGAGGGAGGAAATAAATAAAATATTTCATGCAAATGGAAATGAAAGAAAATCTGGAATAGCAAGACTTATATCAGACAAAATAAACATTAAAACAAAGGCTGCAACAATAGACAAACAAGGTAATTTCATAATGATGAGGAGATCAATCTAACAAGAAGATATAACTCATAAACATGTATACACCCAACATAGGAGCACCTAAATATATACACCAAATATTGATGGACATTATACAGTATAATATAACATAACTAGAGGTCCAGTGCACGAATTTGTGCACAGGTGGGGTCCTCAGCCTGGCCAGCAATTGGGACTATCAGGGGGGCCAGAAGACAGGAGGGACCGCAGTAGGTTGGCCTGCCAGCCCCCTATCAGGGCCGATGTGGGGGAAGGGTGGCTGGAGAGGAGAGGCTGTGGGAGGTTGGCTGTGAGAGCACACTGACCACAAGGGGGTAACTCCTGCATTGAGTGTCTGCCCCCTGATGGTCAGTGTATGTCATAGTGACTGGTCAACTGGTTGTTCCAATTCAGTCATAATGGATGGTAGGCTTTTATATAGAGAGATGGATATAATAGCTATAAGAAAAATATTTGTATTAAATTAGTAATATTACTATCATTAGTATCAGAATTAACTTATTCTTCTCATGTCAAAATAAGGGTTAAGATCCAAACTGGATCTCAATAGTTGATGGTTGTATGAACAGTGATTAGTAGGGAAAGGACCTGAGCCCTAGCTACCAGGAATCAACCAAAGATTAATTGATAGGAATTCAATGGTGATTTCATATTCAAAGAAAGTGTATTTAACAATACCAAACTGAAAATATAATCAAATAAGAAATTTTTAAAAAACTTAATTCCTTATTATTTGTGCTCTTAGAAGATAGGGCTTTATCTATATGATAAATTCTTAGTTCTTCTCTACTTATAAACAGAACATTTTGATCCATATAATCTGAAGATTATTTTAATGTAACAATAATAGATTTGGAAACTTCGCTATCCTCTCTGGCCTAGACTCCCTTTTAAAAGAGTTTTCTCATTTTTAACTCTGTAGCTCAGGGAGGTATCAGATCAAAGTGCTTTGTGTGCCAAAATATAGAACAAAACATAGCCCATTGTCTTATCGAGAAAGGACCTGCAACCTTGTCCTCATTAGCACCAAGTTCTTGCCACAGAACAAACAGAGCAAGCAGGGATTTCCACTGTTATTTAACAAATATCTTCTGAGACTGAACATAAACTGTGCACCTATGGATGAGAACAATGGAGGATGGGGAGGGGGCGGAGGGTGGGGTGGGAACCTGGTGGAGGGGGGAAGAAATGAAGAACCTTTGTAATAATATGAACAATAAAGATTGATAAAAAAAAAAAAATGTCTTCTGATGGGCCAAAAGTTCTTTGTTCTAGTATTTAGTTTTACAAAGTGTCCATCTTATGTAGAAAACAAATATTTCAGGTTCTACTAATTTGGAATTTGTGGTTATTCAAATCTTGTCCTTGAATGCACAAATCTTGTCCTTTGCACCATGCACAAGTAAAGGAAATTAAGAGGTAAACAAGGTAGTATATAAAAATATAATGTTTACCCAACTATTAAAAGGATTACTTCATGCATCTACACATGAAACTGAAGTGCTAAACAGATTATTTTAATCCCTGGTAACAAGTCCATCTAGCAAATGAGATAATGTTCATAAATTCATAGTTTGTAAACTATAAAAATCTCTACAAGTTCTGACAAGCCCCTGATGTTAATGTATTCACTGGACTCTTTTTCAGGGATACTGGAACAAGTTCACTAAGAAAATTCACTAGTCATCATGAGCCTTTCTGACAGTCACTTTTGCCTGTTTGCTCTGTACATTGAGAACATTTAACTAGGTAAGTTTCAAATTTTTTCACACTCCAATACTCCATAAGTCAGGAGTCTTACTTATGAAAAGCCTACAATTTGAATGAGGATGAAAACCATTCAAGAAATGTTAAAATTTGTTAATGTCACACCAAGTAGCAAAATTATACAAAAATAAATATAGAAACTTGGAAGTAGTTAAAGATAATTCAAAAGACTGCAGATGGCAGATTGCCTCCTGAAGACAGGATAATATTGATGGAGGAAGTAAGTACTATGAACAGGAGATGAGTGTGGCAGTGAGCTTAGCAGCAGAATTATGGACTATGTGCCCTTGCAGTAAGGAATGTGCACACTTAAAGGGAAAGGTTTAAATTGGGAAGCTGGCCCTAGCTGGGTTGGCTCAGTGGATAGAGCATCGGTTTGATTCCAGTTATGGGCGCATATTGCGGGCATGATTGGTCCCCTCAGAGCTTAATGGAGCATACATTAAACATAGTCATTGAATGGCTTTAACTTGTCAACCAGCTTTTTGAGAAATATTTTAATTTTTCTTTTAATAATCTTGCCAGTTTTCTATAATCAAAGAAAGTACCCTTTCTATCTATTCTGTCCTTTTTAAGATACACAGTAACCAAGAAAATTCTCATATTAATCTTACTAATTTTATGGCAAAACTCTAGACACCAAGTAAAGCATAAATTGTTATTTAGTTTATGTAATCTTTTACTTTGTTTCCCTCTTTTTAGAGAAAATATGTCAAAGTTTTGTTTTTTAAAAAAGCTATATTTGCATGTGCATGTATGTATATGTGTATATGTGTTTGTTCCTGTGTTTCAATATTAAATTACCTACACTATTAAAATATCCTGATTAAGGCACAGTTGGTAATATACTTGAAACATAAATAAAACAAATCAGAGAGTGATTTTTAAAAAAAGATAGTTTGGTGGTTAAAACTAAGCTATAGGAATAACCTGTGTGTTTGAAAAAGAGAAAACACCATTAAACACAAATGAACACTACTCAACATAGCTCAATACTCATGTATAGATTTGACATTTTGGTCAAACAGAATTCTAAAGCCAAGTTTTCACCCATTCAGACATACTATTCTCTCTTTCAGTGTTAATTTTTAAGTAAGTTACTACGTATTTTCCCTAGAACAGGAGCCCATCTTAAAATGGAACTTGGTTCAATCCCCCACTCAATAAAGCAACAAACAAGTAGCCACCCAAACACTTCCCAAAATAAACTTCATTTGAAAGTTATTTATTATCAGTCCATAAAGTTCCACAGTCATTTTGCATCCTAACAGCACTATCCTTGTTACCTAATGAGAGGCTCTGGGGTTTAATTTGTCATTCTTTGGTGTTAAACAGGAATAACCTCTTGCACCACTAATAAGGTCTGCAGACTCAAGAAACATGCAATAATTATTTAAACATCTTTGATGCTTAACTCCAATCAGTATAAAAGTTAATTCCTATCCAAGCATAAGCCTTTCTCATGTAGGTTTATCTCGGTGCACTGAGTCAGTGCTTTGAAACTATACCATCTTGCTGAAATACAGAAGGAAGAGTTCTATCTGAAAGATGTACTCAACTGTGTCTTCATCTTTGGGCGTTTGCTTGGATGTGCACACTGGTCTTTCTGCCATGTCAGACTGAAAGAGCTGAAAACAAAGAACAAGAACCTTTTAAAAACGTATTGTAAAAGGCAGTATTCCTACAACATAATTTAGATCAACAAGAAAGTCTAATATGGACATTACCCCAGGTTTGGGCTTTCGGTCCACACTATTGATCTATTTTTAACTGTGGCTGTTTGCTATACAAGCTTCTATTTGACATACAATATTCAATTTATAATGTGCAACAATACACTTAGCCACAAACATGAGGTAAGCATCCAACAAAAGGTAAACTCCCTTTTGAAATCAACAGGACAAAGAATATTCTTCTTCAAAGGGCTCTCTGAGCACGAAAAGGGAAAAGGGGAGTTTTGCTTTAAAAGGGTGGTGCTGCAGGGACCGGTTTGGCTCAATGGATAGAGCGTCGGCTTGGGGACTGAAGGGTCCCGGGTTCGATTCCGGTCAAGGGCATGTGCCTTGGTTGCGGGCATATCTCTGGTAGGGGGTGTGCAAGAGTAGGGGGTGTGCAAGAGGCAGCTGATCGATGACTCTCTCTCATCAATGTTTCTAACTCTGTATCTCTCTCCCTTCCTCTCTGTAAAAAATCAATAAAATATATTTTTTTAAAAAATAATAAAAAAAAAATAAAAGGGTGGTGCTAAAAGAACCAGGTAAACACTTTCAGTACTTACCTTTCCAGAGTAGATTACCAGGGGAGACTGGAGTGCTCGAGTGTACTTACTGAAGGAGAAATGAGAAATCAGAACTTATAAAAGTCTAAACAAACCCATTAAACTCTAACCAAGTTCATGATAGTTGTCATTGATGAAGTATTTACTATGTACCTGGTGCTTATGTGTTTTACCTCTTTCAGCCCTCATAACAGACAAGAAATGCATAGATTTTCATTGCCATATGCAAGGTGCCAAAATTCAGATTCAGAAAAACTAAATTGCTTACCTGCCCAAGAGTTCAGAGATGCCGCAGACACAGGTCCGAACAGACTCCAAAGCTGGTGTTCTTTGTATTTATGGACCAAATCTTCCCTGATTTGCAACGTTGGAACCGGGGAGGACAGATACCAAAGAGCATGTTGTACTGATTTGTCAGCAGAACTCCCTTTGAAGGACAGGCTACCCTACTTTTGAGGACGGCACAAAGATACTGAGAAAACGAGGCATAATTGAAAAGCACATGTTATAGATGGGTAGAGCAAAGAGAGAAGCAAACAGAATTAAAGAATGGCTCTGGGTATCATGGTTTCTTCCCTACCTATAACCTGAGGATTACTCCACTTTAGTTCATAGATTTATCTCGCTTTCCCCAAATGGTTAATCGTGTTCCCTCACACAGATAGTATTCTGTTGTATGGTATGGTTTATTCCAGACTGGTATATATAAAGGTTCCATATTATCTAGTAGAATGTTAACAGTGAGTATTTCAGTGATTTTCAGTCTTTAGTTGCAAGCCACAATAAACATTTAAACCCCTGAAAAAAAAGTGCTGTGTTTGAGGAAAAATAAAAACAAAGGTCACCTGCTCTCCAGCCCTTTTCTCTGCCCTGTATCTTCTACTCCCCCTCCCCCAATAAAACAGAAAACACTAGAATTTATTTCTATGTATTGTTGTAGTCTAGATGAAGGAAGGAACTGTCCCACTGCTCTATTTATAGACACGTCTGACTTCCCTGGGCAGGAAGTTGCATGTGACCTTCAGTGCTTTCTCCACCTCACGTGCCCAGTCTCGGGCGCTTCTCACCGAGGCATTTCCAGCCGGACTCAGGCAGAGGGGAAGTCAGGGCCTGCTGCACCCATCCCTTCCTTGGTCTGATTAAATGCAGTCTTTAATGCAAACACACACACACACACACACACACACACACACAAAAAAAAAAAACCTGAAAAAAGGTTGCTTCTTGACTTTCTATACTTACCCTTTCTCAGAATTAGAAGCAAGTTACTATCCTGCAGGTAAAAGTTCTAGAGATCTAATGTACAACATGGTGACTATAATAATAAAAGCATAATATGCTAATTAGACCTGATGGCCCGAACAGTGGAATAACCATCCGGATGACCTTCTGGATGAAGCTGGGACTGCAAGGACTGAGCCCCTTGCATGAATTTTGTGCAGCTGGCCTCTAGCAGTTAATAATAATGTATTATATTCTTGAAATTTTCTAAAGAAGTACATATTAAGTGTTCTTACCCTCCCTCATCACACACGCACACACAAAGGTTGAGAACCACTGAGTTAGGGCAAGCTAGAGACATTTATGAGGTGATGGATATGTGGATTAACCCAATTACAGTAATCATTTTGCAATGTATATGTATATTAAAACATCACATCGCACATCTTAAATATGTAAAATTTTTATTTGTCAATTACATTTCAATAAAGCTAGAGACTTTTAAAAATATATATTTTATTGACTTTTTACAGAGAGGAAGGGAAAGGGAGAGAGAGTTAGAAACATTGACCAGCTGCCTCTTGCACACCCACTACTGGGGATGTGCCCGCAACCAAGGTACACGCCCTTGACCAGAATCAAACCTGGGACCCTTCAGTTAGACGCTCTATCCACTGAGCCAAACCATTTAGGCAGCAGTTCTCAACCTGTGGGTCTCAACCTCTCTGGGGGTTGAACAACCCTTTCACAGGGGTCGCCTAAGGCCATCAGAAAACACAGATATTTACATTACGATTCATAACAATAGCAAAATTACAGTTATGAAGTAGCCACAAAAATAATTTTATGGTTGGGGGTCACCACAACATGAGGAACTGTATTAAAGGGTCGAGGCATTAGGAAGGTTGAGAACCACAGAGTTAGGGCAAGCTAGAAACATTTTTAAAAGAGTATTTCTGTTTGACTTCTGACTTTTTGGCAAGTCTACAATACATGGCTTGAAAACTAGAGATACAGTTATCTTGCACTTAAAAGCCTAATTAATGCACTTGTGAAAATGGGGGTTTACTTCTCTCATAAACCTGGAGCAGAAACTCTCAAAGGATAGCCCTTTGGCCCCTGGACATCCTGAAAGTCTTTCAAGATCTTTATAAGGTCAACATAGTTTTATTAGTACTAAATTAATTTGCTTTTTCCAGTGTGCTGACATTTGCACTGATGATTCAAAAGCAATGCTGGATGAAACTGCTGCTACTTTAATCAAGGCAGTTGTGCCAAATTGTATTATTAGTCACTATGTTAGTCCTGTCACTCATTCACAGAAAAAAGAAAAAGCACCATAAAGCACTTAATCTGTATACAAGTGTGATGACTGTCTTGAGTAAAACAAGTTATGTGATTGTGAGAAATTGTCATTTCTTTTCTCCTGGAACACCGATTTCAATTGCAAAATCAAAGGACAGATACTTGGTTATTTCTAAAACAGTGTGCTTTGTAACATGAAAAAAATAATTGAATGGATCTTGGAATGATAAAATTTGAGCTTTAAAGTTTTTGGAGAACTTGCATCCACCATCATGATCTTGACAGCTTTCTAATATGGACAAACTTTCCCCAAAAGACTAGTGGTGATATTAACAAGTAGAAATTGTTGGTGTTGTATGAAATATGTCAGCATTAAGTAGACTTGGTTTTTCCAACCTCAGCATTATTGGCATTTGAGGCTGTATAATTAATCTTTGCTGTATAATTAATCTGTGCACTGTAAGATGTTTAGCAGCCTCTTTGGTCTCTAATTAGTGGACGTCACAACCAAACCTGTTTCCAGACATCGCCAAATATTTTCCTGGAGTGTAAAATCAATCCCCTCCCCGACTCCCTCCCTTTATATACTTGCTTTATATACGTGCAATGCTTTCAAAAGCTAAAACCAGAAGTGAGATCCCTATCCCCACACAAAATTAAGAGAGATTACATTTTTAAGCGCAAATTATTGTTCCAATATCATTTTTCAGGTGCGAAGGATATTTCCGTATTGCAAAATTCTCTTTACCGTGCAGTTGAGCAGCTGCTATTTAATCTTTATGTAGAAGTGATTAATCTGACATTTAATGACATGCTAGCAAGTGAATGCAATGGAATTCTATTGACACCTTCCAAGCAATGAGCACGTTCACTGTAAATCATATGCTTATGGATATCCTGTATTTGGCAGTATCTATTTATTTGAAATGTTTTCAAAGATGGAAGCAGGTGAACTTGCACAATCTATTTTGGTGATGGAGAACTAACTTGGAATCCCAATGAAGCAAAATGTTATCTCCACTAAAAGAATTTCATTCTTCTCATCAATAGACCTGTACTGCCAAATTAAAAAAAAAAATGTATTCAATCATTAGTATCCTATTTAGAGTTTCGTCCGTATAAAGCGGCAGGGATGGGGGGAGCGGTGTTCCAGAACCGAGTAAAGGGAGCTCGCACGGTCCCCCTGGGGGTCTGTGCAGCGAAGGCGCGCAGGAGCCGGGGAGCTGCATATTTCTGATTGGCAGGGGCGGGGGGAGCGAAATTCCGGGATGGCTGAGGGCGGAGGCCCAGGACCCCGGCTTGCATCACGCCTGGACACACACAACATGATATACATCCTCTGGAACCGCAGACCCGGAAACCCCGCGGGAGCGCGGCGCCCGCCGTGGGAAGGAAGCGGGCCGCGCGGGGCGCCGCGGGCGCATGCGCACTGGGAGGTCCCACGCCCGCGCCCGCGCAGGCGCCATCTCGGGGTTTCCTGTCAGAGCGCACCTGGCGCCGGGGAGCCCCGGGGAGTCGTCGGCTCAGGCATCGGGCACCCGCACCCTCTCCCGCCGGGGCGGGGGCCGGCGGCGGAGGCGGAGGCGGCGTCGGGGGCGGGGCCGAGCGCGCGGCTCTCCGCGGAGTCCGGTGAGTGAGCGGCGGGAGCGGGCGGCGGCTCCGGGCGGGAGCGAGGGCGGCTCCGGGCGGGGCGGGCGGCTCCGGGCGGGGACCCCGAGCCCCCCGGCAGCGCCCTCGGCCTCCCCGGAGACCCTGCCTGAAAAGGCCTCCCTGGCCACAGATTGTATGGGAAGGCGTTTTCCTCTCACA